AGGGAATGAAAGGGGCCGCTGGGTATGCCGTTATTTTTGTGCAACCAAGTTGTTGGTGATCTCGATGAGATATAATCGTAGGTCAAGGCATATGATGGACGAGAAATTATCTGATCGGCGAGCTACAATATTTCTCATACGTACGTACCATAGCATCAGCTTGCCAAGCGCCCATTAAGTTACTAGTGTCCACATGATTCATGATAGCTACTGATCAATAGATCAGATCCAGCGGCTCCCATCGAAGCGAAATATGATAATCGTGCATGTTATCTGTGGGTTCGACAACGCCGATCAAGCACTAGAACGTCGTAAGTCTTTCGAGTTTCGGCACTACTAATAGTACAGATCACCGTTATCCCCCACCGGCAGAATCACGGAATATAATAACATTGCTGATCTGGCTGAATATTTTGTTGGGGAAAACACCTCTTGCATGTGAAGGGGGCTGAGTTCTGCCGGGTCTTAGTAATGTGGACTCTGGAGGACAAGCATACTTATTCAGTGATTCATTGAAAGCCTTGCAAAGTGTGGATCTACGGAGTTTGTATTCTGCCTCTCGAAATATGTATCATAGAGAAGGACCGAATATCTTCCTTCTATTTAGTCTACCAACGAAAAAACACAACGGCGGAGTTGGACCGACCGCATTGACGGTGAACTGATATGTAGTAATTCTGATTTTCATGACCGGACTTCACCGAACTGCAAGTTACCATGAATGATGATGCATAATGCTGGATGAACTTAGGATGAACGCCGACAAAACCTTGATCCATCGGGCTCCAGATAAGACTCATAGTGCGGAAATATTACGTGTTTTGGTGCATTGATGCCCAACAGTCAGCATGATGTGGTCACTTTCTCGCGCGGATTTCGTGTAACGTAAATGCTGGTATACTTACCTTTGGATTGCAGGCGTCTTGCGTGCCGTTAGAGATGCCAGAGTGCCAAAAATCTAGAACAAATGGGTCATTCCGTTTTGTCAGCCACTCATGGAGATTTATTGAGTTGACAACCAGTATCTCGGTCAGCCTGGCAGCTTCAATCACATCTCCAAATGGGCAGCCATTATGCAGCGCAACTGCGTCAAAAATACTTCTATCAGCACGTTCTGGTACTGCTTCAGCAGCCCCTTCAGAGTACAGCATTGAAGGTTGGGCTCTTTACTTGTCCACATCCATCAGCAGCCGGACTGACCGACGGAACAGGCTGTGTATAGCAGCACCACATGAGAATCATGGGAGCTCCTGCCATATATTGAAGCGCCACTTCAAGAATTATTAAAGCATAGGCTGATACCGGGAATCGAAGCGAAACATAGAAAAAGCACTTAATTTAACGATATAAAATTTCAGGGCAATGGAATATGATTGCAAGAGTGCCAGTTATACGGCGTGGCGTTACCACGGAGATCCTCGTAGACTCGGTCCTCCAGATAACGACTCGCCGTTTGTAAGCTATCGAAAGAAAGTGAGTCTAGAGGAGGAAGGAAAACACGATGTACAATACCACAGCATTGATTTGCTTATGAACCAAACACAAAACTAAGTAGCCAATCAGCAAGGACGACATGCAGCTCATAGATAAAACCTACAGTCTAAATATGACATAGCAGCGTTATTCTGGTCTTCGACAAGCATATCACTAAACTCAATTTCCGTCCCATCCATATTTTGGCGGACAAGAAGCATCTTCGGAGTGCGACCTCGCTGAACGCAGCGATGTGTAAGTATATTCATAACCTGTGTAGACAATCGAGTGTGAAGAATAGGGAGCTGGATCTGTAATGACGAAGATCAAAGACAGGTCGTTTTAGCCAACCCGGGCACTGACGGTATTCGGATCCAGAGCCAGGAGGTCGTCCACACCAAATAGGTCAAGAAGTAATTGCGGGGACACACTGGAACCGACCCAAAATATCATGAGGTCTTCGTTATCTGATGGAAGGACGTAGGTAAAGAGGTTGTATCGAAAGAAGTGCGGCACAAACCTATTAGATAGATGCCGTGTGCTTCCATGTAGGTGTGGCTATTCCGCATCAGTGACGGGAAGGACATCTGACCTGTTGTGGGGTCTGGAAGTGCTGTGTCGTCTGCCAAGTCGTGGAGCGCAAGAAGGCGGGGATAGAGATGCTGCATTGTTGCGCGTACGCTCATAGATAGTATCTTCTGAGCATGATAGTTGCGCACGTCCGCGGACACATTACGACCTGCGAAAGCATGTTGGTCGATGAAGAAATGACAAAATAACAATAACACACCTTTAAGAGGTTTGCACTTCGTGATCGCCAGGGTGTACACAGGCAGAGCTCGAAATGCTTCAGGTATAATTAGCTGCGAAGCTTGTTAATGAAAGGGGCGGAGATGATATCTGGCAAACTCACTTGAGAGACAGCGGTGGCAGCCGCACAATTTCGCCTGTAGCCGAGCAATATTGACGAACATCTATCAGTCAGCTCTTCTCGAATGTGAGCCATTCGGCGTGACGTCAGTTTCGACATCGCTAGAATGAATGTGAGGAAAATTGAATGTGGCAAAGAGAAGGTAAAGTCGGACATTCCCTTGCTAAATGACACACTACGGCATCCATATCAGCATACCTAAAAATGTTGGCAGCCAGGTCTGCCACTTGCAAGGCAAGGTTACATGTTCGGACACGGCGTTGACCGTCTGGTGTCGTATGGAGCACAGCACACTGCAAGAATGCATACTCTCGAGCATCCAGCTTCCGTGAGTGCTCGATATGCACGGATATGGCTTTATCGGAGTCGAGAATTCCAATGTCCAAGTCCGATACAGAACGCTCATGGAAATTTCCATAATAATTTGATATTCGAAGGCCTGCAACAACATGCATCTCAATGAGTTCTTCGGGGAAGATATTCATCGATAAACACTTACCATTGGAACATCGCACGCGCAATAAGCAATTATATACCGTCGTCCGAGTTAGTAAACGCCGCAGTTGAGAAGTTAAAACGTGTTGATCTCGTGCAGGGTTAAACCTAGGATGGAAAAACAGTTCGCCGCCAGTGGTAGAAGATACAATACCTGTGCACCTGCTTAGCAATGACTGGCAGCAAGGAAAAGAAAGACGCGCCAATAGATCCAATATCGATAGGTTTGCTCATCCCAAGGAACATACTGACACCAATACCCTCCTCTGAGCACTCCTCAGCAATGTCTCTCCATGTCTGATGACGAGGGAGAAACATAGTTCGCTCTTTGTCCGTGCCATATAATGACGCCTGATCACGTGGCGGTTCAAGAGCACCGGGTCCAATTGCAGGTAATACGCTCTGGAAAACAATAATATGGCCCCCTCGGCCTGCCTGCACGAGCATGCTCAAGCCTGGATCACATGATCAGTAGCTGGGACGTACGAGCGAAGCCAGTCCAGCAAGTAGCGCTCCCCCAAGCGCTGCATTATCAATGACGGTGTCTAGATAACGTTCTGGTAATGCCTTAAGTAGACCTTCGATAGTGGTCCTTAAAATCACAATGAGAGTGACTTGAGAGTTAAGACAGCGAACGTTCCTGACCTGGATTTCCAAGGATCTACGAACAAGCCCTCACGCAAAGGGACAAAGACTTCCTCTAAATCGGAAACCACGATCATGCTCGCCAATGATGAGGCTGGCTAAAATTTGTCTATATCAACTTGAAGCAATGATGCGAGTTGTGCGCTTACAGACAGATCATAGAAGTGCAAAGAATTGTCATATGTCAGAATTGCAAGCTGAGAATCTTCGGGGAAAGACGGCTCTAACTGAGTCCCATCAAGGGAGGTACCACCGTATAGCAAATCTCGCAGGACGTCGCAGGCAGACTTCAGAAAGCCCGTTCGTATGGCTTCCAGCGAGACGTCAAATGCAAAAAGGCAGTTCAGAGATCTGGGCTCGCGTGCTTGAGAGGAAGGAGGGTCGATAGAGAAATACGATGAATTCATCCTTGGCAGAGGCGGAGGTGCCCAGTATTCTTTTCCTGAGACCACGAAGTCAACAGTTCCCTTGTTCAATTCAGGGCGGTTTGGAAGATCTATTCGCGTAAGATTTGCGTCCAAATTGCAAAAATAATCTGGCAATACTAGAAACCAAGACTGAGATGCCAGTCAGTCACTCTGAAGGTCACACCATGCCATACCTTGAGTTTCGTGACTGCAAAGATTACATTTCCATTTCCATCCACCGGCAGTCCATGCACACCAAGGATTGATGTACCCTCTACACTCCTCGCATCGAGGGGGACCTGAATCACCACAGTCCACGACTGGGATAGACTCTTCGCGGGGATCAAGATCTGCGAATGGTTGAAACACTGCCGCAAGGGGAATATCGCACTCTTTTGCCAGATGAGAGGAACTTGGAAGGTTCCACGTTGATACTCTAACGTGTTTTGGGCTCGAGTTTCCTGTAACAGAAGATTCAGTCAATGACTTCGGAGCAAGACTCGAAACCGAGGTGATAGATTGCCAATGTCTGCAGTGAGACCAGCATGGTATACAATCGGGTGAAAAGGTGTTGTCTACGTCCCACCACACATAGCACCTAGTAGCCCGAGTCTTATATTCCTGAGAGGAAATAAGGCTTACCTTGGTCAAACGCTGTGAAGTCGGATGTTGATAACGGTGGATTGTTCCCGGGTAACGTCAAGAATAAATTTCCTTCCCATTTCTCCCTGTCCGATTCTATCACGTCAATCGGAGATGGCATCTGACTTGGGTCGATCCGAGGTCGCAACCCTGTGGAAGTACATGTCAGCTAGAGATCACAGAGTGAAGAAGTTGCTGACGTTCCTTTGTAAGGTTCCCCAGCACTGTGCGGTGGTTGTGGTATGTGTCTGTTTGCATGCATGTAGACTACCGGAATTACACGTTGGCAAGTATAATCCGAGTCGTTGGCCAGGGCAGCTGTTGGAAACTGTTGTTTGGCAAAGGCTTTAGATCTAAACAAACCAAGTTGGGCTGCAAACACTTCAAATTCATTCAGCTTGCAGGCATGACCACTCCGCAAGTTACCTCCATTCTACCCATCATAGATGTGCAACTACCACAATCTTCATCTGCTATACTAATTGAGGATATAACATCAAACGGCCCTTCCATTTATCCTAAATCTCGTGCACGGTGCCCTCCATCGACTGCCACTTCGAATAGTACTCAAAATACTGAACAGCTCATGCCTATAGGCATGGGGCCAATGTCTAGTTCTATATCTAATGGCGCAAATTCGATCCTAGATCTCATTAGGACCGAAAGACAACAGGCTTTCGAGGACGGCCAGCGACAGATGGCACACACTCAGCAGCAACATAACGAGTATCACCTATCATATTCGAAAGCGGTTCTGGAAGAATCAACTAAGCGACGTGAGGCTGAGGACACGGTTGCGTATCTTTCAACCGAACTGGCCAGATATACCAAGGAGGCCACTGAAGTACAGGACATTGCTTTGCAAGCTAGAGCAGATGCAACTGCGGCGCAGAACACCACTTCTGAAGCTGAAAGAGCAGCAGAGGAAGCTCGCAGTCACCTCATGGTGGTTCAGGATGCGCTTCACCAAGTTGGCATTACTGTTAGTTTAGATGACTCTGTAACATCTAACACGCCGAAGATAATATTGGGCACGCCATGGCTGGAACTCATCCCATCCCAAATCCATAGCTCAGATACGCCACTCCCCGATTCTTCCGGTGCTCCAGATGACAAGCCGAGTTCCTCCCCTCCCCCTACCCTCTCGCCATTAAAATGTATCTCTTTAATCAAAGAACACATTAATTATCTCAGCGATACTTTGACTATCGCCCAAAACAGCTGCAAAGATCTTGAATCTCAACGAAATCAGCTCCAGAATGACCTCTGTACGCTGGGCCACGATCGAAACGAGCTTGAAAGCTTAAAAAAGGAAACGGAAGACAACGTGAAGATGCTCAGCCAGTGGAAATCCAAACTCACAAAACTGGAACATGAGATACAGTGGTTGAAAGTAGAACGAGATGACGCAGTCAAAGCCCAAGCAGAGGCTGCCACTGCTCTCGAAGAGATGAGGAGAACCTCGGCAGCCAGTGCAGTCACTCTGAAATCGTGTGTTTGCCTCCTGTTCCCCACTTAATTCATCCCACTAAAAGGGGTTTCTTCTACAAGCACGTTTAACCACTTACAAGATCAGCAACGTCAAGCCGAGGCGAACGTGGAGAAGGTCCAGCAAACCCTGGCAAAATCTATTGAAGCCAAATCCATGCAAATCTGTGACTTGCAGGGCCGGCTCGTGCAAATCACGGCCACCGTAGATGAATGGGAGGGTAAATATGATGCAGTCACAAAGGAGCATGACTCTCAGAAGCAGCTCCTGGTCGCTGAACGGCAGAGATACGAAGAGTATGTAACCGTTCAACGTGTGACGCCGTGGATGCTGACTGTATATCTAGAGTAAGCTCTGTCCAAAGGGAACAGATAGACGATATGCAGAAACGACTGGATGCTAGTGCCTCAGAGGACGTTGTGATGGCCAAGGTGTCACGAATAGAGGAGCTGGAGACGGAACTGGCCTTAATCCAGGCACAACACGCAAAGTTGAACCAGGAGAAAGATGAAGCCGTTTCTTTGGTCAAGTCTCGCGATACACAAATAAAAGAGTTGCGGGAGACACTCACGGTATCTTCAAGTCGCAAATTAACGACGGGGTGTGCACCGAAGAATAACTCAGGTGGAAGTTCCGGAGAGAAGAAAGCTCGTTCATCAAAACCATCGACCCCTCATGACCAAATCCAGTTCAGAGCGCCTGAGGCGCGCCCCGTAGCCGTGTCGACAGGTCTGTGTGACTACCCCTCAGGTTTAGTATCCAGTACTAACTTTCACGATAAGCCGATCAGCGGTCTAAGCAGATCACCGGCCCTAAGAAAATTGAGAAAAAGTCCAAGTCATCCTCAAGCACTGCATCACCGGGTTTCTCTGCCGCTCGCCCGATGGAGATCGACTCAGCGTCATCGACTGACGTGGAAATCATCTCAGGACCGATACCAATTATCTCGCAGGGATCTAGTGAGTGACTGTCGAATCAACTATCACATTTTTAGTCACCTATACGTTTATTAGCGAAGCAAAAGTCTCTCCGTACTGGATCGAACAAAATACCTTCAGGTGTTAATACTCTCCAGACGGTCGATTCTCCTACAGAGAAGACCAGTCTCAAGCGTACTGCAGACATGAACGATTCTTCCACACCGCCTACAAAGCGGCCTAAACTCTTTCTTGACTCATCCGCTAGCTCCGTTGAGAAAGTCGCGTCTGCTGCATCCAACTCGCCGGTTTCAACTCCCTTGGGATCGAGATCGGGGACACCTTCACCGGTCATTGCAAAACCTGTCTTCAACTTTAAATTTCGAAAACATTCTGCACAAATAAGTACCTCGGTTTCCTCGGGCGATGTGATGTCGTCGAAGTTATTGCTAGTTCGCCAAATGTACGCACATCCCAGAGCGCAACTTCAACCGAGGCCCCGTCTGCGGGAGCCAGCGACCGTGGTACGCATCGCAGATCAGGTAGTATTACCTCAGAGACTGAGCTCGCAGCGGAAAGCACGCTTGGGGCAAAACCTCGAACCCGATTTCTGCGACATGGGCAAATCAAACCTGCCGTATCGACAGCTGGCGAGGCCACCAGCTCCAAGCATGCTGAATTCAAAAACTTCAACCCTAGCGATGTTCTTGCAAAGGAACAGCCCTCTGGGTCATCGGCCCGCACAACAGCAGCGAGTGCAGAGCAGCTGCGAAACGCACAAGCTGCAGCATCCGCCACCGCACCCCATAGCCGAGAAGTCTCCTCATCAGCATCTGCAAAAAGCAGGCCGTCTTTGCTGCGCCAATTCAGTGGGTTTATCTTTTCAAGGACATTTTAATTGAATTCACTCGGCTCCTAGGCGGCATGGATAACCTCTCAACATCTCCATCCAATTCTACTCCATCTCCCTCCCTTTCAACCGCGTCTGGGAGTACAGTTGATCGGAGCAAAGCCAATTCCTCTCACGACACTATCTCAAAGGGCATCCCACGGCCGGCAGGAGCTAAGTCTATTCCTAAAGCCCCGAGGTCGTCAATGGCTATGTTACAGGTGACTCTAGAATCCTCTCCCAAGGCACCGAAGCCGATGATGGCGACTAGATCATCAGGAAAGGTACCCCAAGGGCCTAGAGCGACACTGGGGCCCAATACTAGAGATATCAAGAAAGGCACCTAAATCCCTCTTCGTTCCATTATTTTATACGATTAACCGGGCTCTTTAATCACCCTGTCATTGTAAACTATTCGAAATCCCCATATATTTGTCTTACTCTCGTTTAATATGTTTTACGCGGAGCTGGTTTCCCAAGTTTGGTCACTGTATTCCATCATAACTTTGCCTTTGCTTGGACTTGTTCAAAGTGTACACTAGACGCATGACAATTCAGTGGCCCACGATTAGTGGGAGAAAGAAACAAGGGATTGAAATAAGTCCAATGAATACGTGAAATGTACGTCGCGGCTGCCACCACGAACTGCACCGAACAAGCGCAGTGACTGAATGACTAAGAGTGGAACTTATTCCAGTTAGACTCAAGCAAGACACGTCGCTCGCGCGATCGCGACGGCGCTATGTAGGTATCACGCGGCCCATGAGCTTAGTGTACATAAAATTAAACCCAATCAACATTTTGTTTCGGGGGGACAATTCAAATCTTGTTCAGCCCCGAGGCCTGACTTGCGGGGCAAATAACATTTGTAGAAAATTAATAACATAAGGATGTGACAACTTTGACCTTGAGTAAATGTTCTTAAAGCTTCTCTGAGGTGGTCATAATATATCATGGTTGACCTAGGGGGTAGCTTACCGTAAAGTCTATCGGCGGGTCTTGTTGATAGGACTCTGAGAGGTGTATCGATGTTAGCATGGTTTTGGTCGCTGTCAATTAAGCAAGGCTACAACAAGCCACATATATCGGTTATAAGTAGCGTTGATTCTCGAAGGTGATAAGATGTGGTCTAAGAAGCCGGGGGGATGGTCGAGTGATAGCCAGGTTTGGTTTGATCAGCCAACGTAAGGGAGACAGATGCTTAAGGACCATAATATTTCATCATAACTTCACCCCTGAACCATACTCCCTGGTCTCCCCCCACAGACTCCATACGAACGCGTCCTCTGGTGCTAGTCCATGCCTAACTATTTCTTCATATGCAGCCTTCACCTGGTCAGAACCACAAACCCTCCGAAGTGACACACCCCAAGTTCCACAGTCGGACATGAGCCTGGTCCAGGCTTCCTTCTGCATCTGAGTAATCGCAGAAACCGAAAGCTGTTGCTTGCGGATAGCAAGCCATTCAGGCATGAAAAATGGTTCTAGCTTTAGGTCGTCTCCCTGCGGAGCCTCTGAACCTGAATCCCAGCTAGTAGACGAGGGTTCGATTGTGGAAGCTGATACGTTCGTCAAACCGAGCGCAATGCATGTGACGAGCTCAGAGTCGTCACATGCACGGAAATGGTCGCGCACTCTGGCGTTAAGTGTATTGTTACCTGCGACATCTACATATATCCAGTGTCCCCGTGCGAGGTTCCCGACAAGTGACGTATCAAATGACTCATAGTCAAAAACGTCGTCGTACAGGGCAAGACGTTTCGTAAAAGCGAGATTCTTCGTTGACGTCAGTCCAATAACCCGTCTCGTCGAACTCCCCTGTAGAGAGTTACGTCTACGAATCAGATAGGCCAGACAGAAGGCAGTCTTTGAAGAGGCGGAAGATGTAAGGATCTGAGTAGACCCTCCCTTGTAATTGGACGAATTGAGCCAGTCCTCGCACCAAAACGAAGTCCAGAAAAGAGGACGATAGAGCATTGTGAGATCTTCCGCAGTCGGTGATGGATCATACAATGGGTCCGAGGCGCACCGCGTAATCTGGTTATATGGTCGGCGGTCTATGATGTTTAGTCAGTGCCTTCGTGCGTGAATTGATGAACCAAATCACCTGGAGGAAGATGAGGCCGGGGCACAAAGAAGGCATACTTGTTCACGTCCGGAGATACCTGAAGCAAAAGATATCGTGCTGGGGCGAAGTATCCATACACTCACTCTCCAGGATGAACTTTAGGGTGCGTGGACTTGATGATAGTACCAAAACCCCACACAGGAGTCACGCCATGAGTTTTTGAGGAAACACCTTCTGCCTCTGGAGTGTGGTGGAATTCAAAATACCTAGCATGCCCATGTCAAAGTAAGTAGGTGAAATGTCTAATATTGTGGAAAGGGACGGACCTGAAGTGCGGAGCCTCGCCCAAAGCTTGATACGTCACGTTGTTTGCGGAGAAACCGAAGCGGTCGACTTCTAGCAGGACATGGTCATTGGGAATAGTCTGCGGAACTTCACATTTGACTATTATCGCTTGACTGGGATCTTGACCAGAAGACGCCCTCGGGTGACAGAGTATCAAGTTTTCCATCTGTTGCATGTCGACATTCAGATTCGACAGACGAGGCTTGACACGATGCGCCTGCTACTTCAAGTTAATTATGGAAGTTTATATTTACCATGGTCACGGTAGTGAACGACAGTCACATACACCGCCACCACCATAACTCTGTAGTATGTACGCCTTCATTTCAAACTTTCTGGTTGAATGCGGGCTAGAGAGAACATGGCTCATGATATATAAGCGGTCCTGCCAATGACAGGAGGTCAGAGAAAACTCTATTAAGTTTCATTTTCTGTTGATAAAGTTGATTGTACACTTGCTGGCGTATTTCTACTACTGTTGTATTTCTTGTTTTCACAATAAGTCATCTGACAACAACAGCCTGAGGCCCGATACACGGCGGAGCAAACCGCGCCAGACATGATAAAAAGAAAGGAATCCCCGCCGATCGCCGAGAGAAAGTACTGGGGAGTCTAAAGAACGACAAGCGGGGAGATTACTGAGAATATAGGAAAGGAAGGCAATACTGAGAGTTGTAAAAACAACGTGCAATGTGCAATGATGAACGGTATTTCTTGCTTTTGGTGACGATGCGGATACGAGGTGTGGGTTGGATAAATATGCGGTTGTCGTACGGGACGATACGATGCCATTCTAGTAGGGCGGGCGCTTGAACTCGTTGCTAATGATCTGTGCCTCGGGATCGAATTCGTCGTCTTTCACGATTTTGCCACTGGCGTCGTACTCGGCAACCGAGCGATCGGGACTAGCGAACGTTTCCATCTGGACATGTGGTATTCAGAACGCAGAAGAAGGCGTCCGTGGCAAACCCTACCTGGACGTGTACACTGTCGCCTTTCTTGACAGAAATGCGACGATTTGTGCTAGCGTTGCTCTTGAATGCGAGTGTCGAGCCCTGGGTGGAACTGTGTGAAGAAAAGGGATAAGATAAGTAACGTACAAAGGGACTGAAAACGTACGTGAAAACCTCTGGACCTTGAGAGGTAAAGTTGGTCAACCTTCGTACGACGCGGCATGCTACGATCTGAAAGTGTATGTTAGCATGCACTCAAAAAACTACATTTGTGCAAACCGTTGATGCGATGGCAGCAGGGACATTCGCAATGATCGATAGGACTGCATTCAAGTTTATGAGCATGAAGATCGTCGCCATCAAGTTTGCCAAAAATCTGGGATAATGATTGAATAAACGAAGGCGCAGCACACGGCGAACGTACGCAATAGCAAAGTAGATCAGGCCGTCCCCAAATATGAGCTTGATAAGTTTGGAGCGACCGTTAGCCGGGAACGCAAGTTTCCAGCCGGTTAAGCACAAGACTATGAAGTCAAACGCCATGGAGTAGATGAAGGTGATGGCGAGAATTTGGTTATCCGTGTAGATAATAACACACTCTCCATCTACCCATGCAGCCTTCAACAAGATTCCTGGTGAAATTGGTTGTTATACCCGCATATATGCGCTGGTTTAGTGGACGAATTGCGCGTACCATGAAGGAGGAATGACCAATGACCCAGAATGATCAGAACAAGGGCAGTAACTACATATTTGTTCTGCGACCATACCGCCATGCTGTAGTACGTGTCAGTTGCAGCAGGCCAGAAATATAGACGTTTGCAACCGACGTTCGCAAGGACAGATTGATGCTGGCTAAGCCAATTGCAGTGTTGCCAAAGATCTGGTTGAAGGTATATAATGCCTGACAATTAACCTCGGTTGTCACGTTGAGCGCAATAGAGCTAAGTAATGTGCTTCAATAATACACGTAAAGTGAATAAAGAGACGGAACTTACATTCCAATCAATGCGAAAAGCAAACTGTAACGACCAGAAAAGTAGAATATCTGCCATAGATCTATTATTGAAGGGAGAGCACACTCGAATACCATAAAACCTTACCAGGGGCCATCGGAATCGCCTCTTGCCCGAGATAAACTGCCAGTCAAAATCCAGCGAACTGACGAATTCCCATCTACGTCGTATCAGTGACAGTCCTTGACTCACTTGAACGCATCTTACATGTAGAGCCCAAAGAGTACATGCATGAACTTGCTGAATGACTCTACTCATACCATGTAAGGCTAATAAATCCAAATGAGATACATTTCTGACTTACCAGCGTTAGCGACTAGCGTCTCTTGGGAGTGCCAGTCGACCATGGTAGCTTTCGGGATGCACGACGACGATGGTACAGAGGGGGACGACCTGATGGGGCTTCGAAACTGCAGTACTGAAGGTTTTCCTTATATAGGACACGAGCACTCGATGAGGCCTCTTCTTGCCATATATGCGAGCAGCTTCCAATGGAACTAAGATAAGTACGCTCTTCTTACATGGAACCACTGCAACGCAAGGATACGTAAGGCTCCAGAAGCATCCCAGCACCCAGCTCCCAACTCTTGCTCGGAACTTAATTATACCAAATACCCAAGAGGGGCACTTACTAGTCGTGATTCTGACATATGAGGGGCCCTATAGGTAGAATGCATGACTAGCCATAGATTACTCACTGCAGAGCTGCTCTCCCCTATCGTGCATCCAGAACTTCAGCCCGGCACGGACATGAAGGCATTAAGTAATGTTTGGCAGGACCACATGGGCGGCATTCTCGATTGATTTTGTGAAGTGCTGATGTCATGATCCATGCTGCCTTCGCTGATCGGTATCGATGATCTTTGGAACCTGTGAAAGTCACGTACGGTGGCACTTGCCACTTTAGAATCCCGCGAATTACACATACGACTCATCGGCACACCTGCCAACTTCAGCGCAAGACAGTTCTGCTTCGAATTCGTCGGATGCTCTGCTGGATATTTCAGTACTAGTAGCGCTTTGGCAGGAGAAATTGACAAACCACTAAGAGAACCATCCTTCTTCGTCACGGTGTTATGTGGGTGTTTTGTACGCGTCGCAGTAAAAACTACTATGTAGTATGCTCTGTTACAGTCACATTCTATATGAATTATGAAAGCAGCTACTAGGTGTAAGTAGGTCAAGGAGGCGACAGGCCGCAGATCGGGTAGAGACCTTATTAATACTTTTAGTGCAGCGATAAATACCTTCACTTGTGACACAAGTCACAAAATCAATATTCGAAAAACTCTGCCTTTCGACATCCGGTACTCTGGCATATGATGAAACATAGTGTCTGGCCAAGTACTAAGCAAGCTGTCTGCAGCCGGTCTTCAGACTTTTAGTCGTGATGAACTCGAAACCGTTGCCGCATACTAACAAACAGTGACAACTCGTCACGCGTCGCTCGCTGGCCAATAAGCAATCCCTTACAGATTTCTGCGCGTCATAACCTTAATTCTTGCCACGTTCTGACAGACGACGATTTCTTCCTACCGGCGGGAAGCTGCACACGTACGCTGTTCTGAGGCCTGAGGTTGAGCGCCGAGGTGCAATTCAAGTCCTTCCCGATGATTATGACATGCCGCGGATGTGGTCGTTACACTGTAACGTCAACGTTCTATCCACTGATCGCAGCCACGGCGCCGTCCGCGTGGTATGTCCTCCTGATGGCATAGTTCTGTGTGGCATATTCAGGCCGATCCGATGGTTTCCAAAAACCGACCAGACCAATCAAGAGTCGAAGGAAGCTTTTGCCATGACGGACGGGCAAACTGCCGAGTCAAATCTCAGCGCTCTGCGTACCTCCACTCCTGTCTTTACATACTCGATTTTCTCATTGATCAAGTCGACGCTACCCTCTTTTCTGGTGGATTGAACTTCAAGTTCCACTACCAACGTGTTAGCAAAGCCATCGTGTTGAAGAGCCCGTACATCCTCGTCTCTGGTCAAGAGCATCGGACATTGTGGTTCACTATGATGATACAGCAGGTCAACTCAGTTCGTGTACGGCAAAGATTGTATGGACGGGCGTTCATCGAAAGCCACAAGATAGAGCTGTGGCGTTGTCTCAACGGACATTTTGAGAACAAGTTACAACTATCATGCTGACGTCACGAACGGCGAACGGCAAGTATGGCTTCTTCCAGGCAAGAAGTTCTTGCCTGATCATATACCTTGCAGATCGCTAGAGCTTTAAATGAAATCGGACCAGGAGCATATATATCGAGCTTCTTAACGTGAACCGTCCTCTTAAGAGGAGTTCTTTTTTTCTTCGCGCGGATGACCTTACGTTTTACTGGATTCGCGGTGCAGTGTCTACCTTTCTCGCCATCATCTCCGCAAGTAGTGGGTAGCCCGCCACTGTAACGTTCTCCGTTGATTCAGTCGACGGCCACTGGCAATCCTTCATTAAACCATCATCCCACGTCTGTCAGTCTAGTGATTCACCCACCCTTTGGTCCCCGTGCTCAGGCCCAGGGACTACTCATTCCAATTCATTCCTCATCCATTACCTCTCTTCCTCTCCCATCTTCTCACGAGTTACCGTATCAGGGCCGTTGAACGTTCAAACCTCAGTCAATTCATAATAATGGCATTGATATTGTGAATTTCCACTACTACTGAAGAAGGATCTAGATATCCCCAACCTCCAATGCATTGTGTCGCCACCCTCTCGAGAACAAGACTTGCTGTCCAATTGGTTAAGTAGACGACATCTTGAACTCTAATCGAGCCGGTGCTCCTCAAACGTCGTCTACCAAATTATAGCCAGAAGGTTGCTGATCTGTTTCGGTTCGTACAGATACTCAGGAGGGAGTTGGCATTTTAGTTGTATATCCAGAGACTAACGATGTCCACACAACCCTTGTATATCGCGTCTCCTTCACATAGCCTATATACGTACTTTCAAATTCAATGATTCGATAGTCAGTCTACTGTACAGTACTACAGGCTTAGTTTGAAGTCAGCCACATCCCCGATATGCTTGCTCGTACCGTCACCTCAAGTTTGTATGTTCATTACTGCACGCGTATGCATATTATTATTGCACCCTACTTTCCATCTGCCGTCCTTACTTCTTGCTCGGAACCGCCGGCGTTCGATATTTAGCGCTCAGGAAGCTTCCGATCACGCCACACAGACCTGGCTATTTCATTACTTCCTCGGTTTAGCAGCAAATCTCGTGGAAAATTTGGAGTCAGTTGGTCAATTCCTACAACTTGATCACTAAGATGCATCTATCCGAGTCGCGACCGAGACCTAGTACAGCCCTTTCCGATTACCAATATATTCAAGTCAGTTGTCCATGCCTGCCAGGGGACATTCCAGCCCACCACGAGGCACCGTCACGGTGACGGTCCGAATGATAAGGAACGTGCATTTAGTCCACGACCTGTCCAAGATGCAAGTCGTCATTCAGGCATGTTGTGGCGGACTGACGGCGACTAGATACGCTGCGAGTGTATAGTTGGGATATTTCCCTACCAAATCAAGAGTAATCTGGACTCTTCAATAACTACACTGACAGTGAAAATCTATCAAACGCGGAAGACGGAGCTAAGCACCAAAACGCCGAGATAATTGAAGGCGCTTATGTTGATTCACGATAAGTAAATGTTTCGGTGACCGTCCCACATTGAATAGAAGCTGAAACCGTTAGGCTCAGCTTGAATGTGGATTTAGAGTCTACTCTCGAACAAGCGTTTTAATGATCAAATCAGCTTTGCCAAGAGTCATGGGAGCAAATTAATTTTCGCAGGAGAACGGAGATATCATGGTCATCAGAGGGCACGAGTCCAATGGTTGACCGTGGAACGAGTCGGCATTGCACTAGCCTGTCCGAGGCAGTCGGCGGGCCATAAGACCGCCAACTTCTCATGGCTCATACTTGCAATCAATACAATCGTGACAGCAATAGAACTTACGAAGGGTAGCATCCCCGTGGATCGTTGGGGCAGTTGTTGAAACAGATAAATGGCACGGCCCTGCTGATGTTGTCCTAACACACTCCTTTCTACTCCAACTTGACGGTCTTGGTGCCGTTCATAAGATCAGAAGCTTAAAGCAGTTCACGACCTCTGACAAGATGGCGAACTGGGAATCAGAGGAAGTAATCCAGATAGATTCCAGTGCGTATTGGTGATACTTGCCTTGGTTTTGCTCATCCGCCCTCAGTGATCTTCCTGAAGTTTATGCATGCCCTTCTTGGTCTATACTTGTGAGCTTAACTTGTCTATGCAGTGATGATTATGATCTAACAAGTGACCCAGATGGGAAGTCTTTACCTCTCTGGACTTCGACTGGGCTGTCATGACAGGCAAGACGAGGTTCCGCTGGCCACTGGTGAATTGGCTTGCTGAACATTTCTGGTGCTTTGCTGAAATACATTTCTGAAGCTGTCGTTCACCAGGTTTTCTACTTTGCCGGTCGGTATCTTCTTCTTTTTGCGCTCATCGGAATGTAAGTGTGCTATGCTTTTGTTCCACCGCTTCTCACTCCTTACCTAGTGCTGTAGCCCTGGATACACCAAGGTACGCTGCGACGTCAATACTGGTCCCTTAATAAACACTTCTGTTTCCCGCCAGTGAAATCAATTGTCAAGCACTTTATGCCTTTAATCAGGTGAGTTCACCCCATGGCAAGAATGACATGGAAGATCATTCCATTTAGTTAGCTGGTAATGCGGCAGTCGGACTCGCGAGCATTAACCTTTCTTTCCGGACGTGAGTCAAAGTTTGATTATGTCACATGCCTATCTCATCCGGTGATAGTATAGCTATCTGGTCTCAGAATATCTGGGTCGTTATCCTCCTGGTGTTGATCATCATCGGGCATTGGTCCCTCATCTTGCAAGGTATATCACCTTCTCATAAGATTGTGAAACTAGCTGATTGGGCGTCCTCGCAGGTATCCTCCTGACTGCCAGTCTGGCGCCCCGGCGTCGGTTGTACAATCACCTACAGTGATACCACTATCCTTGCTGCTACTTTTATTTATTCAATGTGTTTCGATTTTATGGTCTTGTGCCTTTCGGCATATAAGCTCGCCTGGACACCTACGCGGAGTGGCACGAACGGCGCACCCACCAGACTCGTCAAGATGTTATTCTCTGATGGCTTGGTATATTTTTTCATCGCGTATGTCTGTTTATATCTCTTTCCAGAGCTATTCAACACATAAAATTTCCTGCGTCAGGTTCGGGTCCAATGTGATCGCGACAATTATGATGGTGCTCGACTTGAACCCCATCATGAGTGTCATTTGCAACGTCCCAGCTGCTATTGCTTCAACAGGTGAGCCTAGTTTCTTATACGCTCATTTTCTGCTAGACTATTGAATGCAGATTGTGGCATCTCGTGTTGTCAGGCGGCTGGCCAACTTCCATCGTTCAGGACTAGAGATGATGTAAGTGTATTTTGCTATATATGGATACGTTGGAGCTGCTACAATGTTCAATTTTTAGCAGCTTGCCTCCGGAAAACTCTGATACTGCATTCAAGAATACCAATGCAGGACTTTCCAACCCAGTTAATGCACCAAGCACCGCTAGCATTCACGTTGAGGTGGGCAATAAACACACGTAGTGTGTCTTTCTTTCCTCATCGATGTCACTGCGCACAGATGGACAGTTTTACACATGCGGCGAATATTGACCTTGAGGGGTATCCTGGCGTCCGTCGCACCATGTCTTCAGCAGCAAGCTACAGTGAGGACCATAAACCGGTTCAAGTAATTTGACACAAATCCCACATTGCCTGGACGTCTGTAAGGATCGCATATCCTCTACGCCCCGACCATAACTTCATATCAACTACGCTCGGACCTGTCCAGTAAGCCACGTGACTCACTGATGCGAAGAAGCGTTACTCTTCGCATTCAAGTCACGCGGATACATTCTCCTTTCATCTTAACATTCAGTACCTTTCCTTACTCTCGTATCACACCACCTCTGTTCCTTTATCAAAAGTATTTTCACTTCGCCTTCAACTATTTTCACGCTGGATCCGGCTTTAACAAGTATTCGAAACATATATAAACCACCCATGTACACTCATACCTTAGCGAATCATATAGTGCGACTCCCGCTCCAAGTACGACCGAACGCCTCCTAGAAAGCCCCTCTCTCAAAAACCCAGTCCTATCTCTATCTTCACGTCATCTACTGATGCGACTCATATTCAGTCTAGAATCGTTTACCAATTCCCTGCCGAACTCTTCTGCAGCATTACACGTCTTCGATAGACCAAGCTGTCTCGCGAGATGCTTTCATATTTATTTTCATCTGGACTATTCTCAAGAATCCAAGTTGTTGATTATCTACCCCGTAATGTAATCTAAAGGTACTGTTCAACGGTTCCTCCCTAATGACAATGAGATGCCAGGTACACAATGACGAGCCCAAAATTGGAGTTGATCTCGTCATAATTCATCTACAGTGCGATCGGTACACATGGGGATGACATGGTTCGACAGGCAGACCACTTTGTCAGCTTCAAGGATAACAGATTGAAGTCCATTCTGCGCTGGCGCGGCTGACGATATGCCTGCTACTGGCAGACAGAAGCTGGTGTGGCCTCAAGTGATTATGGACTCTACGCCTGAAGGCTCGTGACTACCTAACAGCAGTCCCTGGACGTTGATTAATGCGGAATAATGAGATATGATCATTTCCAGGTGTGTAAGGTCTTTGATCATGCGCCATCGAGCATCGCATGTTGACTTAGAAAGGGTTTGGAGTTTCGAATTTGGCTATGTAGGTTGCGATATGAGATTGTGTATACGTGAAAGCTGCCAGGGAGTGCGATGACTTCTAGAAAGGGGTGAGGCCAGAAGCACGTGATAGACTGCAGTTCCCTGAGTTGCATTATCGTGGAGATCATGACGAGTGTGCGGGTGTAAATTGAATGCCCTAATACTGACTGGACGTCATTATGAAAATTGCTGTAGGCATATATCGCGAGCATCAACGGGGCTTTCGGACAGTATAAGTCCATAAGGCAGGAAGTTTGACTTAAGGATTAGTAATACACTCACGTGACGTATTGGCCATGGACGCTCTTCACCGCAACTTCAGATACCTTAGTTAAGCATGCATCGGTACGTCGACACAGCTAGTTTTTGTAGGTATAGCATCCGGACGTCAACGATTTAACCTCTCTGGATACAAGGCCTATCCAAGCCTTTCGTCAGCGTCCCCCAGGTCCTGGGATTGATTCGATTGTTACATTTGGAGTTCACGCTAGTACGTAGTATGCTTCGTGTCCTGCAGAGTCCGGCGCTGTGTTTGTAACATGAAGAGACTCTGCATAGCACTGTCGAAATTTGAAACTCAATTAACCCCGTGCTGTGCTAATAAGGTGACGTGGAGGCTTGCTTTCTGTGAACTTTGACCACTCTATGTACTGAGGAGACGCAAATAGTCTTATTGACGCGTTGCAAACGTTCTCTACAGGATAGGACTCAATAAGTCCGCTTCTCTGCGCCTGGGAAATTACTTGCTGTATGTCCCTATCCTAGTAGCACCTAAGCGCTCAAGCCTCCACATTCTGATAGGTCAATCATCTATGATTGGTCACATACCGCTCTCTACGGAGCGCTTGCGAAGTGCTCAGCCTCCAAGTCTGGAATACCCATCTACTAGTAGAACTTCTAGTGCCTAGGGCGATCAATAAACATGCCATCGTGGCTTTGGCGTATCTAAGCCTCGTGTGGGAGATAACGACTATAAAAACGGCGATCAGAACGCTTCATGACTGTTACCATCTTTCTGCCCTCGTCTATACTTTGTCATAGTGAGCTTATCCGTGACAGCAGCAAGAATGCAACCAAATGAACCAGTAGTCCCTGGGGCATTAGCAGTAGGTCGAGCTGATACTCCGTGAATTCGGTTCTGACATTCCTCGCAGGAGAATGTTCCTGAGTGCCCACTCATCGAAAAAACAGAGAAGTCTGAACACCACTACTTGCGACGTTGGCAGATATGGGGTAAGGAGACCAATCCAACAAAGCAAACTCCCGCACAAGAATGGGATGGTCCATCGCAAGGATGGGGTGCTCCACCCGTGCAATATGGTTGGCAACCATATGACCCATCATCTATTCAGCCTGTGCTACCCCGCGAGGACGTCGATAATTACTTTTACCTCAACGTCCGGTACACTAACCGGGACGGTACGACGTGCGATCTAAACTCTGACTCCGCACTTATCTTTTCACAGCGGAACCTGATGTAGTATTCAGTCATTTCAGCAGCACCTTGATTGACTTCTTACGGTCTGTGATTTCCGAGTATCTTCCTCTGCAAATCTTCATCCCATCTTCTTAGCATGGCTATTGGCGACGAATTTTTCGACCAAAATCCGGACTCGCCTCTCACTCACTTTGTCTTCAAACTCGATGAGCTCAAGGCCCACCTTTCGGATGCACGTTCAGCTTTGTCTAATCATTCAGGAGAGGAGTTGAAGACAAAAGCGCACGATCTTGGCCGCTTAGATTCGCTAAGCAGTATGCGTCATGTTATCGATTATCCTTGTGTTGGCCATTAGCTAACGCTCTACTTCAGCGCAAAGCACAGAACAAGATGCCCAGCAGTACCTCGAGGAACTCGTTAATCAATTGGACGTTCTCATACCTTTGGTTGAGAAAGAGTTCGAGCCCATGTGAGCACTTCTGTGTCGCAAAATCAAATGATGCTTATCCCTACCCTACCAGATCCAAGCGCCTAGAATTAGAGCTATCTTATGGCCACATCTCATTTGATCTTCTCATATACTACTTCAAGAAAGGAGGGAAATACCATTACGAGTCTTGGGGCGAAAAGGTTGGTTATTATATTTTGCAAGATGTTGTACTGAGCGACTTACACGAATCAGCTGGCCTTTGTACTAGATGGCACAAGCATGGACTCGTCTTTTCGGCAAGCATATTTCCTCCGATATTTTTGTTCACTTTTGACGTGACTTCAACTCTCAGTATCCTTAACATTAATGGCCATGGTATGATGTGGGATGGCCATGAATACGTCCACGACACTAGAGTTGTTGACATTCCTCGTTACTCCGTAAGCTGGACCCCTTACTACTACTATTAGTTTTCACTGACGGGATTGCAGGGGACAAAGGCATTATCTGATCTTCAGTGCAAAATCATGCAAGATGATGTACACAATGAACTGACTGGTATGTCGTTTTTATCGTGAAAGACGATGTACGTCCCTACATCCATTCCTTCAGAGCGCGGAAGATTGTATGCTGCTGTGTCAGGTGTTCATTTCAAGTCATGTGCGTATTTTTTGATGTCTCATTATGTTTGGCTGATCTATCACTCAAGATGATGGCGTAAGCCCTTTGTCACTCTCATTCATGCAGCTTGACAAATTTACCCCAGCGCCGTGTGGTCATTGATGAAAATGGCTATTGTGGCAGAGACCCAGAGTCTTCACGGTATTTGCCCTCTGATGTCGATGTCGTGACCGATATGCTAATTCGAGGTTTAGTGATTATGATGATTACGTTCCACCGCGTTCAAATAGATACCGCGCGACACCTCCACCTGTACCTGGTTATGGTGATGCACGTCCTGATTCCCCTTACGCGTAAGTGCCGTCCTGTTACCGAACGCCATCATTCATGAAAGTATTCGTTAGCGGTGACAACTCGGGACAGAAATCTTTGTATGTTCTTACTAGTGCTCGTGAATGTCATGCTCATAATGATATCAGAGAGTTCCCAGAAGACCAACTGTACCTTCTACCAGTGAAAGTACATGGATTCGATATCCGTGACAAGGCATGCATCAACCCATTAACATGTCCATGGAGCCCTCATGCAACTAACCTTGCATCAGACTTGGGAGACGATTGATGTTCGTAAACTTGAGGAGATCCATTTCGATGAACATGCTTGGGACCATCTCGTTCTTAATAAAGCGACAAAGGTACAAGCAACATTGGCAATTAAACTTGAAGGGCCAGCATCTGATGGTTAATTAGGCTCTTATCAAAGGGCTCGTCAATGTCACAAAGACGACCAACGCAACCGGGGAAGTGTTCTCTGATGTCATTACTGGGAAAGGTGGAGGAATGGTGAGGACACTTTTCTAAGTGTGGATGATTATGGTGTCACCAATAAGTTTCCAGATTGCGCTCCTACACGGTCCGCCTGGGACAGGCAAAACACTGACAGCAGAGGCTGTGGCTGAACACCTGAAACGACCACTCTACGTTCTCAGTTCACTTGAGCTTTCGACTACACCCGCTACGTTGGAGAAAAAGCTGGGTGATGTTCTGAGGGTTCGTGATCTTAATTTTTTGTTCGCCTTTTCTTGATCATAGCGCCGTCACAGCTTGCAACGACATGGGATGCAGTCGTCCTCATTGACGAAGCCGATGTGAGTTGGTTTCGATGCCTAAGCATCATGTTCATTCTATATGCTGCACCTTTAGGTATTTCTGGAGCAAAGGAGTCTTCATGAGGTCCGTTATTATACATCCCTTTCAAATTGTGGTGCCTGAACATTCTTGAAGTTGGAGCGCAACGCCCTCGTTTCTGTTGCTCTTCGGGTCCTCGAGTACCATCGCGGTGTCCTTTTCTTGACTACCAATCGTATCCAGGCCTTTGATGAAGCCTTCCTATCCCGGTTTTCCATTGGTAACTACCTCTGCTATTAAGGATCCTTCCTTCACCTGACGTCTGTTAAAGCCGTGAAGTACCCAGAGCTGGATGTTGATGCCCGTTTGACCATCTGGCGAAAGTTCTTTGAGCTTGCTGGGTGTGAACTGTGGGGCGGCAGTGGACAGCCTGGAGACGGACGGCAGAGCCCGGACGAGTTTGTCAAACTTGAAGGACAAGAGCCGCAGTGCTATGTTTCGCTTGCTGACCTGAAGGAACTGGCTGCGAAGCCTTTCAATGGTATGCGCTACTTTTTATATTTGAAACCTTTCCATTGACTAGTCCCAAAAAAATTAGGCCGCACTATCAAGAATCTTGTGCGGACCGCGCAAGCGTTGGCCATGTCATCGTATGAAATCTCCCTGTATGATGTATGCCTCAGTACTTATACTTATGGTTTTAGGGACGAACCGCTTTCCCTTGAACACGTCAAGGTTGTGGTTGAAGCGCAAGAGAAATTCTTGACCGAGTTTGCGAAAATCAAGTTATGACCGAACGTCACGTTATGACTGTGATCTTTGGTTATCATGTAACAAGTAGTCATGTTGTTTTGTATGTAAGACCAGTGTTTACGATATGGAGAAGATGCATTCTCGACGTCTGGCTTTTTTCCAGAGTCCTAAGATACTCAGCGGTGTTGTGGCATTTAAACCCATTAGACCATAAGCCTTTGATAAGCATTTGAAATATGGGCCTTACAGCATTATTTATTTATATTTTAAGTCTCTATCAAACTCGTATCCAGGTCCAGGTGTTGTCAATGGGTTTCGCACAACCTCTGTACGACCCAAAGTGGCAGTTGATGCCAGGTGATGTACCAAGTTCGTCAAGATATTCAGTTTCCATCATCAGCGCCTAGTAAGCTCACCATAAGCATCAAACTTCTTTCAGGCAAGCGAGGAAGCCGGCTACAGTCCCCTGTCGCTCACCCGAAAACCCTCGGTTCCCTGGAATTGCATCATTTCAAGGTACCAGTGCACCGTTCATCGCAACCACGTTATCATGTTCTTATCCAAGAGACCCAGTGTTGGCGTTTACAATGACTCGCTGGTCCCCGAGTGGTTACAGTAGTAAATACCCTGGGTAGATACTTTTTGTATTAATTAGTTGTGTACCAAATTATATACTCTATACTGAGCTCCAACTCACGAGTGCAACACTGATGGACAAGTCGAATAAATGGTCGCAGAAGCAGTACCTACCAAACCAGAGTTACCGAAATCAGGCCAGACTGAGACGTATAGTCACACTGTCATGCAGGTTGGGGGGAAGGCGGCGAAAAACATCAGGTCGTGTCACGTCTGCCACCGCTTCGCATGCGCGTGTCAGCCTTGTTCTCTCCATTTGTCGAGCCTCAATCCGAACTCATTCTAGGCCACTACCCACGTCCAGCACTCTCACTTCAAGCTCTACACTAATTTTGGGTGCATGTCGTGGATTATCGAGCACGCTCTCCGTCTTTTATTTGCTGTACTTCCCGCCGTGTGTTTGCATTTCGAAATCAGCTTAGTACTTTTAATAGCTTGCATGGCATCGATATTCCCAGATTTTGTAGTATTTTGTAAGCCCAATGCTTCTTTCCTGTACATTACGATACAAAGTAATATATAGCAATCCAAAGCAATGTAATTACCCCAATTCATGCTCGATTCGGACCTATATATTGCTTTACATCACTTTAGATTGCTTTATATTGTTTTATAACATCATGTAGAGGAAACAGGTACCATAGCTGGGAATATCTGAGTTTCACCGGTTTACTGATGTGGAGCTGAGTAGTAGAGCATGTACATGCGTCAGCATGACATACGGGGCAAAATTTATATCGAGCGTGGAGACTATACATGCTATAGAAGGGACGAATGAGTGAAGGCCAGAGCGGCGTCGTGGCCACGGCGACAGCGTATCACTGTAACTCGAGCGGTGCGAGCTTGGATAAATTATAACCATTAAGGGTTTTTGTCGAAGGAGGGCGTTGAACTGTACATGAATATCCAGAGGAGTGAGAGCAGACGCCAGACGCAGTGTTGAGAGGCAAGACATTAATAGACAGCGTCAGCGAAAGAATAACTGTTGGAACTAACAAGAGATGGTCTACTTAGGGTCTTGCATAGGCATGAAACTCGTACCCTGACTCGGGGATGCAACTTGCATCTGGGAACCGAGAATTTTCGGATGAGTAACAAGGGACTGGTTAAACCGGTTTAACCTAGGCTAATTGTGGGAGAAGGGGACGGTTCAATTCAGTGCTTTCCCTTTGGCCAATCAGTCGACCAATATTACTGAAATCCTGGCCACATATACTCCCGGGTACAAATACTAAAGTCAGACAGCCCACAATATGGCCGGCGGCAATGAGTATGAGACTGAAGCTACGTAATCTTGATAAACGGTCGCGACGTCAAGTGATGATTAATAGTGGTATACGGATCTACACAATTGAAGCGCTGATATATATACTGAAACGCCAAAGATCCGAACCATAGGCTGGCAGATATCAATACCCGTCACACTATATAATCCCATGTTCCGGACCGTGGCACTACCCCAGCTTTCTTTCAATCCACATCATGTCAGACGCACCGCAAGCACAAGTCAAGGCCACCTCAAACGGCATTCCTGTTCCAAGCTTCGATTTGCCGGTTAGTCGTTGTCGTGGTCCTCTCCGGTTTTTTCTGACAAGGCTCTAGTTACCTGACAGACCAGACATCATCACCGCCAACGTCCAGAAGCTCACAGAGCTAACACCCAATCCGTACGTGCCATGTACTTCCAACGCGAGTGACTACACATAACACATCACATGCATCCAGACGCCACAGGTTCATCTTCAAGGCGCTGCTCAAGCACCTGCACCAGTTCGTCAACGAGACCAGGCGCGTTTACTACCTGTTGAATCTCCAGTTCTCGACTGACGCCACGACTATCCCCAGTTTGACCACAGATGAATGGATGGCAGCAATCGATTTCTTGACGCGCATCGGACAAAAGTGCACACCATTGCGTCAAGAAACCATTCTGCTATCAGATGTCCTAGGTGTTTCTGCTCTCGTCGACTCGATAAATAATCCCATTGCGGGAGGGGCAACCGAGAACAGCGTCCTGGGTCCATTCTTCACCGAGGATGCTGCAGATGGTGAGTCGCAAGCAATTCTAGTGCACGTCTAGTTGTAGATAGAGCCGCAGTGAACTTTGGTGAATCGATCGCGTCTGAAGGAAAGGGAGACTACATGTACGTCGAAGGTCGGATTTTGACGACTGACGGGCAACCAATCCCTAATGCCGTCATCGAAACTTGGGAGACCGATGCCGATGGTTAGCTTCTTCCAAATATCATCTCACGATTCATATTCATTATTTCTGTCAGGATTCTATGACACCCAATACGCAGACCGCTCTCATCCCGATTGCAGAGGTCGCCTACGCTCTGATGACGATGGTAAATTTGGCTATCGTGCTGTTGTACCAGTAGCGTACCCAATTCCTGGAGACGTAAGTCAATGTTTCATGCCTACGTAACCTTGCGCCAATAATGCCGTGTTTTTAATAGGGTCCAGTTGGTGAACTTCTTCTCCTTCTTGGTCGACACAACATGCGGCCAAATCATTTACACATGATGGTCGAGGCCCCTGGTTTTCACAAATTAGTCACGGCATTTTATCCAGATGGCTGCGACTATTTAAGAAGCGATTGCGTCTTCGGCGTCAAGAAATCTTTGGTAGTGGTATGTCTGGCTTCCTGAGTTTCTTTGAGGTCACTTGATTTGACACTCCTCTTCGCAGAACTTGAAGGATATTGTAGACGACGAGGAAGCTCGTAAACGCGGGTTTCCTCACGGTGACTCGTTCAAGTTATTACAATATGATATTGTATTACTCACGGAAGACCAGTCTGCCGCGATGCGTGCTGGCATTGAGGAAGAACGATACACGATTAGTGATATCATAAAAAGTACTAAATCATAATGGACTTCGCACGGCATTATCATTATGTATTTTGGATATACCTGTCTTAGTCATGTTCTTTGCTATTTTTTGGAACTCCACGTGTGATGTGGAATGCAAAGCGGATATTCATGAGGACCTTTTCAAAACACTAAAAGCATGTAACTAGCCCGATATATAGTAGCATACATTCACTATGTACAGATGCTTGACACAAACAACACAGGTCACGCCATCTCAACATCCTCTACAGTGGTTGCTTTCTTGACTGCAACACCTTTATCATCAGCCATGAAAATGTCGAGCTCTTGATCAAGTTGCTCCGCTGTGGGAGTTTTGGATCGCGTAGGCTTTGGAGCCTTTGTCTTTGATGACGAGGCAACTCTTGCGGATCGTGGTTGGCGTGCGCGAGTCAGACCGGCGCTGAGAACGTAAGGATGCGATTAGAGCAGTGCTAGAGGTGTGTTTCACTCCTTACCCTCCTTGCTGTTTCGGTCCAGCACCTCCGCTCAAACGCTCTGCCAATGAAGGTCGTTCAATCCTACTCAAGAGCGAGGATGTTCGTAAAGGCGTGGTGTCGAATGCGATTTCCATGGGTTGTCCTACATAGTAAAAAAAAATTAGAACAAAAGGACACGTGCAGGTCACACTGCGGACTCGAACTATCAAAGAACACCTACCTTTTGCAAGTTTACCATCGAACTGTCTCTTGGCGCGCGTTGCTTGCAAGGGTGTCTCGAACGACACAACTGCCACACCAGACGAGCGTCCACTGCGGTCGTACTTTAAAAATGAAAAGCGAGTTTCAGGTTCAGTTTCGTTGTCATCTTCAGTTATATGAGCCAGAAGCGAAAGCGATCCGAATCATCCACAAGCATTGTCCGGTCCATGCGAGCGAAATAAAAATCCGGGCAGGAGGTGATGAGGTGTTTTCGAATTCGGAATCATCGTACCCTGATCAAAGGCTCGCGAACGAGCGTGCCTATTTGTCCGAAAATGGACTGAAAAGGGATTTAAGGCGCTTTCTAGTCATGGGCGGTATAAAATACCTACCACCAAGTCTTTAGGCGTGATCTCGTAGTGTAGGTTGGATACGATGAGCTTTGTGGCTGAACCGGTGTTGGCTGGCGCATTTGCCTTTGCTGATTGAAGCGGAGCTCGGTCATGGACCCAATGGCCATCAGACCCTCGAGGACGCTGAGGGCATCAATGAATCAGACGACACACCTGCTACGGAGTCAAAACTTACAGCATATGGCTTTCTCTGCCTTTCAGACCTAACGGGAGCCATATGAGATACTTGAACGTCGAGTAAGTAGTTCAATAGATGAAAGCAGAGAAGGTTGTTCAAGTCAAAGAAATATCATACTCCACAAGGTAATAAGCGGTGTTTGAATTCGGCACTTTCCGGACGCAGCCCCTATGGTCGTCGTGGAAGTACAAGCAGTGTTGGTCACCGAGCGCCAATGAGCCTGTGAATTGAAATGATTACTATTGATAGTCTGATCTTCTTGCCGATCGTAGATCAGCAGGGTTTCACCGGCATGCGTCGCAGAGAGCGTCACAACGCGATTGAATTTCGTGATTCACTGTTTCACCATTTTCTCGGACAATTCTCGCACAAGCAGATTCTATTCAAAGTACACTTTTCTACCTGCAAACAACTACTCATAAAATTTGTGGCAAGAAACCACGTTATATCGAACGAATACAACGGCTCCAAACTACAACATAAACACTCATTCATTGCCTATATTTACTAGGTGTAGTCAGAAGTTGTGCCAGGGCACAGAGTAAGAGTGATATCGGTGTTGCCGCAAGTATATACGACATAGTCAGCAGGAGTATAGCCATCTGAATGATAATTATTAGTCCGCTATACCGATGGCAGTAAGATGGAAACACATACTCGAGCCGTCATTGTCAGGGAATGCATAGGCATTATAACAAGTGTCATAGTAGAAAGCACTGTTGGGGCCAGGGCCCTCGTTGTTAGTGCAGCCTCCTCCACTAGCAGGAAGGGCGCCACCGCTGCACGCGCTCGCAGAGGAGCAGCACGGAGAGTAGCACGTGTCTGTTCCAGGTCCAGGAACGGGCTGAAACAATATGAGCATGCATGATGTCACTACGGATAGATTACTCACACAGCCAGATGAGATCGTGCAAGCAAAGGCATCGCAGCTCGCATCAGAGGAGGAAATCTTCATTCCAACGTTATATCCATAGATGAGCGAGATATCATATGTCACGCTTCCGGGGATTGCGTACTGCGTTTTTAAGTCAGAACTTATTTCGATGCCTATGACTGGGACCCACAAAATTGAATTCGGCTCTACTGAAGGGAGTGTTACCGTCCCAGGTAGGGCCACCAGTAGTACAGGTAGAACCGTCGCTGCTGCATCCGGTACCTGGTAGTGCGGTCAGCGATAAGCTGAGGAGGGGAGTTACACACTTACCGACGTTGATAGCGCCGTCCCAGTTGGAGCTGATGCCTAGGTTTGCACTCTGGCCTGCAGCAACGTTGACATTGTTGTCGATAGTGCCAAAGCTGGTGCCTGTATTCAATAAAACAGATTCGGTGCAAGAGTTGACGACGGTGAGGGACTGGGCTTGAGCCACGGTCACGATAGCGGCTAGAACTAAAGCAGAGAGAGTGGCCATTACAAGTAATGATTAGACGACTTGGAAATGGGAGACGATGATACTTGTTTAAACAATTTATGGATCCCTTTATACCAGAAGTCTTGGACCGTGAGCGCGTTAGCGTTTTATTGGAAGTGTAAACCAAAAATGAAGCCACAAAATTTTGTCAGAAACAGTGTGAATTGGCAAGCAGCAGTGTGCTGTGGGATGGTCATAATCTTTGACCGGAAATCCTGATATGGGACAGTAAGAATTGATGGAAGATGCGGTGACAGCTAAACATTGCACGAAGGGTGCTAAAAGAGGGATAAAATCAAAATAAATACTGCGCTCAAACACACCAACAACAAAATAATTCTTCTGTCAGTGGATGACTGATGAGGTCACGAAACTATTTCTGATTCAGTGAAATGGACTTCGGAGGCTCAGTTGCGGTTGTCACGCACAAGAAGGCTGTAGCACGTTGTGGTCAAGCTTGAGTTAGCCACCAGCAAAATTAAATCCAATAGGTAATGAACTGCAGGAAGATTAATGAACATAAGCTGATCAGGGGCAGGTTGACGGTCCCGCAATCTACTTACTTGGCTTGCACTGTGCAGCTTTCGCGTTGAATATCTGGGTTTAAAAGATAAACACCATAATATTATTTTCAACTCCGCGGCGTATGGTATGCCACAAATCCTCTTTTGCCCGAGTTTCGTGTATAGTTAGGGATGCTAGGTTGTCCAAACGCTACATCGGGTCTAACGAACCGAAGTATCCCAGTTTTCTGTTGTCTTTTCATCTGCATTATGATGTCAGACCCCTATTTTATGCGAAGTGGCTTCGATGTCAGTATTACTTACGGCGCGCATCACAACAAACGGGGCCCCATGAACCCAGCCTCTATACGTCGGAGTTCCGTCAGTACTTCGGTACTCTTGGTATAAGCACTTCACTGCGCATCGATAATAATAACACATCGGTACGTCGGGCATCCGGCTGCTGCTAGCGCTTACCACTGCATCATCCATAGCTCCATACCTCTTCACACCCATTGTCACAAGTTGCGAGGCGATGAAGGTTTGATATATTTATTTCTGTCTCTACAACATGCAAGTCCTCAAGGTTTATGGGGTTGATTCTAAATCTTCTCGAGGCAGTTCTCCGACAGCTCTTTACCCGCATATTTTATGCGTCGGAATTTTTGTACGTCATGCCCTAGTATTCACACACATTGAATCTTAATACGAGCGTCTACAAGATTCATCATTCTGTGACCCCACATCCTAGATTTCACCTACCCGATCTGTCACGCTTTCGGAAAATCAAGAATTCACCATGTTTACTACCATAGTCTTTGGACAACGCATAGTCGCCGACTCGCAGTGCCTTCAAAAAATACTTGGACTCATCAAAAATTGGTCCGGTTTTTCCGAACCAAACCACCCGCTGTGCAGTCCAGGCACGGGGAAGTGAGTCTCTGTCGCAGAACATAGCCTGTGCTGTCCTACTGACTACCCATTGCGGCCGATAAAACGGACCGTTAGGTCATGCTGATACAGTGGGTATTACTGGGTCTCATAGAAAGACTCTGTCCCCCAATAGAACGTTTCCGTGCAGAAATGGTGAAAATAGACGGTTCAGATCATCCCCCAGATCTGGTTGCATTTTCTGGGTGGTGTTATTTTTCAGATTCTGACATGTCAACAGTGCAGTCAACAGTTCGCGACCTCTTTGCCGTGCCGCCGCAGGGAGCGCCACATCCTACAAGCCCAGGATACTACTCAAATGACTCCGAGGTGTGCATTGTGAAGGGATATCTTTATCAAGTTGATGCGAAGGATGGTCGGATCCTACTAGCCATATTTATGACGTGCCGGTGGGACCTCAAGCACTACCAGACAGACATGCTGGCTTCAGCTTCTATCTTCCGTTACAAAATTTCTCTGACGTGTGTGTAAAACTGCGTACGCGGTCTCCATCGACAATGCCATCAGCAACAAACAGGCGGGTTTCTTTTCTTTTAATGGATCAGCGCCCGGGACAGATTTGAATCAGGCATGCTATGACCACCGAAAGAAGCGGGGCTCTTCACGTACTGCCGTTGCGAAATTGCTTCAGTCTGGTGGCACTAAATGCAGCTTCTTAACTTGCGACGAAGACGCACTGCGCGACGGGTGGTATACCACAGGTAGTCATCGTGTTGTCTTACCTGATGTTCCATGGCATCCACAGAATCTTAAGAAAATGATTGCGGTTTATGCCCTTCTTCAAGTTGGCTTCAAACTTGACCTTATGTGCAGTGAGTTCCGACGACAAAGACCATACCTTTCACAAGTCAGGTTTGTGTCCCATTCGCATGTCCAATGGTACGCTTCACCAATAGTCATACAGGAGTAGACTTGACCCTTGATATTTTCAGCACGTTAAAGCGAGATAACGATGTCTAGGTAGAAATTCCAATTACCTTGTCGTTGCAACTGGTATTTGATTTGATTTTCTTCGCTGCTGGCTCTTGGATGCCACCAGGCCCGGAGAGTTTCAGGCTTCGTCCTCGTCCCAGACGTCGCGGTCTATGTCTTGCTTCAATCGTGCCTCGTCGATATGATCGGGGCACTCATCCTATCCAAAACCATAGCAGGTTGTGCTTTGCACCTCGAAGACATAGTGGTCGGGAATAGGTTAGTTGAAAATCATGATTCATGGCAATCACTCACCGGCCCTGGCCAAATGTCTTCCAATATTCGACATGAGAGATATTCCAACCCGAAATATCACTTCTCTACTCATCAAACACATTCCTGTACCCTGGAAGAGGGGATAGATCTCCCATAAAATTTCTCTGTCCACGCGATCATGACGGCTCCACGCCGGCCCGTCAGCCACGACCTTCAGACGTGTCTCGAGCTCGCTGTCTGTTTTGTTGTGCTTTCTTCGCCCCCTTCTCTGTGCTGTTCGTCCTTATGGCTTCCGGTTCTTCTTCAGTCATGAATCGAGTTGTGTCTCGCCCTCCACCTGCGTCGCTCGTGATTTCAGATCATGAGCTTGCAGACGATGTGACATCTGTTGTGTCATCATGTGTCTTGCGGAAGTACTTTGGGGTTTTAGAAGTACCACTGATCACCTGCAAATTGACAGTCACGCTTAGGCTTATGCGAGCAGGCGGTCAAATTTTTACACGAAGTCGCTTCGGAGCGTGTGCAATCATTATCCTGTTGGTTCGTTGTCAACTTGTTGCCTGTCGTGGTGCCGAATCCGCGGTCGATTGTCTAAAATTTTGCAACGCTTAGTCGAGAGCAATATGTTGGGATCACGCGCACATTCTATTTATATGTCCGCATCCGATCGCAAGGATCATGTTCGTGATCTGCTTCGCGATGTGATGCTGTGTGTATTTTTAATGCTACTGTGTTTAAGCTTTTGTAAACGTCCTAGAGTTGACGATGTTTTGTCTGAGTCTTTCGCAGCGTCGTTTCGTTCGCGTCTTGCTACTTCCAAGCGATATGCTCGCGCTACAGCTAGTGAATCGCAGCGTATGGATGTGCGAGATATGGATGATGCTCAACATCGAGATGTTTACAACCAGAAGGATGGATATGTCATGGACGATCCGCATTTCCCAGCAGTGTTATTTTTCGACGATAAGTCAGATATTATTGGCGATTGTCAACGGCAGATGCAGTCGGGGCATTGTATATGATAGTATCCACCAGTATGGTATCACCTCGGACGAGCTCGGCAATGTCCGACGTTGGGTAAGACGCTGAAGTTTAATGATTGTATTACCGATAAAAGCATGAAGTATCCGCCCAAAACGTACATATATGGCGAAGGAATTAAAAGCAGAGTGAAACCCCACGAGTCGGGGATGGGCACCGGTGCTTGCACCATTACATTGGTTGGTCGAAAAAAGACTATCCCTGTGTGATCATCTGATGCGGCTGGCAATAGGGGCACGCGCTTATGTCAGCGTCCCCGGTTTGGTGCTACGTTCCACAAGAGTCCTTCAGGCTTGCCCTTTCATTTCACCTTGCTCTCACCGTGTTAACCACTATGGCGCCCCTGTCTACGTTCTCACTTCCTCTCCTACCAAGTGGGCTGCCCGCTGGATATGGTTGGGAAGAACGCGATGTGTCGGTATTATCGACGACTACTGCATTCAACACCGGGGTAGATAGGCGGGACACGTTCCTTGGTCAGCGTCGCTGTGTCGTCTGTGGGGAGGCCGGTGGCGCGGTGCTCCAGCATTGTCACATTTCAAAGGATTCAGAGCCACAACTTGTAAGTTGACAAACCATTTGAGCCGCCCTGAGGCAAACGTGAGACATAGTGGTTCAGCCTGAAGGCTCGTAATTGGATCCCTTCGCAGGCCAAAAGTCTTCCTCGGCATGAACCGCGCGGTGGCCTGCTCATGTGTAGCAACCATCACCTCTTTTTCAATGCTTATGATTTCTTCATACGTTTCTTCCCTGATGTGAGATTGATTTCGTCTTGTATTAATATTGAGCCAAGTATTGACAGCACTCGGGAACAGATTCGCAAATTTGTGTTCGTCAACTATTCCGGTGACCCTGCTCTTCAGCGGTTCCATGGCAAAGCTATTGCCCTTGACATCAGGGATCACCACGCGCCCTTCCCTTCCCTGTTCATCATCCATGAGATGCGCGTCCGTGGATTTCATCCCTTCCAACCTGTCGCTCCTGCCATGCCAGATGATATCCATTGGCAAGACTGGATCTCGTCGCACAGCGTGTTCGACGATGTCTCAGGTACTTTCAATCGTGACGGCCCACTAGACAACAGCAACAATCTATCTATGCAACCACAGACGCAGTCTCAGCCTACGACGACGAGCACAGGTGATGCTTCATCTAGCCCTAGGTAGACGTGCGCTAGCACTGAATGCAGACATCATCTCTGACATCCTTGCGGCGACGCATGCCATGCCGTCATGGAGGGCGTGCCAGATGGAGGGCACGAGCTGGAGTGGCACGGCAGAGGAAAACATACACAAATATGTCTCTTCCATTGGCGTACAAGATCGTCGACCTTGAGGCGTGGAGCTCAGCTTTGGTTCTGTTTGAGCACTCGCAAGAGTAGCCATTATCGGTGATTGCATTTCCGTTCCGTGCAGCTCCTATTTACCCCCAGGAATGTGGGTGTGGTTTCTTTTGTAGTTGCTTTCCCAGCCTGGCTCGAGTGTGCGACCCCGACAAGCGTGCCGGTTCCGACAAACCCGTCACTGCACTGCTGTAAAATCCCTTCTCTGTCGACCCAACATATAGCAGTGTATTGCGAGTAACGATCCTAGTAGTAACACCACCATAAGTCCGTTTTCGAAACATCATATAAATCATAGTGCAATCCGGCTCCGCCATTTTTGTCGCAACTCTCAAAGGACACACTGACCCCGTGCATTGCCTGGCTTAGACCAAGGACCGAAAAACGCTTATCTCGGGGTCATACAGATGAATTCAGACATAGGATATCACTAAGTGGGAGCAAACCGCAATTCTGGATCAGCACATTTCCGATGTCTTGGCCTGTGTAATATCGCCGGATGACCACATCTTCGCAAGTGCATCGCGCGACCATACAGCACGATTGTGGAACCTCGACAATGGACAACCCATCAATTCGCCCCTCCGGCATGCAGATCAGTTGACTCCATATCGTTCTCGGAAGATGGAAAGCTGCTAGCCACTGGTTACTTCGACAGAAATGCCTACACATGGGACGTTGCTGCGATTGTTAAAGAAGCTGGTCACGACGACCTTCTTTCGGATTCAAAGGTGAGTACTCATATATCACTTCATATCGTTGAAGAACTGAACACGCTCTGCCAGGCCGACATGTCGGCACTCCATGTATGTGACACCTTCATTAAAGATCCCGCTGTGCTCGACACATTTACCCTAGGCTACTGCTACACGAACTCCGATCTCAGACGGATCAACTTCCACGTACATCAATCCATTCGGAGGATACTGTGAGTGAATTTGTTCTCACACATCAGGATTCCTGAAGCATTTCATATGATGTCACCTTCTTTGTTCTCCCGTTCAAGCTGCTGATACAATGTTCACAGGGATAGATATTCCAATGATCCGTTCAACGATGGTGCGCGGCCTAACTCATGGACGCTATCGCTGAATGAAAGTTAGGTCTGGGGCACGAGTAAAGTCAATGGGTAAGCCTAACTGGCCCCATCTCAATTTTTTATGATCTACATGGTCTTCTTAGTCTCATGAGTCACGCTGCCCTTCTCAGCGGATTGAGAAATCACTACCCCCGCCCACCAAACATCATTGACCGGAGGAATATGAAAATGTCAAGTTACATTTTGCATTGCATAAACGTAGGACATCTCGCTATACGGTGACGATAGCTCCGGTCCTGATTACAATTTTGGTTTCTTGAATTTTTCTTGTGAGGGGCTCAGCTTCGTGGATTTCAATGCCAATTAGCTCTCTCAATTGTCCCCACCAATGTCGGGGCCGAAACGACGAGTGGTTTTTCCCCTTCGAAGCAGCGCTCCGATGCCCCTTGCAACAACAAGTTTTCGATCTATCCATTTACCCGCAGACTGTCACATATATGCGAGAGATATAGCTCGCTCGTAATCTAAAATCCATCATTAATAGTTTCAGAATAAGCTCTTCACACGTAAGATACCCTGCCATTCCACTACTTTTTCTTCCCTCCCTTGCCTTTCCCACCAGTTTTCCCTCCATGTGAGGCGCCGGCAGAAACAGGCCCACTGTCTGCGCCAATAGTTGCACCCTGTGTTGCACCACCTCCTGCACCCCTCCGCTTTTTCCCTTGTGTATAAATAGTTCGCTCTGGCATCCGGTGGGGACACGCCTGGTGTGACCCCCTTCGGCACACGTTTTGCCCGCAATTTCTCTTTGGTTTCCACAGCCTCCGGCTTTTTTGTGGGTTCTTCCACAGAAACGAGAATCAAAGTTGGTTGGGAGAGAATGGTTAATGGCGCACATTCTAACCTTGAGGCGATAGTGCTGGGGAGTTGAGACACAGCCTGCCTAAGCGTGGTTGTGATGAAATCATGGTTTGATTGAGAAGCTTGTAGATTGGTGAGAATGTCCGCATGTCCATCTGAAGACTAAGGACAGCACATATACCTGAATGAGTTGCCAATTACTTGCAAAGCGCGCAACGTACAAGACCGGCTATTTCAAGAAGTTCATTATAGAGGATGACTGGTGCGATCCTTGGCGACAACTCTGCCAGATAAATTATTTCTGTTCTGATATTGAAACGATGACCAGATGCTTACTAACTGAGCCTTTAAGTGCATTGCACCTCTCCGCTCTGCCTGTTTCCCATTGTTCTTGATTCCCTTTAGTTTTTAAAACCCCCACAATAGAGTATCAGTCGACTACGATGAGCTGAGTTGCCTGACCGCCGATTTGTAGTCAGTTCCATCGTTTCTGCGACAGCGGTCAGACATTTGAGTAATGCAGTGCACAACAACTTTTAATGGACAACAACAAACCGAACAAGATCGGCATCATGCGCCAAATGATCACATGGGTGCCCAACGAAAGCTGGCTCAGACTGACAGGCTGTCGCGGGTAACAATTACCGTTGTCAAGTTGAGAAGAATGAAGTACATGCTTTACCTCACTTGGTACAGCACAGGAGAAGAGGACCTCGACGATGTCACTTGACAAGCATATTTCCTTTGGTTATTCACGAGTCGCAGGGAGAAGACGTCGACAACGCCTACCTGAGAACGAAAATCGAGGTATGAGCTGCAACTCGCCAATGCTCGTTGTTGTAACTGATTTCAAGTGTTTGAACCTGGTCACCTCGATCGAGGTATGTCCTTACGTTACGCTATTCGTACCTGCAATATTTTTTCTCATGGTGTGACGGCAGCCGAAGCAGTATTTCGGAACGGTATCATTCCCGGGGCGATTTGTGTATGCGAAGCGATAAGACGCAGGTGCTCGGTAATACTCTCCTTATGTATAAAGTTTACAATGGCACTTAAGGTTGCCTCGCACAAGCTTTTCCACCTTCTGACCCAATCCACATTGTGGGAGCACCATGGATCCAGAACGAAACTTGCCTTACACCTCCATTGAGCACTCCACTCAGCTCCAAGTCCAGCAACGGCAGCCTTCGCCATCGTCACTGGGATTTGCAGACAACGGAGGTCGTCCACAGACTCAATCATCAGCGACTGAGAAGCCCCTACTTGGCAGTGTCAGTTCACAGGAACATTCACCGGCTCGTGGTCGCAATGACCCATATGCAGATTTTGAGCCCGTCCCTCAGGCTCCTCCAGCTACGAGAAGCCGGGACGGTCATATGATGCGTGGATCGTCGCGGCGCGCAGTTGTGTCAGGCCAGGCTCCTGTCAGTGCTTCTGGCCTTGGCTGGATAGTGCCTGTCGAGGAGAAACCTCACGTTTGTGTTGCTCCCTCTTCTTACTTTGCATTGATCCTTAGCCTGACCCTACAGCAACGAACCATAGGAGAGCGACTCGATCCAAGTATTGTCAACGCGGAGAGGGAGAGGGCACAATACGCCACAAAAGGTTGGTCAAATTGTCAAATGGCAGCCTTTCTGCTCGGTATACGAGCATGATGCTGAGGTTCCTTATTTCTGGGAATGTTCTGATGGCGTTCCTTTTAAAGCAAAAATAACAGGCTACGCGTTGAACATCGCGATAGGTTTACAAGTTTTGCTTGGGGCGCTCACTACGGGTCTTGCGGCGGCATTGTCTGGTAAGCAGGTCAGTTTGAGAGTGCATGCATATGCTTTTACGATAAACTAACTCGTGCAATTTCAGGTTTCTATCGGTACCACTATTCTTGGTGCGTATCCATGTCCCCTACATTTGAAGATTTCCTGAAGACCACACCCCAGGTGGCATGTCGACTTTAGTTGCTTCCTACCTCGCTCGGACAAGGGGATCAAATGAACCAGAATTATCCATCACTCGTGTAAAGGACCTAGATCAATTTTTAAGAGACTGCCGGTCCTTCAAAATGGACCACGGACATGAATATGGAACAGCTGAAAATGGGCTGAATGATGAACTCGAGCATCTCAGGAAAAGGTTCGAAGAACTTCTTGGAAATGGTGATGGGTAGGTCATCTCACGCTCGCTCTGCTATGCTATGTTGAAACTTGACGACCTATTTCAGGCAGCGGAAGCTTTCCCCGCCTGTTAAGGCGGCTGGTGTATGATATGTCCAACCGTCTTTCTAGTAATTCATCCACAAGCCGATGTGTAGACCTCTCTGAAATAGTATCTAACATTACTTTACCGTCCCGAAACACTCATTGCAGATGATGATTCTTGCTGGCATCCAAAGCCTTCCTTCACGCTTATCCACCATATCGGAGAAGTGGTTAACTCCTCGAAAACGTAAGTAATGGTCCCAACAGCTTCTACAGCGCGTCACAGCACCGCCCTGCAGAATGCATCATTGAAGATGCTGTCATCATCCTAAGAGATAGCAGGTGTCCAATCGAACAGAAAAATCAATATTTCGACGGTGCTCGGTCGCGCCAGCCCCCCTGCTTGCATCCTACCCTGTGCTAACACTTGGTCCAGCATAAGGTATGCATTGGATTGTGTCAGCAACTCTCAAGCCAGACGAAGCTGGAAGGCCTGAGATGCCACATATGGTGACAAAGGTGCCAAGATGCAATAAGGACTCGGAAAAGGAAAAGGAGCCCCAGAGACTAATCCTCAGGGACCGATAGCATGTGTACGTATCGCCAATAGCCTAGGCCCGAGCCGAGCCCAGGCCAGGTCAAATCCCCCTGGATGGGCCTGGCCCAGTGAGCCCTCTGAAGCCATAGCTTCCAGGCCAAGCCAAGCACGGCGCATCACTGTTGCCGAGCGAAAGCTTGCGAGTGTGAGGTATGTACTTATGTCACGCTGCTCGTACATACGATACTTTCTCATGGTGTGACGGCGGCAGAACGGATCATTCCCAGTATGCGAAGCGACATGTAAGATGTAGGAATACTCACCTTGCGTATAAATTTTCCAATGGACTCAAGGTTGCCTTGCACAAGCATTTCCACCTCCTGACCCAGTCCGCACTGTGGGAGCATCATGGATCCCGAACAAATAAGCTATACCCCTATCGAGCACTCTACTCAGCTCCAAGTCCAGCAACGGCAGCCTTCGCCATCATCATTGAGATTTGCGGACAATGGAGGCCGTCCACAGACCCAGTCATCGGCAGCTGATAAGCCCCTACTTGGCAATGACAGTTCACAAGGACACTCACCGGCTCGTGATCGTAGTAATCCATATGTGGTTTATGAGCCCGTCCCTCAGGCCCCTCCAGCTACGAGAAGCCGGGGCTACAATATGATGCGTGGACTGTGGCAGCGCACAGTTGTATCAGGTCAGGCTCCTGTCAGCACTTCTAATCGTGACTGCACAGTGCCCATCGAGGAGAAACCTGGGGTTTGTGTTACTCCCCTTTTTCACTTTGCATCAACCCTTAGTCTGACCCTACAACAGACCATAGCAACGCGACTTCAACCAACTATTGATAACGCGATGAGGGAGAGGGCAACAGGTTAGTCAGATCGTCAAATATTAGCCTCCTCTGCTCGGTATGCGAGCACGACGCTGGGGTTCCTTGCTTCTGGGAATTTTCTGATGGCGTTCCTTTTGAAGCAAGAGTGACAGGCTACGCGTTGAACATCGCGGCAGTTTTACAAATTTTGTCCGGAGCGCTTACTACAGGTCTTGCGGCGTCGTTGTCCGGTAGACAGGTCAGTTTGAGACTGCATGCATTTGATTTAACGATAGACTAACTCTCATCCAATTCCAGGTTTCGATCGCTATCACTATTCTTGGTGCGTATCCATGTCCCCTACAAATGAAGATTCCTGAAGACCACGCTCCAGGTGGCTTGTCGACCATAGTGGCTTCCTACCTCACTCGGGCAAGGGGATTAAATGAACCAGAAATATCTAACACTCGCGTAAAGGACCTAGATCAATTCTTAAGAAAGTGCCATATCTTCAAAACGGATCACGGACATAAATATGGAACAACTGAAGATAAGCTGAATGATGAACTCGAGCATCTCAGAGGACAGCTCGAAGAAATTCTCAGAAATGCTGATGGGTAGGTTATCTCACACTCGCCCTGCTATGCTATCTTGAAACTTGACGGCCTATTTTAGGGAGCGGAAGCTTTCCCCACTTGTCAAGGCTGCTGGTGATAAGACTACTGAACGATCCGCGCCACCGTCCTCCTGGTAATTCATCTACAAGCCGTGTTGGACTCTGAGAGATCCGAGTCGAAGAAGACCGACGAATCCGAGATAGGAACGGATAGAAAGTGAGAGGTACGAGCACAAGCCCAAAACGGACTAAGGCGAGCGACGCTTTTGACGTCGGCTCGCGTCCTGCAATCTTTTCATGTTTCTCTCTTATATATTCAGTTGCCAACGTACTTACTATAAAAGCGCCAGCAGTGGCGCACGAACATCTCAGTTCTTTGCAAGAGACTGAGATGTGAATTAGAATTCGTTATCATTAATCACAAAGTCTAACGCGACGTAGTGTACTTGTCCTTACAGCGTTTCGGACTTCCCACCTTCGTCTATTCACCAGAAGCCGATATGTAGACCTCTTTAAAATAGTATTTAATGTCACTTCACCGTCCCGAAACACTCACTGCAGATGGTGATTCTTGATGACGTCCAAAGCCTTCCTTCACGCTTGTCCACCATATCAGAGAGGTGACTAACACTCCGAAAATGTAAGTAATGGTCCCAACAGCTTCTGCAGCGCGCCCAGGATGTATCTTGAAAATACTGTCGTCACCCGGGCCCTGAGAGATAGCAGGTGTCTAATCCGACATAAAAATTGATATTTCTACCAAGGCGAGTCGAGCACCCACCTTGCGATGATTATAACTAAGATAGAACATAAACACCCCTGCTGATCAGTAGACGCGACCTGGACAGCGACACGTTCACAAAAACTACAGTCCCAAGGCTATCATGGGACCATTATGACACAGGGGTCGGGTGTGCGTTAGATTCTTCTTGCATCTGTTTGCGCATGACGAATGTGAGCCTCGCTGTCACTACTAGCTTCAATGTTGCAGCCCTTATGTTGACGCACAAGGACAGCCGTCTGGCATCCCTCCCACCGGTCATGTGTATAGGTCGATTCATGTTGGGAAGTGGCCGCGGTCACGCACTGACGGGAAGCGCTGAACAAGCTGCACTTGAATGCCGCGTCCGGGGTTATCGCAATGGAACTCCAAGGTCGAGAACTTTCCGAGGTAGAGCGACTCGAGTGCGAAACCTCAGTCAGCTGCTCATGTTGCACATCCTTTGAATTAACAGCTGGGCGGAAACCCAGATTCCGGGGTCCTTGCCCTTGAGATGATGGGAAATGTAATTCACTACAGAGTGCTACAGAGCTCTGTAGCACTGTAACACAATCCGATCCGCTGACGCCGCGGCCCGCCTCTCAAACGCAAAATCAAGGCGGCCCCGCAGGGAACCACGGAGGATTCCAGTACTAATTCTGTAGTGAATTGTTTGAGACTTAAGCTACGATTCGCAGTAGAGTCTCAAGCTTTACGTGGGCGCATCAATTGGTATTGCTAGATTGTAACTCAGGTTGTGTACTCTGCGAGACAGGGCGTCAGGGACTTGCCTCTATGCAGCGTTCTATTGACCTTGACACAGCCTATAATAGGTTTCCTGTGTCTTGGAAGCAATTTGACGAATGAACATATTACCAGAGGGTCACGGAATTCACGAGTTACAACAAAAGCGCAGTGTCCACTGATCTATCATGTCTTTTATACTTCGTCAAGTCGTGCCTCGTCACTTCCGGATAACTGGATTCAACACTCTGGTCATAGACAGTTGCCGACATGTATACTATACAGAACAAAGGGGCTCAGAGAGTCGGCAACAAGTAAGGGTAGAAATACGGTATCGGATGGGAGGATCGTGAAGTAAAAGAGAAGGTCGAAACCGTCCTTAAATGCAAATCGTCCGTTATCGAGTACAAAGCCATATCAAGTCCCTGAAAGCGGTGTATGTGTACAGTAATTTTGAAGTTCATGATGATAACCTAAGCCAACGATATACATGCCACCGTCCGCTGACATGAAGTTGAAGGCTGGTCATTTACTCGGTCGTGACCGACTTGGCTCTGCAGGATGAGGTGAGCGTTGAACGCCAAGTTACTACTACTCAAAAACTCACAAGTTGCGTGGGAAGTCGACGTCGAACCCGTTCTTGATGGCCAAGTGGTAACTCAACAGCTGCATGGGAATGATGTTCAAGAGACCTTGCAAGCAGTCGACAGTGCGAGGGACGCGAATGGTCTTCACCCCAGCCTTGATTCCGGTATCGCCCTCATTGCAGACAACAATGGGATGAGCTTTGCGAGCGGTTATCTGTTCGAACGCGGACTGAACCTTCGGGTATAAAGAATCCTGGGTCATGATGATGATGACTGGCATGTTCTCGTCGATCAACGCCAAGGGACCGTGCTTAAGCTCTCCTGCAAGGATACCCTCCGAGTGCATATAACTAATCTCTTTGATCTTGAGGGCGCCCTCAAGGCAAGTGGCATGCCTGAAAGAGTTCGACGATCAATCATACGATTTGGATTGTAAACGAGAGCTACTGACTGATATCCACGGCCCATCAGCAACAAGCTGCGTGAGTTTGCAAGGAGGCTATTGGCAAGCTCCCGCAAGCTCTTGTCATTTTCGAGAACACTCTTGATTTGCGCAGGGAGTGCACGAAGGCCATCGACGATCTGGTTGCGACGTTCAGTGAATGAGATCCGATCCTCTGATAGTTGCAGCGCCATCAGCATCAATGCGATGTACTGGGAGGTATATGCCTACAAGACGCTCATATCAGATGGTCAACACATTGGAAAAGGTTTCCATACCTTGGTAGACGCAACGCCAACCTCAGGGCCAGCGTTGATGTGAATACCACAGTGTGTTTCACGCGAGATAGTCGAACCGACGGTATTGACAACGCCCACACAAAGAGCACCACGCTCCAAGCAGTATCGCAATGCCAGGATCGTATCAGCAGTCTCTCCACTCTGACTGACAAAGACACAAATGTCGTCACGAAAGATGGGAGTCTTCCTGTCCAGGAAGTCGGATGCGAGTTCTACACTAACGGGGATTTCGGTCAACTCCTCGAAGATCGCACGAGTTGCCAACGCAGAGTGATAGCTCGTTCCGCAAGCGCAGAATACAATACGGCGACCGCGACGCATAATGTGCAGATAGGCACGCAGCCCACCAAGTGTGATTTTATAGTCATCGAAATTCACACGTCCACGCATCGTGTTGACGACGGATTCAGGCTGTTCGTAAATCTCTTTCTGCATGAAGTGATCAAACTTGCCCTTCATGATCTCGGCAATTTCAATCTCGAGCGTCTCGATGTTGCGAATGGCAGGTGTCTCGGCCGTGGTAGACTCATCCCGGCGCAGACGGTGAATGTGCAATTGACCCTCAGCGATGTGAGCGATATCATCATCTTCCAAGTAGAGCACACGCTTTGTGTGTTCCACAATGGCGGAAGCGTCAGAGGCGATAAAGAATTCGATGGGTTGGGGCATGCCGTCCTCGGACATGAAGTTGCGGGACCGACGACGAGACATCTTGGGTAACGATGGAGGCGCTAGTCGAGAAGTGGGGGAAGTGGGAACAGCAACTAGAAGAGCATTTAGCAAAGGCCAGATCGAGGAGCGAGGTAACTTACGACTTTCCACGGCTTTGGTGTCAGCATCCGCTCCAGAAAACTCGACATCCACAAAGTCGACTTTGAGTTTCTTGTCAGTCTTAACACCAATCAAGAGAGGTGAACCACGACGGGCAGTCACGATCTCATTCGGGAAGTGGATAGACTTGAAGACCAAGGCGAATGAACCCTCAAGCTCTTTCAGGACGGTCTTCACAAGAGCTGTGAAGGTCATGCGTTTGTCAGGCCGAGAGTCGTAGACATATTTCGTTAGAATGGCGACCGCCTCCGTATCAGTTTCAGATTCGAACTTGAAGCCACGCTTCTGCAGGACTTGCCGAAGAGCTGTAGCGTTGGTCACGATACCGTTGTGTACAACAATGAACTCATTGTTCACATCAGAGCGAAGTGGATGGCAATTGAGAACGGAGGGAGGTCCATGTGTTGCCCAACGAGTATGAGCAATGGAGACCTGGGATATCACCGACTTGGTCGTGTCAATGCTAGACTCCGCGATACGCTGCCGCAAGCCGGCAACCTTGCCGACCTCCTTGAAAAAAACAATTTCACCTGGCTTGTCGCCATCGATACCAAGGCCAGCAGAATCATAACCACGGTACTCTTGACGAGCTAGACCTGTGCAAAGAATCTCCAGGATTTCCTTGCGGTCCTGTGATCGATGAAGTTAGCTAATGTAATATCAAAGAACACGCGACGAAACCGAGAAGCGATGTAGGTAAAGTTACTAAATATGGTAAATCCATATCATGATGGTGTCGAAATTGCTCAAGGCTCGACATTACGCGCGGAGTTGTAGACACAAAGAGAATGAACGCGCAGCCACGATGCAGGCCCAGAAATAGCTTGTATCGGAAGACAACTTACCTTTTCTTTCAAGAAGTTGCAGTAGCCAAAGATGCCACACATTGTGATTCTAGGGTAAACAGGTATCTATATGCGCACAATAACGGCATGATCAGTTCGCCGACACCACAGATAGTCAGCTCAAACAAACCTAATGTAAACAAGGGCTGGTGTTGGAAGGGCGTTGTCGAGGTCGGTGAACAAGAACAAAGCTTGGGGACGCGGTTTAAGTACTCTAATTCTGGGTTGAGGGTGCGACAAACAATACCAAATAAAGCGGTCGTGGCGGACACAGCAACTGCAATTAATGCATCGGTTCAACATTCAGAGCGCGATGGAGGCTGCGCAAAAATGTACGTCCAAGCCTTTCGGTTCGAATACTCAGGCGATTTGATCGAGGCACTCCCTGCGATTTTCGCACCACTCTTGACCGCTATCAACGCTTATTTGTCGGTTCCGTGTGTATAACGTCTTATTCAAACCTCATCACCGTCCTCTCATCGCTTCTGAACTTCTGGTGCGTTCTCAACTAGACGCATAACACTATAGTTTAGGTATTCCTTGCAACTGACATCTTGTAATTAGGATCAAGTTTCCTGCATCATTCATTTCCAGACAGCGCCCCTTCCAGAAATAGAAAATTCAAATTCAAATTCCCTTCAACGGCGAGATTGTTACATATGTCAAGGGGATCATTTCACAGGTTGCATCATTTTTGCTGCGCAGCAGATAAAAATATGCACCTCCTTCCAGGGTAAACATATACCAAGTCTTACATTGCCACGCCAGTGTAACAACCCGAGTCCGTTCTGCAGGTGAGTATGGCGTGTCTTTTCACCAAGATTGCAATGTGACAGCCGCCTTTCCATTTACTAAACCCTGAAACTGACTGGTGAAGGGTTCCCTGGGCAGAAATACTCAATCAAACGTCATGAACACAATATCAGCATCAGTCGAGTTACCTGACCTCCCTCCTCAAATTACGTCTCGGTACATCACTTTGAGTGACCGCGATGGACTGAACGTCCATATCCTGGAGTCGTTTCCAGATGCAAGCAATCATTCAAGCACACCCTGCCATTTGATCCTTTTTCTACACGGTTTTCCAGAACTTGCTTACTCATGGCGCAAAGTCTTGGTACCTATCGCCAACGCCCATCAAGGCTATCATGTTGTTGCCCCTGACTTGCGTGGTTTCGGGCGAACAACGCTGACAAGATCCGGAAGCGCCAACCAAGTGCAATACGAAGATGCGCTTTCCTCGTATCATATACTCAACATCGTAGATGATGTATGTTCCCTTGTACGGGCGCTCGGATATTCATCTGTTGCAATGCTTGTGGGGCATGACTTTGGGTCTCCTCTTGCGGGACACTGCGTAACCGCGCATCCGGAACTATTTGCATCTGTCGTGTTCATGAGCGCACCCTTCGGTGGCGTTGGTGGCCCATCTTGGCCTCAAGCGAGTAACGAAGATGGAGATGATAAAGCGAAGGAACGCTCCATCGCTTCTTTGGGTTCTGATATTACCACTGCACTTGCTGCGCTCCAACCTCCGCGTAAGCACTATACAGCATACTTTTCTACTCTTTCCGCCAATGCGGATATGCTTGGTCAAGGGGGAAAGGCTCTGTACGACTTTCTGGGTGGCTACTTCTACATGAAGAGCGGCAATTGGGATAGGAATGATCCACACCCCCTACCCTCTGCATTTTCAATTTCGCCCAGCATCAGTGAGCTGGCAATGGATCTTGCTACTCTCCCAGAGTACTACGTCATGCCGCTGCACGAAAGCATGCCAGACGTCATTGCTCGTCATGTTCGCATGGACGCCCGAGTCACGTGGCCCAGAGCTGACGAAGTCGCTGGGAGAGTATACGCTACTGAATTCGGTCGCACTGGCTTCCAGGGTGGGCTTAATTATTACCGGAGCGCACTCTCGCCTCCGCCCCCTGAGCGGATAGCCCAACTACGTGCTCTAGCTGGACGACGAGTGGAGATGCCTGCGGCGTTTATATCAGGGGCCAGGGATTGGGGAGTGTATCAAACTCCAGGGGCTGTGAGAAGATGCGAGAGGTGGTGTGTAGTGGCGCGGGAGGTATGCAGGACGAGGATTTCGTTTTGATCAAGGGCGCGGGCCATTGGGTGCAACAAGAAGCACCAGAGATGGTGGTACGGGAGCTTGTGAGGTTTTTAGGCAAGGTAAAAGCTTTGTAGACGTCGCCGATGCAATAATCCTAGGTTTGGGGCAACGAATGGGTGATGATCGCGATTGCTCTCTCCTTTCTTTTTTGACGTATCAAAAAGCCCGTCAGCGGGGAGTAAAATCGGCTGTCAATAGAAGTGCTACGAGGAATGTGAGTCCAAGCTTTTGTTCAAGTCTGAGACAGTGTTCTTGTTGTTCACGTCAGACATGTCACGGCCGAGCAGTCCGTAGCCACAGCACTCACAGCCACATCATTCCACAGCCACAGCGGCCCAAGCCCGAAAACAAGTAGAAGACCGAAAAAAAACACCAATCTAGGCCAAAGCAACTTTGTTCACCGCTGTGGCGGCCATTCGGGTCCTCAGAAAATTTCGGTCGGGATCATCTCCCAGATGTGACTGGACCCTTTGCGTACTGCACGCAACTTCAAAATGAAGCGACCTCGTGCCACCACCACAGCCCGGACTAGGTCGTTGAACTGCTCGTTTTACATCTAAACAAGGACCCCATGCTGGTATTCAAGTCACGCTAGAAAATGGAATGTTAACAGACGGGGCCCGAATCATTGGACGTGTTCAAGTTGTGGTATGTCGTTTTGCAAAAATGACGTAACAGAACAGTGTCCCGGTGACATCGCAAGGCCACAGCGAATTTTTCTTGAAGGCATCACACGTCATCGATCGTCCCATATGATATGCACCCAGTAGCTAAACCAGCTCAGCTGTAAAAAAAAACGTATTCGGTGATGTCGCAAGGTCACGGCGAACTCACTATCTTAAAGTTTGACGTCATCACCGCATGTGCATCCAGATTCTAGCAACTAAATCTGCACAGCTGCACAGACACCTGCATGGTACCCGTGATGTGAGTTGCGATCATCTAGCAGCGGAGTCTAGCCTAAGCTGACTAAAATTTGGAACAGGATCATCTGAGGCAACAATCGAAAAAGGGTGTTTATCAGAACAACAACTGTACTTACGCGCTGCAACGTTGAATATGTTCTTCGTTATCCGTGGATGCTGATAGCGCCAATCAATGATCATTGCATGACCTTTGATATCCACGACCATCATCATCCACCTATGTTGAATATCAGTTTCGTCTTTCATGTTGAACTTGCAAATTTCATGCAAAGTTCATCCGTTTTCATCACATGACCGCGACCTGTTAGTGACCACCTGGTTGCCAAGCTCTGCAAAAAATCAAGTTTTCAAGAGTAACGGCGTATCAGCGCGCTAAAAATGAACCCGCCACTTACATAGCGAGCGTCCCGAGGCTCAACATTTCTTGCGCAGCGACAAGCTCGGAGTGAACGCCAGCGTCGGATATACAACCCCAGGTACATTAACCATTGGCGATGCCTCAAACCCAACTCAAATTAACACCTACCGGAGCGGTCATAAGGCTCGAGAACGGGTCCTCGCTAAGCGTATGCTCAGACGCTGATGCGTAACCACAGGTACAGTTGCTTGTAGCCTGTCAGCTTATGCGCACGGCGTCTTAGAGTCTTAAAGTAAAGGCGCCACGATGAAGGCGCGAGAAAGTCTCGACGCCTCCCCCTATTTACGAGGTGTCCTTACTCACTAACGTTAGATACTAATCTCACAACGTTCCTGTGGTTTCCTAGAGCCTTCGGATAGCTGTATGTACTAGTGTTTGGAAGCCATGCACGTACAAACCGCTCAAAGCGGACTGTTCACTTCCACGCAACAACACAACATAACAGAAGGCTGCGATCGATCCTCCCCTCCCGGTTGAAAATTCACGCTGAATTCATAACGCGTTGAACGGCGTACCCAAAGATGAAGTTAATAGATAATCGGTGCTATGTCTCATCTCGTGTAACAGTCATGCTAGAACTTGTTCCGTATGCGTAACAAACGGTGGGAGAATATTATTATGACCAACTAACGTCTTAGAGCACAATGTATCGGAGCATAATCGGCATCGGCGTGAGTGAACATTCTATTCGCTGCCGGGGCTGATGAGATGCATCTCGAGAGGCAGACACGTTTGTTAATCCAAAGCTTCTCATTGAACGAAGCTGAAACTTTTTTTTTTCGCAGCGTAACTTGACATTAAAAATCACAAAGTATCACCGAGTCAGCAGAGCTGTGACCCGAGTCCCAAAACATGATCCGCGGATCTCAATGCCTCCAGGTACCCACAGGCCTCCTGAAACTCCCCCGGAGCTGACGAAACAAGGACAACGATATCAATCTGCGATACGGATAACAAGGGGGAGGAACAGCATCGGCAACTGACTCAGGCTAGCGAATCACACACTTGCCTGGTCCGCGGGCGCCTCGAGGAGATTCAGCGTTCTTAATGTGGTCAACGCAGATCATTTTGAACCTGCATAACGAACGCTGAACATCGCCGCCGACTTTCAGGTACCTTCGCACCGAATAAGGCGGGTGGGGATAGAGTACAGATTTGTTCAGATAGACATGTGTCAAGGTAACGCAACCTCCTTTTTGAGACCCAAACACCAAGGATATGAGAGATCGTGATCGGCATAGGAATCGTAGTTTACGGCAGTCGAACCATGTTGAAGATTGGGAATTTTTTATGATTGACGGGAGAATATCCGGTAAGGGATCAATATCACTCTAGCAGTGAGTCGTGCTCCACGGGACATGGATTCTTATTTGTCTGTCTCGTTGACTTTTTCGGTGGACTATCCCCGCCAGATAGAGTATGGAGATAAAGTATCGAAGTTTGAGCGCTGTTCATAACTGTAAATAGCGCTTGTGGTCCGCCGCATGGGAGACCATGATATCCGCGGTCGGCCAAGAGAGTAAACGGGCGACACGTGAATACACGCGAAGCACACGGATCGGTTTACTGTCGCCTCATCAACCGCCCTGGTAATCTCTCCGGTCAAAAACAACTCCAACAAACATTGATGTCATGTACCTCATTCCTTGAGAGTAAGATAACATCATAGGAAGAGGTCAAGGGTGATCGATGCGCAGCCCGCTGAAGCCTCAACCCTGAACCTATGCGGGGCGCTGCGGCGGCATGGTCATCATTGCAGCACCGCCGATCCGAGCACGAGGACAGTGATCTTACAAGACCACATGGGCAGGAGTCATGTGTGGCACCATATGAAGCAGTTCGTCGGTATAAACTGAGACAGCCGGTATTTAGATTGCACAGAGGGGTTCAGAAAAAAGGTACCGGTGGTTGGAAGCCCGAGCTTGGCAAGGGACCTGAACAAAGAGACGTCAGTGTCTGGACGACAGAAACATACAAGCTGCACCGGTGTCACGGCGGATCACGGCAGGGTATCTAAGACTCGGTGAACGTGCCGGATATGATAGAGAGGGGCGAGAGTGTGCTAATCTTGAACCATGAACGTTCAAGTCTTCGATGACGTAGGAGTGGCACGACCACGACGGATGGTCAGCTGATGCCGAAGATCAAGGCATGTGCCCAATGCATGGCAGATCTGTACATGATTGGTTGAAAGGATGGGGAGCAGGAACGTGCAAACAGGACGATCCATTCTTTGTAGTCGCTGTGCGTTAATGACCGATTCACTTAGGTCTTACGGCCAAAACACGAGCATTCGTAGGACAGCTCCAATGTCAAGATCACATAATAGCGAATAAAATGATTCAAGAGAAAAGTTTACAGCATGAAAAAGAAGCGATGGTTATCAGATCATGGTTGGCAGCTGAAGAGCCAAGATCGAAGATGATCAATGCTCGTTAACTTCCGGCATCCCGACAATACAAGTACTTACTATGGCAATAATGGAACTCGAAATGGGTGAAAGACAATAACGATGTGATAATATAAAATTATGAATACGCACTATATTGGGTGGCGAAGATCAGACATTCCGTGATAGCCAACGGAAGGGATCACGGTTGAAGTGATGGATTTACGATTCGATGCGAGTGGTTGCCCTAGAGTCCACGACGTGAGCCGAAGGGGTTTGATTCAAAAGGCGATCTGCGGTGGCGTGCTCCTTAGTGAGTACTAGGCCAATTCACACGGGGCAGGGATATGGAGTGTCGCTGAATCGTATCGGTACGATGAAGGATGAAACATTTACACTCCGTCGATGGTGCTAATCAGCTTCAAGGAGTAGGAGCTTGGCAGGATTGAAGGTAGCAGGCTGTGCCTTTTGACGAACGCGCATCTCTCGGCTGCGGCACGCGATCCGAACTTGATGGTCTAAATTTGCGATGCAGGTGAACACAGCAAGCGCAGATCTTGACAACCCCAAGAATTGGGGAATGAGAACGATACACCGGCCGAAAGGGAAGGAGGTCCGAGGTCGAGGTTGACGAACGATATAAACGAGCGAAGAAAGGCGGGTGTTGTTTTCCTTTCTTGTCCGTAAACGTACATAATGGCAGAAGATGGTAAATATTTCTGATAGGATAGCGATAACATCAGTGCAAGCTTGGGCGTCTAATTTAAAGCAAGGAGTAATGACCGGTTTCGGTAAACATCGGAGACCGGAGAAGAGTGCCGAATTTGGCAGTTTTAGATTTAGACGCTGGTGCTATGCGGATCCCAAGACGAACGCTTCCGTTTATGGTCACCGACCTAATGGTGAGGAGCACTATAGCACAACGAACGGGGATTTCAAGCCTATTGGGTAGTAGTTCACCGCTGCAGCCGGATTTATGATTCAATTGGTAAGTTTCCGGTGTATAAAAATGAAATATTGAGACGGATATTCTTTTTTATTATAACATGAAATTCCGTCACGGCGAGGGCTGTTGCCCAGAATGTGTTGACAGAATTTTCACACAAGATACTTCCATTCGGACGTGCCTCTGCAACGAGTTCGATCCAGATTTTAGATCTGGGCGCCCTGCATACGCTCCTCCCGTTAGATGTCAAATGTCGAATACTGAGATCTCATTCTTTGGACTTCTTTCAAACTTCATTTTCCATTCGTTCTTATAGAGCACCCTTCTCAAGTTTCAATTCGCGTCCTTGCCCTTCATCATGTCTTTGGATCATTATCCAATCCTTACCGACAGACGTTTTCAGCCTGCCGACAGACAGTCTTATGACTCCATTTCCTTAGCTCCTCCTCACTGGAACTACCAATCCAGATCACAAAATGAAATCCCTCATGATTATTCTTCTAATTCTTCATCATGGAACGTGAATTTGCTCAATAATTGGTCCAACGAAGTTGTACCTCCCTCCTCATCATATCCAGTCAATCTGCGTCACCCCGGATCCGGCTATCAGCAGTCCACTTACACAGAACCCCCCCAGCGTCATTTACAATCAACATCTTCCCAATCCCTATCATCCGGATTATCATCTTCATCCTTTGAACGTCAAGTACTTCAACACCGCTCCCCATCAGCAGCTTCCTCTTTCAAATTCGACGATGCTTCATGGGGTGCAACTCTCTACACTATCCACGATGACAGAAGTACTCCATCACATTCCCTACCACCTCCTACGGTCACTAGCGCATCTCCTTCTGCACGTGCTTCTTCTAGAGCTTCATCATCCAGGTCACCCCCTGTGAAGCTCGAACAAGATGAGGTTTCAAGCGCCGATTGCTTTGTCATGGAATTTGCTACCGCTGTCCCAGCTGCGCAGGACAGCACCTCATTAGCTCCCCCAACAGAAGTGCCCTTGCGCGCGACCCAAGCAAGCAAGGCAATGCGCAAAATGATGGGCGTGTTTCGGCTCAATCCGTTCTCAATCCATGAGGGTGGTGGTCAGGCAATGAGTACCTGGATGGGAGAGGATGCAGGCCCGTTGGATGAAGAACCTCAGGTTTTCGAGTTTCAACTCGACGTTGGATACCGCGACTCTGATGAGGAGCTCGAGGAACCAGCGCCATCTCACCTTCAGACTCTCGTTGAGGTCCCAGAGCCTGGCCCAGACGAAAACACGAGGTGGGCCGAGGGTGATGACTCTGACCTCTCCTACCCCCCGGTCTCACATAACAGCTGGGCCACCAACGACCCGTCGTGTCATTCGTACACATTGCCATCACTCAGGTCATATCCCCACTCCCCTTCACTGTCTTCCACTTCGTCACGTGGAACGCCCCTTGATATGTCTGCCTCAGAGGTATGCTTTCAGCTAATACCAATCATCGCTTACTAATTACTTGCAGTATTCTGGCACATATTCACTCCATGGCTCTGGTAGCTGCGGTTCTTCCACGGATAACCTTCCGTCACTCTCATCGATGGCGCGACGTTGGTCCATTCCCGCCAATCTACAAGCACCATTCATGATATAAAGTACACTCACGTTGCATTACCATGACGATTAATCAAAGGGCCGATGAGCTCGTAGCGCTCAAGTCTTGGGTAACATTTTCAATCACTGTTGCAACTGTCACTACCACGGCGTTCTGCACTCTGTCGATTGCCGATCTATCGCATTTGAAGGTTGCTGGAGTGATCGATCCCTACTTGTTTTACTTTGCTCCTCACGTCGTTTACTGTTGCATTTTCTTTTTCTTGATCATCCTTATTTGTCTTGGGTCGTTCTTCGCTCACGGACAGAACTCAAATTAAATTTCTGGCAGGTTGGAACGCATGTAATATACTCTGCAAAATCATATGATACCTATGATACTCATATATTGTTCATCTTGTTGCAATGTCCTCATCCCGCGATCAGATCGCAATTGATACACCCTGAGCCAACCACCGTCGTTGTCGAATCACAAGACTGAAGGGCATTTTGCTCTGTGCTGCCGGAGCACGCACCCGAGCTTGTTTGGCATGCTTCACGTCACCTCATCGATCGTATCTCCGCCACCGTACCGTAAGTATCTGTCATTCGTGGCTGCAGGCTAGTTCGCTTCACGACTCAAATCCGATCCTCTAATCGTTCTCGCCGTGTGGCAATTCGTACCACATTCCAGAACCCCGATCCATGAAAAAGACTTCATGTGAATACGACCAAGAGATATCACAGACCATGCACTCATCTGGATTCCAGATGAGTCTAGACTATAACCCGCAGTTCTGAACCGACAATGAGGTGATGCTAAGATTAATTTCATTCATTGCTGAAAGTAAAATTGAAATTATGTATCATAATGCATGTACGTATGCTTGTCGTGTTATGTCCTCGTCGTGTCCCCCCTGTGAGCGCGAGGTTGCCAAGTTCGTTTGGTGTTTCCGTGCAATGTGTACGGCACGACGCGCTCGTGAGAATATTGATGACTGTTTTGGTATGTACCATGCATGGTACAAGCGCCCAAGTACATGTAGGTTTACGAAGATACGAGTCCAAGTATTATCCAGCAAAGTATTGCATCTCAAAGAAGGAAAAACAGGAACGATCCGAGCGCTAATCATGACAGTAGAGAAGCATACGGACTTTACTATGTATCCCTGACTACTTATTCACACAAACGTTTTGACTCGGGCGGCCCAAGGCGGTGCACTCCGAATCATCTGGGGTAGATCGGTTGGTATTCGTAATGATCTAGAGAACGATTTGTTTGAGAATGTTGAACCCTCTTTTTCTTCTTCTGACAGCCCAACGGACATCGTAACGCTCTCACGAACATTGTTTATTTGTTATTAGCATTCTGAACTAGCACATGACACAGTACAACATGGACTGACCGTTGACATAGGGCTACGCCCCACGGGGACAAGGAACCCGCGTGAAGGTCCGAAATTGCGTAGCCGGCGTGTCCTACAACGTGGGGCGTAAGCCTTGACCAGCTTATTGTTGGAAGTGATTCCAGTGAGTCTTCAAAGTTGTATACCAGGCATCTGGTGCCAAGTCAACCAACGATCTGTTAAGGTTCAATGAAGCGATATCGCCACTTGCCGCTGTCTTGAATTCTAGATAGACAGGCCGTGCGGTGATTCGATTGTGTGCGGTCGAAGATGGTTGACAGGTTATACATCCTCATTGTCGCACAAGGGTCTATGAAGATCTGGGGTGGTACCAAAACCGAATATAACACGCGCTCCGCGATTTCGATAATGACAGCAGAAGGCGCAAAAAGATGGGGAAATGGGTTTGTGGCGAGAAGTTGAGGGAGAAAAGACGGGACGTCGCAATGCTTCTAAAAGGTGCGGAAGCACACCTAAAATGCATGTGAAGTCAGTTACAGACAAGCTAAACTGCAGTCTGGGGAAGGTATCTACCTACCCCACAGATTGAAGGACTTATGACGAGGCCAGAGGGGACAATAAAGAGGAGCTGTTGGGCGTTGCACTCACTCCCAGATAAGCTTCGGCAACTCAACAAGTTACCTCGCATGCCTTAATTATCAGCACGACTTTACCCAGTTCATCATGTCGTGTGAACAGTGGCGTAGAACTAGCGGCCCATAGATGTTAATGACATACGCCCGATTGCTGATGATTCAGTGCCTTGCAACACTCACGATAATAATCAAGATACGATCTGCTGTTACGGGCAGGTAGCCGGGGATGCGGCGGGCGATGACAGAGTCTAGGCCAGCCAAGAAAATGGCAATAATTATCAACAGAGCTGCTCATAGCTCATATATGACATATTCAGAAAAAAAGGGGGGGCACAAGGTCGCCTAAGGTTGCTCAAAAGAAAAGCTATTTGTGAAACGGACGAAGGGACATACCTTAGTGGCGATTTGTAAGGAATAAATAGGGTGGTGATATGCTGCTGGAATCCAGGACTAAGGCGAGCCAAGACGTGGGTTACAGTTGATCAGAAAATTACGAGACCAAGTCTGAGGTTGAAAGAGGATAATTATTTCTAGCACTGACGGTGAGTGAAGCGGTCATCGGGCAATCTGGGCGATCCGTTAATCATTCAAGTTGCGAATGTTCCTAGAGCTATCGGAATACTAAGCACTTTGGCCCGTTTCCTCCGTCGTCGGTCATAATCTTGAGTTTTTAACGAATGCCGTAAATGTCATTGACCAACTTTTTGCAAGTAATGGTCAAATTGTCGCCTGATACGCAGACAAAAAGGACTGAAAGTCACAGGCGTTGACTGCTAATAAAGCAACTGTTCAGTTGTAGACAGACGCGCACATAAAGATTTCCCCACACCTCGATACCCTCTGGCCCAACGTTGAGCGTGGGCACAGCTCTTCTTCATGCTGCCTGCTTCTCGAGAAGCAGGCATTCTTTTGGGATCGATGTCAGGGATAACCCTAAAGTCGGAGTCCTCAGGCTAGGCGTGTTCACTCTCTTGTGTTTTACGAACTCCGAGGAGTCTTTGTCAACGTGTCTTCGTGACGTTTTCCGTTCTGGAAACAAGGCCTTGCGGGTAGGAAATATCCTCAGACCCAAGAGAATGCGGTAAAGCGTTTGTGGTGGCAGGAACGAAAGAGGGGCTTATAGTTTTTCCATGAACAAGGACTGGGGCATATTCGGGAAATCGGACCGAAAGTGTGGCGGAGAATTAAAAAGTCCGCCACGCGAGAGCCACGAGAGCCGATGACCACGAGATCTGTCAAAACAACCACGACCACGCGAGCGAAGCAATCCGAGCTATTGGTAGTCTGTCAGCAACATAAATCATTTACCACCTCCTTAACTTTTTATCTACTCCTTGTTTTCCGCCATCGCCATCAAGTGCAGCTAGTTCATGCTTGATAACGAAGAATATTCTCATGGGCGCCGAAGAAGCGTCGACGTTGGCGGTTTGGCGCTTGCACTCGAAAACCAAGGCTTAGGTCATGGGTGGGGTGGATGGGAAGAGGATGAGCAAGGCGAGACTCGGTAAGCCATATTTTCATGTATTTTTGATCGGAGAGGTTCTTACTACTGTTTGATAATAGCTATGCCGAACTACTTAGCGATATGTACAACCACACCCAAACTACTGTCAGCCACCATGTACATGACATGTAATGTCATTTTCTGTCATATTTAAGTCTTTTAACTGATCCCTTCATCAGCTCTCCAATCGTGATACCTGCCCACACGCGAGCGCACCTAATCAATTCCCTTGATAGCTGGCATTTCGAACCGCAGAACCTACCTGAGGAGGAAGTCCTCTTCTGCGCACAAATTTTGTTTGAAAGCCTGTTTCGAATTGAGCTCATGCGAGAGGATATAGGTGTCTCCCTCGGTCAGTGTTATTTTTGTGTCCATGCGACGACGTTTCTTATCACTCCGGCAGATGATATCTCCGTGTTCTTGAAACATCTGCAGCCCCTATACTGTGGACATAACAGTTATCATAATTTTCAGCATGCTGTAGATGTAATGCAGGCCTCCCAAGCCTTCCTGTGTGCGGCAGGTGTCGTACCTCCTGTATCTGTATTGTTGGATAGTGACGACTGCACCTGGAGACCAAACAAACTGGGAAAGGAAGGACGTCTCGCATTCGATCTCAACAACACATGTCTTTTCGCTCTGTTTATTGCTGCCATTGGACATGATGTGGGTCATCCTGGGTTGACGAATATGTTCATGGTATGATCTGTACAGCAACTTGCAAAAAAACATCACTTAACATCCATCAACAGAAAAATGCGAAGGCGCCCTTATCTGATGTGTATGATAACAAGTCAGCTCTTGAACAGATGCATTGTGCCCTCCTTATACAAGCAATGCGACACCATGGCCTTGGGAAAATCTTGGATCGACCAGACTCTGGTTTCCGGAAAATGCTTGCTGGTATCGTACTGGCTACGGATATGAGTGTCCACTATCAATTTATAAGAGATTTTCAATCGCTTGTGGATGGTAGAGAATATTCTTTGGATCGGTGCCAACTACTGCTTTGCCAGGCAATAATAAAGTGTGCAGACATCAGCAATCCTGTTCGTTTTCTTTTCGTCGTCTATATTCTACGTCATTCTAATTTACATGCGGTGTAGAGTCGGCCGCCTGGCGTCTCGCATTACTGGGCAAATGCCCTCATGGCTGAATGGGCCTATCAAGCATCACTAGAGAAGCGCTGGAGTTTACCGCCATCCGTCACGCCTTCCAAATGCCCACTGGACCAAGTCCGAGGACAGATATTCTTTATAGGTTCATACGCCAAGCCACTCATGGACCTTGTTGCACAAGCTGTTCCTGGTATTTTACGTTTTGTTACTGACCTTTTGCGCGTCTGACATGTCTGCTGTCTCAGAAATGGAGATATTCGCTTGTCAGTGTACTACAAATTTAGCCATGTGGGTGGCCCGCAGAGAAGTGCTATCCTCCGCATCTGCAGAAGATTCCCCAGAAGATCCCCCATATCCTCCTGTAGTCACACCATGCCTTCGCCCTCCCGAAGATTTCCTCACTTCTTTCCCTCTCACTCTCCCCGCATTCGTTCTTACAGCTGACGAGCCTCCTGCCTCCGGCGAGTGGCATTCTGCATATCCACCTTCGGACTCCTCATCGTCATCAGATTTTGGTTCTGATGTTCACGCCGACCACCCGATTGTATTCCCATCCCTTTCGCCCCCTGCGTCTCCTGTGCCATCCGTAGGCTCGTCTTACCCCCTTGCTACGCGTAGTTCGTCATCGAGTCTCGCAAGTAATACTAGCGATGCTACACAGGCGATGCGAGCCGCTTATTCAGCGAGTGTGCGGAAGAAGAAAAGTTTTCATCACCGGTACTCTTGGAATGTGACCATCAGCTCTGGATCGTCCCCGGGTATCTCAACACCTCCACCATTACTTGCCGCTATTCCCAAAGCTGCACTATTGCTAACCGAGTCCACTACGTCAAACGGAACTACCGTCACGTCACTCGCTGCGGTGGTGTCATCCCCCGTAGGTGGTGAGAGCAGCGGAGGGCTGAAGGTCCCATGATCTCCCACAGAGGTGCCACATGGCTCACGCAGCGACCTCAACTTTCGGCACCACATTTTGCGCAATGCATTTGACATGCGACAATGACATGATTCATGTCGGGTGGATACTACCCGGACTCGCCGTGATTCGCGTCATCATTCTTGGGCTGTCGAGCAATTGCCGATAAGGGGGGGATAGACGTATGAAGCGGGTGTTAACTGTGTTAATTCACTTAATTCACCTACGCTCTATCGAGGTTGGGTCTGTTCGTTTACTCTTCGTGCATTTGATCTTCTATTTCCTTTTTGTTGTTTGGCTTACCGGCCCTAGCTGCCTTGATTAATATACCGGCAGCTTATACTATACCACCATACCAATGAGGCCACAGCGGATGTCCACTGTACGATGTTATTTGTCATAAATTGATTGAAGAGTTTAAAGAGCGAAAAATGTTTCGGGCTCACAATATCTTAGTCTCGGAGGGGTCACTGAGTTCAAATAAGTTTTTAATTTTAACGAAGCGCTAGAACTGTGGGCGCGATGGCTCCCCGCAAACACATGGCCTATAACATAAGAAGATCTAGTAAACTCAAAGTTAACTGCAATATTGAAGCCAAAATGCAAATAAAGCATAGGAAGATCTGCATTATGAAACATGTGGTAGCGAAATTTAGTAATGTCTTGATCGGACTATACCTCCATTCACGTAAATTACTTACATGTAGACTCATGTCTTGTCGACTAAAATAAAAGATTATATTCAAATCACGGAAATGATAACATGCAAAAGCGCTCCAAGTCATTGTCCCTCTTTAGACAAGGGCAGGCTGTCCGATGTCGAGAGAACGTACTAGTAGCTAATAGAAGAGGAGACTAATAACTAGCCCACTCCCTTTCAGCATGCCTTTCCAAACGTGCATCTGTGGGTGTCATCTGAGGCCTCCGTGCACTCCACCCAGTCAATCCCCGTATGCAATACCAGATTGAGTGCAAGTATTTGGGAAGTGTACTTTCCCCGCAGGAATATGCACCCGGGCATCGGCGAACTTGACAAGGAATGATGTTAGTGTCGTGACTAGGACGGGGCGAGAACTGCCGAAGCGCAACAGGACGACAATGTCATGGCTGTCATTGGCGGATGGGCACCCGCATCTAGAAGAGAGAGAAGAGGGATTAGTGACAGATCAGGGCTACGCGGCCATTTCGCTGACAGGAGTTGTGCTATGTCTCGTCTCCATTCGTAGCCTACACAGTGGACGTGGCATTTCGGAATAAAATTACATTGATGCCTTCCACAAAACATTATTCATAAGGTTTCCAAGGATAACCTCGTTAGAAAGAGATTGATCATCGGGCAAAGCGGCCGCAAGCAATAATAGAAGAATACAACCAGCCCAGTTCAACCGCTACAAGATCGAATTACAATCTCAGTAAATCATGGGTTGCATTATGCGCACACTTCTTGTGGCTCAAATCAATCTCATTTCTGTCAATTTGTTTGGCATGGCAAGGAATAGCGCTGATAGAGATAGGTGATCCCCAGGAGGGTACTATTAACCTGTGAGTGGTGAGCATGCAGCGTTAATACCGCAATTTGGTGAGCAGCCAACCTTCCTTTCCTACAATTTCACCTGAGAGCATCTGTCATTACTCAATATTCAATGCCAACGAGAATCAGAATTGTTACCTTTGGAGCAATATTAAGCTTCAGTGGGCCATATTCCACTTTGCTTCGTTCCGTAATCTTGGGCCCCCATCCAAATATTATTTCTAGAGCGTCGTAAAGAACATCTTTAATTTCCGATGCATCCGCCATGATTTGTTCTAGGTGAGTTCTGCCTGGTGCTGCTGCCTGCCGGACGAGTGCTTGAAATTTAAACTCAGCGACATTGGGTTCAATATCTGTTAGTACGTAATCACGCAGCCCCGCCATCCTCCCGGGTCTCTCTTCAAGCTAACCTTGTCCGATATCAGACTCGAATCCCCTCTATCGGTGGAGGTTTACCTCAGGGTTATCCATGAACGGCCTAGCCCGCCACGCTCTCGCCACAATTACGCAAACATACAGAATAATGAATACGACGCACCCATCTCATTTTAGTCAAAGACGGATGTTGTATACCTCCTTCATGGGCTGATGATCGCAAGTCGTTTTCTTTTACATGCGCGGGAAGACTGGGCTCGCCACAAGCTGAGAACCTAACCTACTTCTGTTGAGGAACCCAAACTATTGAAACGCACTTGATTGATATGTTGCCGCATCGTTTTGAGCCACGTGCAGAACTATATCTTGCTGCAGAGATCTAATGAGACACCATGTGAATACAATCGTGGGATGTGTCGCAGGCGTGGTTCACCAGCGGTATCCTCACTGATTTGTATCATAGGGTCAGAGATACTTATGTGATAGCGCAGTTGCAGGGGTTATTAAAACATGACTGCGAGGCACCGGTACTAGTACTGCACATAGTACCGTGTCTAGCTGCACTCTTCCTTGAGGTACCAACGACGAAGATAAAAAAAAGTTGTCAGCAGAAGCACCATATCTGACAATAAATGAAAATGTACACTGATCAAGACGTTATATAGTTACCGCACACAGTGCAGTGTGGATCAGATATCAGTCTGTATGACAGATTGATCGATGCCAATGCACAGTGTCATCGCACGTAGATAATAACATGTCGGATATGACGATGGACGGACTGTCTGTCTGTATTACAACAGCAGCACCTGTGCACGAGAGGACAAGACCGAGGAGATCCATGAATTGAATGGTGTAATTGACATGGATCCTCAATCAGTCCAACTGAACGCGACGTGCTTAATTCTTCTCTTGACTCATCTGATTGGCAGATGCCAGGCGTCGTGTTGTCGTTGCGCCCATTTCAGTACATTATCACACAATCAAGAATAATGATGCGGAGCGTGAGGGAACACCAGATATACAGCGCTTTTGCAATGGACACAGGGACAGTCACGATAAATAATATATCTTTTCTAGGAAGCGCGTTGAATCATCACTGGACTTGGACATCCATCTTACGTTGAGCTCACCGCATCATCGCGCGATCTAATAGATGACTGCGCAACCATATAATCCATCTAAGCCCCATATAACTCAAACTCCCATGGCACTTGTGAGTCTGGGAGAAGATCACTTAACCATATTCTTCGTAAACGACATGTCGCATAAATCTTGATGTACGACAAGTGCGAATATGTCCCACTAGGGACAGTGATATTCGTCGCTGAAAATGTTGCTGAACGATTGGTGTCATGACGACTGCCTTCGCCGTCATCGGGTTGATTCATGCTAGCAAGTGTGCCAAAGTGGGGTATCAAGGACGGAAGGCTGAGCGTAATTGTGGACCATGCTGTCAAGGGACGAGATGAGGGCTGTGGAAATGAAAGAGGCAGATGAAGGACCGGTTGCGCATTCAGAACAGGAGATATTGTAAGTTTGGGTTCCTTCTGATAAGAAGAGGTCAGTAGATAGGCATATTACACCAGGGTCTGCATCGAAGGTTGATACCGAAGAACGGGAGAAATCATAAATGTCACGCACCTGAAATGTGGAACAGCGAACTATACCGCGCCTCCCGACTTGTCAACGATACCTATTTCGAAAGACCACTCCCTGCCCACATTTCGAACTTGCAAATGAAGCCATTTCTGCTTTAAGCCTAAATCTCTGTCACCGGGATCTGTATTAGGTGGGGACCGGATGAAGGTCATCCGGAGAGTTGGGGATTGGATATGAAGGACAGTCTGATGTAGGCTATAGCCAATATTTGGTTCATCATTGTCATCGAGTGCTGGCATCGAGCAGAGAACAGCAGGTGGAGATGGAGATGGTAGGGAGGACGCATCGTTCAGAAAGTGGATGAATGAATCTGCAGTGAGAGACCTGTCTGTCTGCTGTGAAAATAGGGAAAGAGGTTCACTGCTTGTAGAAGAGAATAGAGAAATGATGTTCGGCTGCACGGTGTTAGTGAACATCTAGGTCAAAGTGCCCGGCACTGCCACTCCTGATGTTTGTCTAATTCCACTGCATGAAAATTGAATTTATGGTACGTAGTAATTTCCGTCAAAGTGAATGCACAACGAGAAATGTCAATGTCGGTAAGTGAGAGTGAAGTGCCGGGTGCCAAGTAATGTACGAGCAGTGTGCTATCAAGTAGTGTGGGGTATAGAGCAAGCAAATATCGAAAGCAATGAACGACGCAAACTACGAACTGACATACGAACGCACAGCCTGCTTAAGTCCTTTGAGCAGTTCTCGCTGCTTGAACGGATCGTCTGGCAGCTTCAAATTACCCATGGCAAGGCTTAAAAGGTAAGTGAAGTCCGCTTGAGCGACCAAAGGTAGCTTGGATGCCAGCGACTTCTTCTTCCGGTCGTCAATCTTGGCTTTAAATTGTTTCGCGAAATCCTCAGAAACGACTTCAGCGCGTTTAACCACCTCCTCGGGCACGCCTGCAAGCTTGGCTACATGTGTACCAAAGGACGAAGATGCGACACCATCAACCAACTTGTACAGGAAGACAAGCTAGGGAAGTGTTAATCGACCAGCAATACATGGTGTAAAGCTTACTTGCCTCGTGTTTTTCGTCGTCAAGCATGGTAGACATGTGCATGTTTCTGATGTTTGGGTGATAGGCAAAATCATCGGTGAGCGAGCCATAGTGTGTTGCAAAGAATGCTAGCGGAAGGGTGCGGGTGGCAATTTCATGGAGGACAGCCTAATGTCGTACAGGGTCATAATCATAAAATCCCATGACATGCAAATGAGACGTACTCCAGCGATTGCCATACCATCCTGAATAAAGAACCGTCAATAGTGGGTCTCGAAGAAAGGGACATCTTCTCTTACATAAGTAGAAGTGCCTCTTCCCAGTTCTCGAATGTGGGTCAGCCAGATATCCGATTAAAAAGGATGATAGCATACCATCAAGGATTACCAACGATTTAGGCGTGGCATCCCGCAAGATCTTGCAACTACTTCTCGTTTATAACCGAGATGCCAAGTTGAGGGACATCACTCACCACTCATCCAGTTCAACTTTGAACGTACTTGAATGGGAAAACATGTTATCATAGGCACCCATCCGCGTGAGAATGGCATCTATCGGACAAAGTCTGCATCGGCGTCAGTGAACGCATCTTGTCAAAGGGTTACAACATATACTTACCGAGCTGACTTGGCGGGAACGAGCATGCCCAACTGCGCCATGATGACACCTGTGGCTGTCATGCGCATGACCTGAGAAAAATAAATGAAAACGAATCTCTGGGCGGTGTAACTACCCACCGTGGATTTTCCACTACGCATAGTACGATGTAAGTAACGCATGCGAAAATAATGATTCTGACTAACCCCATATTCGGACCTGTCAACAGCGCGATCCTACCAAGATCGCCGCCCAATTTCACATCATTCGCAACAAAACCCTCCCGCAAGCTCGCTAGTGTTGGATGTCTCAGCTCTTCAAATTCGATAAAGGCAGCATCGCCTTCCACGAACTCAGGCCGACAGCTTGGCTCGCCCATCGCGATCGATGCCTTCGCGAGGCTGAAGAGGCAGTCAAGTTCGGCAAGAACACGCACGGCGCGGAGCCACGTGCCCCGGTCAGTATCAAATTCGGCATAGAGACGTCCTCTGAACGACTTGACCGCCGCAGAGCGGTTCTCGCGTGCTTCTTTGAGACTTCGGATTGTAGGTTGGAGAGAAGGCACGATCCAACGGGTAGCTGCCTGACGTATAACGGTGAGCTATGTTCTCATGGCGCACCCTGATTTACCCACTTTGGTACCGCTGCTTTTGACCCAGTCATTGGGGACTTCTTTCTCGTTCGACTTGGTCTGGACTAGATAGATCTCCTACCAGAAGTAATAACCATGAATATTAGTTATTACGAAAAAGCGAATCCTGACTTTGTTCCCCTGAGCGCTATGCCACCACGTAAGATTGCGCCTGTATCAAACTTATCAGCGCAAACCGCCTTCTCGAGAAGTAAAGACCTACCCAAGCTTTTTCTCAAACTTCTTGAGTTGCGCGTCTAGCTCCTTCTCAAGCTCTTCGATTTCACACATAACTTCATCATACACCTCATCCTTGCCTGCAACAGGGAGGAGCTCATCTGTTTCTAAAATCTTATCATCAGCAACAAGGAACGAACAACAAGGGACACAATCCGAGTGATCCATGAAAAATACGGTAATGCATACCCTTATCCACAGTAAACCGCGATTCTACGTTCTTCAGATTGGGAGTCAGATCCGGTGCTGATCTCAAAAGTCCGAGGATCGTCTTCGAATCGAATGACTCAGAGCTGTCGGCGAGCTTCGCAAGGCCGCGGCTAAGCTTCTTGAAGGCCTAGGAGGCGAAAGGAGTTAATATCAGAAATTGCACGGATCTTAAGAATGTTATATCGAGCGGGGTGGTTCAGAAGGCCAGATACCCAAGCATCAAACACAGTCCACATCTTGATCCACGGATCTGATGTGCTCACACTACAAATTCATTTTGCACGGGAAGATACGTACCGCAAGCACCTTGACAAAATCTTTGACCTTGCAGTTATTTGCGTGAATCCTGGAAACGATCCGCTCCAGATCGGGGAGTCCTTTTGCGAGTTCGGTAAATTCTTGCTCGAAAGTTGCGTGTGAGATGAGGTCCTCCACAGCATCCAAGCTGCGTAAGAGTGCATTAACACTGTCGCAATGTCTCTAACCCTAAGGGATGCCGTACCGTGCATTGATATCTTTAGCTTCCCGCAAAGGAACGCATAACCAGATCCTAAACAGTCGTTTACCTGCATGGTACTTCAATACCTTCTAGAAGAAATGGAAACGCAAAGCCCACCAAACGGCGTGATGCACCTCCCCAGGAGTTTGTGCAACGATCCATCTTCTGTGCCTTCATTATTGAGCAGAACCTGCGCCATCATATCAATCACTGCCTGCCGAGAAGACTAATAAATGACACCCACCTCAACGTGGGCAAGCGTCTGCCCATCTAGAACAACGCTGGTTCCTCTCTTCATTGGATCATAGACGTCAAAGTTCCGCATCGTAAGAAGGTCTTTGTCAATGTTCAGCTGACGGAGGTACCTATTTTTAGACGCATCATTCATGCCCTGTATTATCTTTGGGACGTCCGGAATACTCACCACATCAGCGCACCCAGGGCCTCCATCGCAGCACGGTAACTCGCCATGTCCCGAATACACTGTGGGACAGCGCTGGATAACTCGGCGTCCTCATCCATCGCATCTTCCCCCTCAGTATTAGCCTCAGAAAACATACTGTTCAGTTCATTAATTGTCTGCGGGTAAGTAAACCCTTCGACATCCCGGAGGCTGGTCCACAAACAAGACCCGGGGAGGATAGACTTCAGTAGGCGCGTCGTTTGCACTGAAAGATTCCCCTATTATAACAGATATAAACATTCTGGAAAGTTGAGTAATATAAAGACGATAAAACCAACCTTGGTGAAGATGACTTCCTTTGGCCGCAGCTGTCTCATCATCGTCTCCAATTTCGTCGTGCACACATCATCCTCGAATGCACTTAAGCTGAACTGGCTCGTGGCGCTATCGAGGACGCAGACACCAAAACTGCTCATGCCATCCTTCCCGTCAGCAGACTCGCGCAGGGAAATACAATGTCCCGCTTGCTCATCTGTGAGGAGGTCTTCGTCTACAAGCGTACCGTTTGTGTATACTTTGTTGAGTTCCCTACGGACGATCTTCTCTTTGTCTTTTCCGCCAGCGCCCTTCTTACCCTTGTCCTTCGCAAGGCGCATCTCAGCGCCAAGCGCCGTCTCTGCTTGATCCACACGGCCAACTTTATACCCTGTATCCAAGTTTTGAGCTCAGCTTGCTCATGCGAAGAACATCAACATATGCGTACCCTTGCCGAGGAATTTGCTAGTTTGTGGGGCTTAATGAGCAGTCGATTGCAATTGAGAGGAAGGACTCACGCAGCCCAAAAGTTGAAGCTTGTCTCAGGTACGCCGACCTAACAAGTCGTGCATCAGTGGTCCAAAGGGAAACGGGGCAGCAAAACCCACCATGGACATCTTCACGCGGTGCGTGAGTTTCAAGTCAAACTCCCGGTGCCCGATCCGCGCATCATCTTCATAGAGCTAGGTGTGGGTGAGTACAGATACGAAATTTCCAAGCAATGCCTCTAGCTCACCTCTAGAAATTTTCTACAGGCAGGATGGCAATAAGCATCAGCATGAAGGGAACCGACGGATAACACACCCTTTCTGGAAAAACAAGATCTAGTAGGAAATACACACATTAACACAATTCAAAGGTAACCGGATTAACACATACAGTGTCGAAGTGATCCTGCTTGATCTGTAGAAATAACAAGCATCAAAGACGCCATTATAAAGTATTACATTCCGACGTACCTCCCAAAACTGTGTGATAACATCGTAAAAGCGTCAAAATAAAAGTAAAAGAACAGCCGCACCTGTGTTTCAAAAGGCGTAAAGTCTGTCCATGATTTCTTCGGGATGTACAGTGTGCGCGGATCGTATCCAGGCTCGCCGGGGCGAACACCGTCTTTCTGTAGACCATATTAGCAATATGAAGCTACTGGATGGTACTCGAGAAGAGAAGATGAAAACCATGCGGCATATATCCATTCAATCGAAGGAGAATACAACATAGATGAGTTTTCCGTGTATATATATGCATGTATGCGTTGGAAAATGCTTCCGCCCTCCATAAATGAGTGAGGCATTGAGCGAAAATGCGATGCATCTCCCCGAAACGAAGTTATTAGGATCACTCACATCCCGTACATCGACCAAAAAGAGGAACGGATCCTCGGCAGACTTTTTCTCGGACTTCTTCTCTTGCGTGCGCCGCTCTGCCTTCGTCAAGAACATAGTGTTCCCTCCCAGTCCACTCCCGCTTCCTGCTTCACCGCCAGCTGCCCCAGATTTCTTCGCGGACGGACGCTTTGACTTCGTAGAGTTCTTCGTTGGGGCACCTGATTCCTCACCAGACTGGTCGTCCGAGGCAACAGATTTGGACGGCTTTGAACGCGAAGATGCGCGTGACGATGATCGTTCGTGCTCTGAGTCAGAGTCAGGAACAATAAAGTCATCATCATCAGAAGCTCTCGATTTCTTCTTAGATGCTGTTCTTGTTCAGATAAATCTGGGGTTGAACATGCAGCCACTTACGTTTGGCAGGCAACTTGCGGAACTTGCTCAAGCGGGATGAAAAGTGCGAGCGCACGTCTGCGTCGTCGTCGTCTTCCTCATCAGAAGTGGGAACTGAGGGCGTAGGTGCGATACGCGGTTTCTTCGCGCGTCCACGTGAAGGAGAGGATTTGTCATAATATTCTGGGGATGAGGTGCGGTATGTAGCTTGTGTCGTGCCCTTCCCTGAAAGACCCTCGCCTTCCTCATCCGAGTCAGCTAGAACAATCTTGCGCTTCGTTAGGCGCGTCTGTACGGCAAGAGAAGTTGAGGTGTCAGAAAAAGTCGCACAGCACTTTGAAGTAATTTTAGAACGCTCACATTAGTACTCTTCTTGACCGACGCGTCCTCGTCATCTGTTAACATGTCGACATCTATAGGAATGGGGTCTGAAGTCGGTGGAGTGTCCTTGCCGCTCTCTGCATCGACGTCGATGTCGGAAGATGGTCTTGAATCTGGTGTCTTGGGAGTAAACTTGGGTTTCAATTTAGCAGCCGAGGACGTCTTTGTCGACCCGGAGGAAGTTTGAGTTCCTGGTACAGTGGAACTTTTCCGCGCTGGCGTCGCACTGGTCGCGCTCTTTGCTGCTGTGACTGAACTTGACAAGCCGGGTTTTGCAAAAAAGTTCATGAGGCTTTTCTGCGTCATGCTATCGTTAGACTTTTTCTTTGCAGGCGTAGGTGCCATCCTGATGTGTTCAGGTCCTTTTATAGTTAAGAATTGTTATAGTTATTAGGTCGCGTCGGAGCGCGTTTGTACTTGTTTGTTTGGTGCTTAAGCGAGCTAAGAACGTTGGTCACATCCTGTCACGCCCCGGCACGACAACATCGACTTTCGGCGCTCACTGGCAGCGCTCAGCACCTACGATTGCATCCCAAATTCTGTGCTTTTGGATGTAATTTAGGTGCTAGAATCCTTGCTACAGGATCATGATCAGGCTGTACGCCCTTGCTTGTGACATTGATTGTTAACAATTATCATCATGCTTCTCTGGTGACCGGGTGTTCATGTTATTCACCAGCTTATAATTGGCATTGCTCACCGAGCCCGACACTCGTCCCTGACTCAGAGTCCTACTCTAAATTTGACCAATGGCAAAAAAGGTGGTAGCGAACGCGAACTTGGACCCCGTAAACGAATTCATCGGAAAGATACGAGTTCTTTCTTATCTGGGCCAACGTATATATGTCGTCATTGTTCTACTCGAGTCTCATGGAGCTTTGTCGGTTCGTGCATCGTCCTTTGCCAAAAATTTCAACTCTTGTGCTCGCGAATGCATCTCTTTTGAGCTTCCTGCCCAGAACACTTGTCAGTTGACACCACTCCCAGTGCTCCTTCCCACTGCCACTTCGAGTCTCAGGGCTGTGCGGCATGAACGCCAGATTACCAATGCAAGTACTCGTAGCCAACCTCTCCATCCTCATTCTCTCCACCTGGCTCCATCATTAGTCATTTTCTCATTCCACAATACGGTGCGGCATGCGAGTGACCGGGATACACGGATTATATACCGCCCGGTGATGGCCGCAAAATAACGACGTTAAGTAGTGTCTAGGGTCGTTTGAATGCCGTGAGGGTGTCCGGACTTTGAAGTTTGATAACAGGCTCCTATCGCTCCGTCATGGATCATAATTCATTCTCAGACTTTCAGTGCTATAAATCCTAGCGCAATTCGAGTCAATCGCTGTCCTTTGAAAACCAGAGAAACACATCTTACCATGTTCGACGATGGACCCAGACTTTACTTGGCCACATCAGCTTTGGCGCTGACTATCTTTAGTTGTTACCGAAAATATTGGGACAAGCAGTCGGGCCCCCCACTCCCTCCTGGTCCTATTCCCCTCCCAATAGTAGGGAATGTTCTGAGTCTTGATACCACTCAGCCTTGGTTGACTTTCAATGCCTGGAAGTCCATATATGGTTAGCACATCGTGATGAGGATCTGTTCATGATAGGCTGGTACCCATGTTTTCTGTAGGCGACATCATTTATGCTCGTCTCCTCAACAAGCCTGTGGTTGTGATTAACTCTGAGGAAGTTGCAAAAGACCTCTTTGAAGGGCGTTCTACCATATATTCGGATAGACCCCAGTCCATTGTTTACCCACAGTGAGTCAGCATGTTGGAGTATTGCTACACATCGATGACGAAGATATTGTCAGCTTCGCTTCGGACTTCAACCCAGTGCTCATGCCATATGGAGACAGGTAATGGATTGTTCCCTGTTGTGTTGGTCAGTGTCTGAAGTCCAGCAGGTGGCGCCTCCACCGACGAATTTTTCATCAGGCATTTCGTCAAGTTGAAATACCCACTTACCATACTGTGCAGCTACGTTCCGCCCACAAAATGTTGTTCAGTGTTCTACAGGACCCTAGCGGCTATTCAGGACATTTGGAGATGTTGGTTGCAACGGTCTGCTCTGCTTTCTGCTGAGGCTGATTTTCATCAGGTTTAGCATTTCCTTTATGCTGCCTATGATATATGATTATGAACCGAAAGCCAAGGATGATCCCATCGCTCGCAACATGAAAAGGTACTTGAATCGGACAAACACAGCTTTGACGCCAGGTGTTACTGTGATACTCGAAACATTCCCTTTCCGTATGTCCGCACATGCAATAATGGCCTGTCATAACCTCTCAGCGGTCATTTTAGTTTTGAAGCTACCCAGCTGGTTTCCTGGTGCCACATTCAAGCGAGCATCACTAGAGTGTCTCGAGGCAGGTCATGATATAAAGGAGATACCCTTTCAAATGGTCGAAGAAAGAATGGTGAATCATCCCGTCCATAGAAGTGCAATAAACTGACGAACCGCACATAGTCTACCGACATCACGGTGTCTTGCTTCGTGGCCGATACCTTGAGCAGGATGAAGCTTTTTGAAGAAGACGACGCTGTCATTACAACTGCAGTCAAGGAGGCTGCTTGTATGGCATTCGCAGGTATCAAAGCACAGAGCTTTTGTCCCCTTGACGCTTATTGTTGTTTCTGTGTCTTCAGCGGCATTTGAGACGGTATGTATCGTCCTGATCTACGTTTCCTGTGGTAATCATGTTGCCCTCGGCCCAGACTACTTCTACGTTACTTATGTTCATTCTTGCTATGGTGCTCAATCCAGAGGTACAAGCCAAAGCGCAAGCGGAGATTGATCGAATTGTTGGCAAAGATAGACTCCCCAACTTCAATGATAGACCATCGTTGCCTTACTGTTGACGCCAGTTTTACGTGAAATACTCAGGTGGCACCCCGTGGTTCCATTTGGTCCGTTCCATCAGTCACCCTTATTACCTTCATCTGATAATGTACTTAGGTGTCCCGCGCACAACAACAACCAGTGACATCTACAAAGGCTACTTCATCCCTAAAGGTTTGTAGATGTACCATGCTGATTGGCCAATGGCTGCTGACGACCCAGTTTGTCAGGGGTTGTTTTATTTGCAAATGCATAGGAAGCTCTCACTTTCTTGATACTGAATGTCTCGAAATAACCAAACCTTTAGGGCAATGACACACGATGAAAAGAAGTACCCCAGTCCTGATGAATTCAAGCCAGAAAGATTTCTCCATGAAGATGGGTCGCTCACCAGCGACACGATGCCTTTAGGCTTTGGCTGGGGTCGTCGGAGCTGGTGAGCATACATTCATGCAACTTCTTCACTCGCTGTTGAAACCTGCTGGTCAGTGTGGGACGGTATGTCGTGGACACGTCACTCTGGATTGCGATCGCGAGCTTCCTCGCCATGTTCTCAGCCCACAAGGCCTTTGATGAACACGGCATGGACATCCCAGTCATTCCAAAGTTCTCTACGGGTCTCATCGTGTTTGCAGAATCTCATTTACCCTAAGAGTAGTCCGCTGATCTCTCTTTTTCAGTCATCCGGAGAAATTTCCCTGCCGCATTGTCCCGCGATTCCCTGATGCATCTGTGAAGACGCTGACACACTTGACTGGATTAGGTCCGTATGTTAACATCGCCTGAACATTTCAGCGACAGGGTAATTGTAAGTGTGGTTTAAATGTATAGTATACATATAGTTTTCTGTATCTCCAATATATTATCCGAGCATAGCGCAGAAATAACAGGCGAGTCATGACCGGAACCATTGACAACTGAACTTGTGGTCAACCACGGCCTACATGACGTGCGCACGTCAAGTCAGGCGATTCGAGTGCAATAATTTCTCGACCAGTGTCCACTGTCAAACATTATTCCTGTGTACTGATAAAATAGCAAATTGCCAACAAAGCTACTCAGGCTTTTGTCGTGGCTCCAAGTTGAAACTCGAGGAACGGGTTGGGCCACTCTCTTGAAGTTTATTCTATTGTCCGTATTCTTACTAGATCTTTATGTACGACCAATCATGGGTGGTGCCATGATCACATGGGCATGAGGGTAGATAGACAAATACAAAGCATTATCATCATTGTTAGCTTTCAAATCTTTGCACTAGCCTATCCAGTGTCTGTGGCCTTGCCGCACAAGGATTTATTCAAAAGATGAAAAAATCAACGTTGTAATGACATGAAGAAATTGGCCGTACGAGAAAATGGAGTAGCAAACCGTTAGTATGACAAGTTCACACTGGAGGGGGAGGCAACGGCACGACTAGCATCCATCCCATGGAAGTTCTGCAACTTCAGCATGAAGGCCGGACGGAGCCACGAGTCAATTCTTTGACACATATTGCCACCTGAATTTGTTGTAGAAGCATCTGCTGCTCAATGATCATTCTAAAGCCACCTTGCTTCGTTAGAAAGATGCTTGTCGAAGATCTGGATGACTCCCGCATGAGACGATTCAAGGCCAGACATCTTCTTTGCCGCGGCATTCCCCTCTAGCAGTTCGTGCACGATGGAGCTCTCATTATCCTTATGCGCGTTATAAACTTTATAGTCTTTCTCCTTTGGTATGATGTACCGTGAAGCGAACACTTCTGCCAGCTCTTGCACGAGGCAGTTAAGAGCGCCATGGCCCTTGAAAGTTGTCATGTCGAAAACAGTGCAACTGTGATACGCGGAATATCTTTCCTTCCACGAACAGTATGAATGGCCGATGATAACGTTCAGAATGCATGATCGCGTATAGATTCGGAGGGCGAGCCATAGAATTAGATATAACACGGACTCCACGTCGTCCTGGAAATTTCGCAGAGGATTTTTGCTTGTGAGGAGCTTAGCAGACATGAAAGGCAATGTCCCCTGAACCATCAGTTCGTGATCACAGCAATGAGACATTAGAGAAAAATAGTGCTTGCAATTCGAATAGATGGGCCCGACTCGGATTTCTCAACTGATGCTACTAAATCCCAGTCCATGAGGATGCTCATTTGGCCGTGCAACACAATATTGCCCATGCTAATACAAAGACGTGTAACTCCACAGAGCGTGAATGCGTCTCAATGAGCTTCGAATATATTATAAAAATCTAGCGGCTGGAAAACTCAAAGTCACTCACCAACTAATGCATCATGCGCCGCTCGTACAACTTGACAAAAGCTTTCAAGCTGCGCAAGTTGTACAGGAATGACATCAAGAACGACTCGGAAGTGACGATGAGGGTCATGTGTAGGTACCGCATAAGAAACGGTGTGCTCGAGTTGATGTATCAGAGATACGTCACATTTCACCGGGGTGATTTGAACGATGCCAGAGTCATTTCTGGCCCACGACCTGTGCAACAAGAACATCGGGCGAATTGATTTGTCGCTACTTCTTTTATCAATGTAGCACACCCCGGACGACACAAGCTGCAACCCGTTGCCTGCAGCTTCACCATTCATCATCCCTTCGAGTGTTGGTTCCCTTTCCATCAACCACTGATGAGAGAATCGTTGCATCAAACATCTCACGTGCGGGCTGCACACTCTGGCCATCCCATTCAAAAGTCATGGAAACTTTCTGCTTGATTTTGTCATCGCCGACCTTGTCAATTGTGGCGTCAAAGTTCTGGTCTATGAGGCTTCCCTCGGCTAAGCGCACAGATAGGGGATGGGGCAGCTGACATGAAACATCATTCTGAGATCCACATATTGGATGGCTGTCAAAGAGATCCGCTGAAGCCATCTAAGTAGTATCCACAATCGTTCAGCACTGGGCACATAAAGCATCATTTCCGATCTTATGTTGACGAAAGTCATTTACTTACAATGTCAACGATCAATTTGGAGTGGGAGTGAATGGAGTGGTGAAATAGGAGTTCACTAGGAGTGCTATTACTCAACCATGACAAAATAGGCACAAATACGCCCGAACGCCCATGAAACGCGTCGCGAGACGATGATGGATTAGGGACTTGCAAATGAAACAGCACAAAAAAAGGAATGACACAGTTAAAATGTTCATACAATCGGTGGCATGTTCCCATCCCGTTCGGTTCCGGCAATTGAAAGAACGCGTCGTGGACACGCTACCGCGGCTGTTTCAGGCTCCAAAGCTCCATTTCACTGAGCCCGTGATATCCTCGCGCACATGTATCCAGACTTCAGGAACGAAAATAGAAATTTAAAAAATATTAGAGCAACATAGATACTTTGTTGTTTTGCTATGCACAAATTACTATTTACGGATCAACTGGCGCGTGAAGTTCCCAAAAGAACGTGTACCCACCGTGCCACATGCACACCCGTAATGAGACTGTACATTTTATGAAACCGCCTTGTGGGTGAGACGAAGAGATCTAGTCCAAGCTGATTGATCCAGTGGGTCACTTGGAGTTTGGTTACTGTGTCCACGCCATCTCGGAGTGGGACTGCGGAGTTCTCGCGCTACTGAGAGTCATATTGCAGTGAGTGACGGCCAAGGTAGTAACGCGATATCGGTGCAGTCACAGAATCAGGATAGACGTTGTTATAGCCACAATAACAAGAGTCTTCGCTGCTGGGGACATACAATTATTAGGTTGGAAGCATTGCTGAGGCAACATTGACGAGGGGGGGGACCAGCAGGGAGGAAGGAAAGGTTGCCAATTAGAGCGTAACAAGATGGAAGCGTCAAAACAAGTTTGTGAGTGGGCAAGAAGCTAATAAGCGAGCGGGGTTTACGCTAGAGACGGGTAAACGGCATTATCCGAGAACTATACAGCAGGGAAGGTAGTGAGGTAAGCCTCCTCCAAAATGGATCTAAATATATCAGTGCTTTGTTTTGTCTTGCTATGCATAAATTACAGTACTCGGCATCACGGCACGCTACGACATAATGGAGTACCTATTTGTGGCGTGCACTCGTTGATCATCGTTTCATCTTCTTCAAGTTCAAGTTCAGCTTCAGGCGGATTACTGCTCCTCCTCTCCATTCGTTCCCCACCACGCTCTCTTGTGCAATATCACAATAATGAAACAAATTTGCCTGTTTAGTTCTGCACTGGCTTTCCTCACTTCCGCTGTTTTGGTACAGCGGCACAACAGGGTGCTACTTGGTCGGTTCCTACTGTTAAAATTTCATTGCGCAAGGTTGACTTGGCTCCAAATATTGTATAGCAACTCAACGAACCTATGTTCATCCCAGTATCCTTGTTGCAGTGCGTCGTATAATCAACATCATCTGTCACATGAAATTTATATGCTATTTTTTTAAAACTCCCCTTAGGTGAATACGGGTTCTGCGGTGATGGATTTGTGCGTCTTGTTTTATTCGTCTCACCATGCCGTTCAATCTTGCCAATCTGTAGTACTGTCTCGGAGGGTGTAATCCCCTTGCGTCCAACACTCTCGACTCATGCAATCCCAGCCCTATGTGTGAGAATGCCAACGTCTGTTCATCTGCTCTCCTTTCGTGCGAGTAGATCTAACGTCAAATTAATTTTTTATTCAGTACACGCTTTCAGATACCTCTCGCATCCTTAGTAACTATACCTATTTTAACGGGAACGCCTCCGAGTATGGTCAGCTCCAGGATGAATTCTTTTTTAATGGTTTCACTCATGCGTGCCTCTTGTTTGTTACTTTCAGACTGGGTTGTGGAACAGGGGTCGATTATCAATACTACATCTGACGGCGAGGCTGCAATTGCCGTCCTCCTCACTGAAACCGGTGGCGGTACTCTTCTGTCTTCAACCAGATACGTTCATTACGGCCAAATCACAGCTAGATGTGAGTGTTCGTTTTTTCAAGGGACTTTGTAATGCAAGATTTTTATTCCCTTCTCGTTCATTCTCCTTGTGACTTCGCTTTTCTTTCTCTTTTGTCTCGGATGCATTAAAATGCGCTAATATCTTTTTTTTATCTAGTAAAAACTGGTCGCTGGGCAGGCGTCGTTACCGCATTCATCACAATGTCTAGCATTAAAGATGAGATCGATTGGGAATTCCCTGGCAATCAGACGACCACCGGACAGACCAATTATTTCTGGCAGGGGGTCATTCGTAAGTTTCCTACAGTTGTGTCAATCCCGCAGAATGCGCTGATGTGTTGTTCCTCCATGCGCAATCTATACTCCGCCCACACCCGGTTTCATTGCTATCAAAAGCTGCACAAACCGCCGGTGTAACTGAAACTGGTCTCACGGATACTTATTCCAACTGGCATGATTTTACAGTAAGTCTTCGGTTTTGTCCAAGTGATCACTTTCATGTATGATTTCCTATTTCGGCGAACACGGCACGTACGCTTTCACAGCTCGGTTCATGAGCAACGAAAGCGCACGGGTTTTCAGTCGAACACTCTACTTGTTGCCATCTTGTCACCCCACCTTCGGTATCTCGGGTTGTGTGTACTCTCCCCGAAATACCGCCCAGTGGTCGATGTTCAAAGACTATTTGCCTCTTTTCAATTCCCTCACTGCCTTTTCAGTCTCTTATCTCAAAGAACATATTAACTTCGTCTCCGATAGATCGACTGGCAACCTGATTCGCTGACCTTCTTGGTCGACGGAAACGTAACGCGCACGATTACAGCTGTTCAGACTACGAACAATGCGACAGGGGTGGTCCAGTTCCCCAATACACCCAGTCGCATCCAATTGAGGTGGGTGTCCATACATCATACGCCCTGCTTTTGGGTATAGGTTGGTGTGGTCCAATTGTCACAACTTTTTCCTGTATTACGTGGTTCATGGTTCACAATTACGGGGAAACATTTCTGACACCTCCCTTTGCAGTATCTGGCCGGCCGGTATCTCCACCGAGCCTCGAGGCACGGTTCAATGGGCCGGAGGCATGATCAACTGGAATGACCCCGACTATGTCTCCGCCGGTACGTCTTTTTGAGGTTCGCCTTCCACTACCCTACAGCTCTGAAATTCTTCTGCAGGCCACTTTTACGCGCTCTTCCAGTCTGTCTCAGTACAATGCAACGACCCCACCACGCCCAGTGCCTCCGACACGTCTTACGTGTACGGTACCAACTCTTCAATGGACACGCCTAGCGTCGCGTTCTCGAATGCTAGTACGATTAACGGTTCGCCTGCTTTGATTGGCGTGAGTGTCAGTGCAATGAGCATGTGGCTCGGCGTCTCAGCGGCGCTCGCCCTCGGTGGCTTGGTATTGTAAGCTGACATCAGTGATGTCGAAACTTGTCCCGGTGGTGTTTTTGTAGGTGCTTTCTTGTATGGCTACTATGTAATATTTCAGGATACCCGAACATATATAGTTCAAAAAGTATGCAGACTCTTGTAAAACGCGCTGTCAGATACATAGACATTGTTACGGTCAGTTTACCATTGATGGGTCCGTTTCAACATACGCTACTATCGTTCACATCAGGCTTCAATACCACCAAGCTCTCGTCCAATACCTCTCTCCATGCTTCCCGTTCACAAAACTCGAGTTCCAGACCATGCATCTCATTCACAAGGGCATCAACCGCTTGCTTGATCGTCCACTTCCTTTCTCCTTCTAAATGCCCTCCAAGTCCAATCGTATCATCCATCGTGACAGCACTCTCAGATGCTGGCATGTGCCTTTCGAACGCTACGGGCAGTGGTAACAGCAAATCATATCCCATACATGCTTGCACAAGCCTTATTCGGCGGTATGTGGCATGCACGAGAGACGTAGTTTTCACTACCGTTGACATCGTCAGCATACGCACATCCTCACTGGACGATGCCGAGCAACGCAAGTCTGGTGTTGTAGGACCGAGGTGGACGATGCGCGGCTGTGCACTGACTGGTGATGCACTTGGGCTGCGCTCAAACCCTGCCTTGCGTGGTGTGGATTCTAACATGGGAGGGCGTAGCGACATATGGCCTGTGTTAAAAGAAGCTGATGGCGAACTGCTGATAAAGGGCGACACAGCGGATTGCATGCTTGATAATCTCTTCCTCGGCTTAGAGAAGACAGATGGAGGCCTATGCCAAGAAGAGTGATGTGAACCAATCTGGAAGCAGCGCAGCTGCTCGTTAAGAATAGCGGCTTTTTCTTGTGCGAGCAACTTCAATTGGAGTATGAGAGGTGTGCGGTAGCGAGAAAGGAGCTCCAAGAGAGACCAAAGCACATAGTCAATGACCCGTGGTTTACCCAGGGGCGGAGAGGGGCGGCGGGCGTTAAACGATACCGACGATGTGAGGAAGGACTCCTGAGCACTGAAAGGATCAAGTGAAGTCATGCTAAAACTCGAGTGAGGTGAATGGATAGGGGAAGGTGGCGCAGATTGTTCAGAGGATTCAATGGCAAACCGCGCATCTCCATCAGAAATCAGAGATCTAAAGACAGCAGCGAGACGGGTCCATATTGAAGGCAGGGATGCAGAGAGGTCATCTCCAGCCCTCACGATAATCATCTTGATGACTTGTATTGCAGCCACCAGGGTCAAGACCTGTTCTTTATTTGATGATCCAGAACGACGCTTATCGTCGGATTTTCTTCGCCCCAGCAAGGAGGTTGACTGTCGGGACCGGCCTGGGTTCTCACAAACCGCCATCGCGTAGGAAAGAAGCCGCAGCCATGCACTGGAACGCGCGGCACGCAGCCATGTGTCGTGGTCTCCCATCGGCGACGCCGAGGCAGACGTTTCAAGCGAAAGGACGAGCTTGAAAACGACACCGGACAAGAATTTATGTGATGGGAGCTGTTTCTCGATCTCAGCAATCACGTCAGTCTTTCGAAAGGAGATGGCTGTGGCAAGGAGCGAGACCATAGAGATTCCTTGTGCTCAGAGCTCCAAGCTGTTTGAGACTCCAACCCACTCCTGCAGATTGTGTTACTACTAAATCGGAGAATATGATGTCGTTGGTGAGTTGGTTGCCGGAGGTGAGATGATTGATGGCCTCGTAAATACCAGCAAAATTGATTGTCGACGCATAGGCGTTCATGATGGGAGCAAGGTGCTCGAGAAGTGCAATTGCTTCCTTGGAACTAGGTGTACGTTCGACAAGACTGGCCTTTGAATACTGGCATAGGAAATCAACGACCTTATCTTCCGTGTGCGACGCTTCTCGCAGAAGAATTCTCGCGATATCGAAAATCTTCTCCATTGCAGTATTGGGCAGCTGGCCGCCAGCTTTAACGAAAGCGAGCGCCAATCCGAGATATTCTGTCCGCATAGTGGTGAGATCACTTGGAGCCTTCGCTTTCTTGTGGAGCTTGTCCACCAGAACAGCCTCATCCTGCGATACATCCGTAGTGATACCACCTACCAACTGCGTCGTCAATGATTCAGGAAACTTTGGCTTCGCAGCTGCACGTAGGATGATCGTCCCAACTGCATCAATACCGTCGCGAAGCACACTCCTGGCCAATCTGGAAGCATTGTACAGTGCAGGTGTCAACAACCTCAAGAGCGATAGGAAATTTTGGGCTCTGGCAATGGAAGGGTCATGACCAATGACAGTTAACAACAACCGTACGAGATTGTCCATATCAAGTGATCTCGTCTCGTACTCCTCGGGAAGGCTGATGATCAGCTGTTGCGAATCCTGGCTGCCAACCCTTCGGATAGCAGCCATGAATGTTTCAGGTTTCTCATCAGCAGTAGTGACCATCAATGCTTCCTTCTCCTGCAGTCTGTTCATATTTCGAATACCAGAAGCATCTGGACCTGCCACCGGATTGTTACGATCCAGCGAAGACAGCATCCGAAAGACGCTCTTCACCAGCCAAGAGCTATTGCAAGTTGGTTCCAAGAGGACGTGTACCACCACGTCTAGTGTTTGGAAGACGAATGCGTGCGGGTGAACAGCGTAGAAGCGACTGATGGCATACTCGATAGCCTGCCGGATTCCCTGATGGTGTTCTTGTTCTGTATACACTTTCATGATGGATAGCATAAAGAGGGAATAGCCTCCACCAGACGTAAAGAGACGCCTGAAGCGGGTACTCGCCACCATTAACGCTGCAGGCCTGCAGTCAGACATGGCCATAAGAAAATAATCTTGGCTTACCGATCAGCGACTGGCTTACAATCCCAATATCATCTCCGTGTCTCAGCAAGATCCGATTCAGACCATCTATGAAGATAGTCAACTCGCTACGATCGCTAAGATGCCTAGACATGGATCTGAAAATCTGGGCTATGAGCAGAAGATGACTTCGCGAAAGCATCAAGGAAAGCGTGGTCAAGATTGACTCTGATCCATCCCGTTGTGCAGACAACTGCCGCGGTACAAAATCTGGCAAATCCAAAAAGCGTGCTGCTGACAAGACATCTGTCGAAGGCAGAACGATGTGCTCCATAGTCTTCCGAATAATTTGAACGTCCTGAGGATTTCGCTTCAACATGGATAGAAACAATCGATTCTGAGTCACGCGGATCATTGTGATTGATATCAAGGATGGGGGGATCTCGACTGGATTTTCACTGAGAGACAGAACTTTCGGAAACATGGGGCCAGTTGGAGACGACGCGGTAAACCACAAGGACCCGGATGGAATAAGGAACAGATCCATCTTCGCTCGTCGAATCTCCCTGATGGACATCTCGCTGACTTGCGTGACTAGATTCGACAACAGAGCAGCAGAGAGAGCAAAGTCGCGAAGTGCATCTGTCGAAGTAATTTCGCGAGCAACGAATTTAAGGTACCCAGCAAGATGGTTGAATGTATAATGAGCCATGGCAGGAGGGAGGTGCTGATTTAGATGCAACAACCCTCGGACAGCTGTCGTGGCCGCTTCTTCATTATTGCTGCCAAGCAAATCGAGGATGGGTCGAATGAGAAGAGCAGGGTCATGTCGTAGTAAATCCATGACACTGTCACGAGCCGCGCATGAAACGTCAATGCAAGAATCGAGAGTCAGAGAGACCAGTTGAGGGAATAGAGTCCCGAGTGCAGGAACAAAGACTGCACGACGCTTGACGCCACGGCTTGTAGGATCTGACGACCGTCTGCTGAGGTGGCCATCAGAGACATCACTATTAGAACGAGGTTTGGTTGGCGTGGATGTCGGGGATGATATAGGTGAAGAGTGAAGGCGCTCTGTGGCGCCAACGTTTCGATCTTGAAGATTACTGGGCAATAGTGACAATGGTGTCCTCACCCATTCACGTTTCTGGTCCATTGGTCGTTTTTCATCCAACCATCCTACTTCGGCTAAGCGTTTACGCAGTTCTTGGGGCATATCTTCATTACTATCATCCTCCTGTTCTGGAACAAATAGGCTTGAACCGATGTCGGTTGGAACAAATGGCAATGGGTTGCGGGCTAACTTGAATGGTCGACGACGATTCGTATCCGACAAAAAAGGCTGAGACAGAATCTGGAAGCGCATATTCACCAGAATATCTAAACGTCGGATTGCAGTGATCTTCACAGCACTGTCTTCACTGTGAAGTCGAATGTTAAGACCATGTATTACCAAATAAGGTTCTCACTCACTTCCGCAAGTCATTCCTGATGAGTTCAAGTATGCTGTGTGGGGCCTTCTCTGCACACTGCATGGCTAGAAAAGAAGCCTAGAATACTCCTGTGAGAAACGTCGCTCGTAATTCTAGGTAGGGCACACACCGAAAGCACTGCCTGTGGTTCCGCCCAGTCAAAACATCGTGCCCACAAGGAAGGCCCCATCAGCAAGTAATCTTCGGATGTAAAGCAGGCAGACACCACCACCAATAGATTGAGGGCTTGGCGGGTGAGGGACCGTGGAAGGGACGACAACAAGAGTATTCTCTCATGTAACACGTCCATGAGGACAGTCATACGTTCAGTGTCGTCCCCAGAGACATCGTTGGCGCCGGAAAACAGGATCAATGTGCCTCGGCGCTGTATTTTTTCAGCATTAAGTAGAACAAAGCGAAATGTAGACTCTACCTGATAAGATACTCGGAGGCTGTCTTGTGTTGAGGCGTAAATATCTTTGACTTTGCCCAGCGCCTGTGAGATGTCACTGAAGACGTCATCATCTACAGTCAAAGGTCCATCTTCGTCTACCACAGCTCCGATATGCGACTGTAGCAGCCAATCGATTGCTAATTGCAGCCAAGTCGGACTTCCTAATTTTCAATCCTCAGTTACAACAGAGAAAAAGATAGTGCATACCGCTTTACAGATCGTGTGAGTAGCCTGATTTCCGTGAACAAGATCAAATAGAGCAAGCGCATGGAGAGTGGCAGTAGAGTAGCTCGTTCCTGTATAAGGTAAATTAGACCATGGGCCATTCGTCGAAAACAAAGTGTTTCCTGCTTACTTTCGCTTCTAATAACACACCTAAGCGGGCTTCCAGCATACTGAAAAACTGGGTTGGAGCAATGGCCGAGTCATCAGGGTGCTGTAGATTGAGTTCGGCACTGTCTAAAATACGTCAGCTTAGGATCGACTCACCGAAAAGTCTTGGCTAATTCGTGGTACTGCCTTAACACGCGCAATTAGCTCAACCAGTACGACCATCTGCCCAAGCCTTGCTTGCGCCCACTTCCTCTTGGACCCAGATTGTAAGATGGTGGCGGGTTCGTTCATCAACGCTACCAATATCATCTCTGTATCTCTTGTCCAGAAGTCGGAAGGAATACCGAGATAGCAGCAATAACTCCAAGTTGATGGCCGATCGTGAACGCCTTGGAAGATGCTGCACAGGTGAAAAGTGGTTTGAAGAACACGTGAGGATATGTGCGTGATGCCTTGTCTAGGACACCTGTGAGTTCCGAATAGTGCAAAGGTGGTGGATTTGCAACTATTCTCTGATATTTTATCAAATGTACACCTTGCTATCATTAGCGAGTCGGAACACCCACCTCTTGCAAACACGGTATGGACAACGTGAACAGCTGACCGCGAAGCTCATCTGGTAAGTGAAAGAGTGCAGTCAAAATTCTAATTATTGTGGGCCATTCACCCTCAGCAATCCGTTCAAGGAGGAAGCGTGAGCTGTCTCCCTTTAGAGTGATACTAAGAGACACATACAAAGTGTTGCATCATCTTTTCCAACGACGTCTTCCACTCAGACGTTTCCAGTAACTGCACGGTGAGACCGAAAATGACGCCAAACATCTCGTGAGTGACCCTCTCAAGGCAGAGTAGCTCGACCAGGAGCCTAGACACGCTAGCACGGGCATCCGATGCCCGTTTCCCTGTCAAAAACGTCATCTCAGGAACGACACGGGATTTCAGGACATGCAAGACGCTCTGCATGTCCAGATGCTCCGACTTTACAGACACACAAAGGAGAGTTGCAGCATGAGCGAATGTTATGACAACTCGAGAACGGATAGCTGAAATCATAGGGGAAAAGGATCCTGAGACGGGTAAAGGTGTCCAAAATTCCTGCGTATAATTGGTTGCTAAGCTATTGTCCAACACGCTAAAAAGGGAAGCTATACCTGGAGAAGTTCATGTAAGACCTTGCGCTTCATGGTTAGAGGTCCATGGTCAAGACACCGGACCAAGGCTTCAGCAACCAAGGCTTCCCTGACTTCCAACTGGCTCACACCGACCAACATCACTGGGGAGCCATCGATCTCTGCTGCAGCGAGAAAGCCCGCCATGCTCCCACACGTCCCGCCGCGAAGTTTCGAGATAATGTCTCTTAGAATAGCCGCTTCTTGATCTTCCTGTATCTGGAGCAACGTTATAGCTAGTGCCTGGACTAGAGAAAGGAACGCATGAGCACTCGGGAGCTCAATGGGGCCAGTGCGGGGAAACAGGAGTGATGTAAGAACGCTGAGAATGCGGGTCCGAAGGAAGGATGGTGTGGACGCAGCGTTGCAACACCAAATACATCTCTCGATAGTAAGCTACAAAATCGTGAGCAGCCTGAACAAGCAAGGCACACAGTCGTGCCACGTACATCATCCGACGTCGCTTGCCAAGTTTGAACAGCAGCCTCGAAAGCTTCGATTGCAGTCCACCGCTCGTCGTCCACATTCTGATTGTTCTCGCTCGATAAAAAAGGCGTCAACAAAGCGGAAAGAACGAGAGTTTCGTGAGGAAGATAATTCGAGTTCTTCGACGCATAACGAAGGATGGTCTCGTGCAGCGTCATGACAAGCGAGGAATTCTGCCCTCCTGACACTGTGGAGGGAGGCCTCTTAATAGAAAGTCTGTTCTGAGTTGTTGTCTGAGTCTGCGCTATAGTACTCCCAGTTGCGAAAGAGTTCAGAGTCGTGCTCGACACGAAGGGGAGGTGCAACGAAGAGCCAAGTGTGCCCAGTGGCCCATCTCGCTCATTTTTGCTCTGTCGTGACAGATCCGGGATACGAAAGGACCAACAAATTTGGAGCAGCTCTTCTGCAAATCGGCGGGACTCGTCCACTGCAACCTCGCGTGCATACTCTACAACTTGTCGGAAGCCAAGCCGCGGAAAACGAGACGGCTTGGGCGTCTGTGATCGGGAAGGGCTTCGAGACATCCGCGCAGACGGAGGAGGCGAGGCTGGACGAGGTGCCGTCAAAACATGTTGCCGCAGCCGTTCCCAGCGGACCTTCGAAGGTGCTCGAGTAGGATAATTCCCTGAATCAGATCGCTCAGTGACAAGCGCCTGAGTGTTGGAAGACGAGCTTGATGCCTTGAAAGCATGGGAAAACGCAGGGGAGAATTTCTTTTTCAAAGGAGGGCTGAAAATGCCACCTGCCACTGACGGCGCCCGCCTTTGCTCTTCAACTGTGTATGACCTTGGAGATTCGACTGGAAATTCTCCCGTCCAAACTTCTGATTCTAAGTCATGTTGATCTAAAAACAGGTCACTGACATCGCCCTTCTCGGTACCGGTGAGTTGCGAGGTCGAAGTTCTAGATGGAACACGAGCATGAACTTCCTGCAAGCTGCCAACGTCTTCTGAGACAGTGTTGGGCGATGGATCGGGCTGCTGACTCTTGCTTGACGATGATCGGGAAGTCACCAAAAACCCCTTCTGTAAATCAGAAGAAAGCAGCCGTCTCTGTAAAAGTCTTGAGCCAGTTGGACGACTCGGATGTGAATGCAAGCCCTGGTTTCCTGACATTTGGAAGGATGTTTTTCACCTTTGAAGTTCTACAGTTATAGTGTGGTAAGCTGCCTGGACCACTGGGTACTTGTGTGAGCAGGAGTGCGGGACGCTCAGCGGAGCTCTCGTAAGGGTGGCTGTTAGAGGCTAACTTGAAGTAGGCGGCCTTCTAATTGAATTTGAAGATAGTCTACCACGTGCACTGGCGCATATTATCTGGAGGCCACCTCTCTCAACAGTACAGTGGACAAAACCCATGGTTACAAGTCCCTACAGGACGAACATAACAGCGACTACATGTAGACAAAAGACAGACGTTATTACTAATTAAAGGTTTGGAATGACATCTTCTCCACACGAACGGAATTCCGAGACTGAAAAGTATTTAGCAAACAGACGGCTAAAACATATGAATGACATACTTAAAACAAGAATCGATAACATAAAGACTAATGCGCGGGTGCTATTTTTTTGCCTAGAAGAAGTCCGAGTCCATCTCTTGAAGGTAGTGGAGCATTAAAGTTGCGAAGAGCACGAATGGGCGATACGGAAAAGTGAATCGATCAAGCATAGAAGAGTGGTGTGAATCGTGCGGGTGTGTTCGCGCGTGTGAAAGAAGAGAACGGTGCACGAGAAGACCTGTACGGACGAGTATCGTTACTCCAGCTGCGTTGAGTAGATTAGCTTTGTTTATTGGAAGACAACAGCTCTACCTCGAACTCGTTGCAGAGCTGGATCTGGAAATTGTATCGGCAACATGGGCCCTGAGATGATATGTAACAGGGTGGGGCGCGAATGAGGCGGCTTGAAAGGTATCGCTGGGAAGACCAGGTGGGGAGTAGAAATCGTTTACAAACGCATCGTGCGCAACGCAGCTAAGACCGGAAGCCAAGGGTGGTGAGTGGCGAGATCCAAAGACAAAAGGAGCAGCACAGGGATTAAGTCCAGCATCAGATGTTTTCGATAGCATGGGAGACTGGGCATATGCAGCAGCAGCCGAGTCAACCGGATGGATATTGTCTTGGATGAATCGGACTTCCAGGCGTGAGGTCCCATAGAACTGTCGTTGAAGTGCGTCTTTGGCTTCCTGAGCATTGAAAATATTCACGTATTCGACTAGAGCGCTCGTAGTTCCATTGCCGAGCGTAGTAGAATCCATAAGCTTCACCTCCTTAATAGGACCGAAAGGATAGAACAGAGGATGCAAGTCACTGGTCTGAGCAAAGAGAATGGTTGGCAAGTTCGATACCACCAGCTTCGAGGAAGGTGCCAATGAGACATTCCATTGTTTGGTGGCGTTTTGGGGCGAACTGATGATCGGAGGTGCGGGTTGGCGATCGAACTCCATTTCCGGAAGTGACGAAGGGTTCGAGGATGCCAGCATCATCGTCCTGTCTGCGCCATCTAAGAAGCCTGTCATGAAGGATAAGTAAGACGTATTTGCGACTGGATTTAATTCACACCTTGAGAACGTTGTACAACGGCCCAAGATACATCAAGAGTGTGTCCTCTGAGGTGTCAGTAAGTTGAGTTTTGAATCTCGAGATAAATGCTTTAATACTTTATTTGCGTTCGCGAGAGTGCATTCATTGCATGTTTGGCTTCCTCGTGAGATGACATTACCACGAACCCGCGACGGCGAGATGCATTATCGACAGTAGCGAGAATCACAGCGTGCATAACAGTGCCGAAGCGCGAAAACAGGGCGGAAAATTCAGGCCTAGTGATTCGTGAGCATGAAAGGTGTGGGGCTAAGAATATGCACACTTGGTGAGATCAAACGGTAGACCGAGGACGTAGAGATTTCGACGCGCATCTGAATTCCTGCCAGTGCTTGGAGACGACATTTTGCTATTGGCGGGTGTCACGATACTTGGAATGGCGTATATATGCACTGTTCAGTTTCCCTGTATTTGAAAGCACTCACATAGAGGAACCACCGATGTTGTAACCAGACATCCGCAGAGCTTTCCTGTCATGTGGTCAGTCGGTACAGTCAAGTGAGAGCGTACAAGCCTTGCTTAAAGGCATCGTGTGTGAGAAAATATAGCACGCAGTGCGGCGTGGTCGTTTCGTCACGATGAATCTCCGCACGTTGTACAGGACCTATGTGGGATACATAAGGCGACCTGGTGGAAACAGGAAAGTGACAGTACGAACCAACAGCGTTATTGAAAATGGATTCGATGTCCTTCAAATTGACTTCGCATACAATCAGACCAGTTTTTTCCCGCTTATTTAGACCAACCATTTTCAGGAATATTCTCAACCTTGATGGCAAATGTATCGCGAGTCATGGGGAATGAAACTAATACTGTGATAAAAACAAACGATTGTGCTCGACAAGAAATAGAAAGGAAGAGTGCGATGTGTAGCTGTTTAAAGCTGTCGTAAGCGACACGAAACCTGCAGCGATGATGGAAAGAGAACAAGAAAGAACGGCAAAGTCCACGAGTAGTTTGGTTGTATTTATGTACGCGACCACTCACGTGAATTTAACATTTGTAGGCCATGTCACAAAGAAGAAGCGTGTTCTTCTTGCAGCTGAGCTCTGAGGGGTAATCGGTCATCTGAGCAACAACCGACAAGAGCTGCCGCGGACGGCCATCGAATCTACACCATTAAGTTGAATCCAGGTTCCAAGCATGTCCAGGAATATCCTCCTCAACCCAACCCTGCCGTCCTCAACCCAGCTAGCGCTAAGACGCGCAGGTTACGAAACACTCGATGATCTATCCACCACTTCCGTGGAAGCTCTTTCTAAGGGTGCGTAGCATGTTCATTTCCGCCGATCTGGCTGGAAGAAGATGTAACCCCGCAGAACTGGGGATTGATATCTCCGACTCGCAATCCATAATCACCGTATCACAGCGGCCTCCAGGACCGCCTTTGAGTCAATCCTTGGCTTCCTTGATATCTAGATCACAAAGTGTTGCGTGCAGCTACGCAGCTGTAAACACGGCACTCGGTGGCGGTCTTCCGAGGGGACGCATACTAGAAATATCTGGACCCCCAGGCAGTTTCAAAGAAACCCTTGCACTAGATTATACTCGAATTTTCGCTGAGGCAAACGAGGAGGTGATATTTATTGGTAATTTATTTTGCGTTTGACGTGTCAATCCACCTTTCTGAGAAATGGAGTGTAGATACCCAGAATATGACAAGCCTCGCCACGATCAAGAAAACCTTCTGCAGTACGCAACACGTCACGCATTTCCGCCGGGGTGAACAGCAGGAATAATAATAATATAATAATAGATTCTTCCGCGGCTGCTGACTATCAGGACCTCGTTCGTTATATGCACCTCCATACCCTCCCGGATCTAATGATATTCATACATAACTTACTATCTGAAATTCACACAAAGGTACGCAGCCAATCGATAACGTCAAAACCAGACATGAATAGTCAGATAGACGGGGCTTCTCGTTCTCAATTCAATTTCATTTCCGTTCCTATCTCATCCAGATGTTCAGTCCTTCAAACGGACAGCGCTGTTGGAGAAGATCCATCAGGTATTTTTGCAAGCAAGTGCATTGAATAATTTGACAGTGAGAGCAAAGAGCACCTCGCCATGATTAGTAGCCTCATTCCAATTACAGATTATCACAACTTCCCAAATGTCAACGAAATTGCTCAATGCTGATGGCTCTCCTGGAAACTTTGAAACAGGAGCAAAGGCTGTGATGGTACCACAACTAGGTAAGCTCGCTAAAACGATGTCACACATTGCTCACTCATATGCACAGGTTCAACCTATCTACCAAACGGCCGATCCTATCGATTGGTAATTGTGCCGGAATCACGAGCAACAGGGCAAGACAAGACAAGGTTTACTTAGATGGTATCCAGTGCTAACTTTCTGTGACAGAGTAGTACAGCTTCTTTCATCTCCTACGCACCCTTCAGGACAGGCCCGGCATCAATATGATCTATGTAAGTGCAGCCCGTGCATGCCACATCGATAATTGATGACAAGTGTGTCGCCAGCACAACATGGAGCATGAAGCGTTCTCCACCATTCTTCACGGATCTTGGTATCCATCTTGAGGTGCAGTGATAACTTTGTCAGGTGTGATAATCATGTCCATCTTCCAATCGTGGTCGAACATCGGCACTTGTCCATGTTCCAAAAGTTGCTGCTCCAAAGCTAAAGCGACTTGAGATTACCAGTTAGAATGTAGTTCCGCGCTGCCCATGATGTACCAACCTAGTAATGGTTTTGATCGCCCAGTGGAGGAAGAATATGATGTTATGAATCGATCATAGTAGCCCTTTCCATGCCCGAGCCTCGAGAGTGATCGGTCAAAGGCAACACCTGTAGTGAAAGAGGATGATATCCACGAATCGCGTTGATTCATGCATACCCACCTGGCACGAGGATTAGATCCAGATTGCTACAGTCTGCATCGAAAACTTGGCCAACAATCATTGAGCTTGCATGACGATTTTGCATCCAAATTTGACGCACTACTTTGGCGTTTTTCACTCGACCACTCAGGCGTCGGTTCCGGAATGCCCCACAAACCAGATGGAAAGCTGCGATAGTCTTCTTCGGTGTATACTCGCACGAAGTCCATATAGCCATTGTTGGATACGATGCTAGGAACGAATAAACTCTTCCCTGATAATTTGGTATAAACACATGCTATCAGACTGGGGTAAGGACCGTTACGCACCTAGATCTCCAAGAATGTTCAAGATCAAAGAAGTCGTCTGAACTTCGGCTGCCGGCATACTAAGATAACAACTGACAGTCTTGCATTGCTGGAATGCGGGCAGCGACAAGACTTTTTCGGTAATGGCCTGTGCTTCCGATGCAGAGCATGTTAGTCGTCAGTAGCTCAGCATTTAGCATTTGAGAATCACATTGCGACTGGATATCAGACTGGGATAATTCCCGGAGGGTCGTGGCGATCGCTTTGCGGAGTGCCCTTTTATTAGTGCTTTGAACGATCGACATGAGTTCTGCCTGACCCAGAATATGAGCGAAGATCAGTGTTTAGTGGAGAAAGTGGGTCCAACAAGTTGGCTCGGTTACGAAACGCAATTGTAAATCCGCGAGCAATGCTCAGTCGATGATCGATGATGATCGTACTACACAAAGACGTGACGGGCTTACTAACGGGCGTCTATTCTCCGACTCCAAGTTATTAATATTATTCCCGACCTCTGACAGCACTTCGCAGACTTGCGTTTAGCGCACATGGAGACCACGTCTCCAGTAGTTTCATTTCCTCCAGAACCACCTGATGAACACCGTAGTCGCGCACCAGAATTCTACGGTTTTGTAGCCTGGACTTCTACATCTGTCGTGTTTGTCTTCTACGTGCTATGGGCCTTGCTCCCAGATGAATATCTTGTCTGGTTGGGCGTGGAATGGTATCCGAGTAGGTGAGTCACGCAACTTTCTGTATCAGAAACCTACCCTTACTGCGCATCATATCGAGGGAATGGAGTCTGCTTCTCCCGGCATACTCCATTGTCGTCGTACTTTTGACGTACTTTGTCTATTTTGCCATCACCATCGCACGTACTCCAGCCTTCTCTGACCCCAGCACGTTCATTGGTGAGCAATTTCCGAAAATAATATATGTAGCTAGGGGTCTAAACAGCAGGTAGATACCAAAGCACACCTTCCTGCGCTAGACGCAAATCAGCATTTCAAACCCGCGGATCCGGATGTTATCCCTGAGCTGTACGACATTCCGATCGGAATCGTCAATCGTGTGGTGTATGGACCGCACCGCTCGCCAAATGAAAAGAGACCGTCAGGTGAAAGCCCGAGCAAGGTCGACAAAGTTCAAGCATCTCCTAAAGCCCCGTAATTTAACATTGCGGCGAATTCTACAATACAAGTGCTAGCTAATGGTCGTTGGATCATAACCCGTGCATTGAGTGTCTAATATTTTAATCAAAACTCATCAATGTGTGGTCAGTCTTTGCATTAGTAGGTAGGGCATCGAGCCTCCTGTAAATAAGTACGTGTCATGTGCGAATCGAAGGGAACGGCTATTTTGTGGAGCGATTGAGTGGGTCGCACCGGAAGTCGTTCTACCCCACTAGAAGTCAGCGCGATTTAACCCCCGAACGGGGCGAAGACGGACCTGACTAGGGTGGTAGTGACGAGAACCCGCCTCAGCATAATTATTATTATCATCGTAACGATAAGCTGGTGCCTGGCTCAATGACGACGAGGGCGCCTCTGCCGGCAAAGGGATTGAGAGTATAGGGCATGTTCTTTTCGATTCGTCCCTATCCGACGACTGGGACCCGGTCCACCCGGTGACGGGTTGCGTCCTCGTGGCAAGGCTGTGCGGAATCCACCTGAGTCTTGTCGGTGGCCGGCCGGCATCGTGAACATGGTGATTTACGAGAGGCTCCTCAAACCCAACCATAAAGTTGGTGCCCTGAGATGGGCTCTCCATCAAAGAGGGGTTGATGCCGTGTGTCTTCAGATGGCGCTTGGCATTAGATCGTACGGCAAAGTGTCTATCGCACGATGATACCGGACACTTGTAGGCTGTTGGACACTGCAAAGTCAAAAATAAAGAGCAATTTACTTGGCTACGACGCACGTTTGGCTCCCGAGTGGGAGTTCATGTGCGTGTTCAAACCGCTGGGGCGCGGGAATATCTTGAGGCAAACGGAACATTGGTGCATTTTGGACCTTTTAGAGGATCTTCTCCTTCTTGGGGTTGTATTTAGTGGAGCGAGGGAGTCAATGTCTCCGTTGGGACCCCCAAAAGGAGGGACCACATCGGGAAGATGTGACGAACATCCTTCCTTGGGAGAAGCCACCCCAATCCCTGTGTCCCTCTCTATGACGTTTCCGCAGCTTCCTGCTGCTGGCCCATCATAAAAAGAGCTGGGAGACAAATGGGGAGGTGAAGGTGGCGACGAAGATTCGCACGATTCCCCCGATGCGTCTTCATCAGGGTCGTCAAAGCTTTCCAAAATCCTTGCGTTGTCCGGGTCCGCTACTGGCCTAAGAGACTGGCGACCCAACCGAAAGGTCATAACAGATGGTATAGCTAGCTCCTGGTCAACTACGGGCATCGTCATGCCCGCATTCGGGGGAGGCGTACGAATCTGGAAATGGGCAATCATCTGGGACATGTCGAGACCCGTCTCCATGTCGGGGTCGTCAGGATATACGTATACCGTGGATGAGCTGTCTAGTGACACTTGCTCCCGCCCGGTGGGACTTTGGCTGCCTGGATAGTCCAGTGGCTGAATGTCGAGACGAGCTGTCGGGTTTATTTGCTCATCATCCTCGCCATTGACCCATCCCCTGCAAGCAGGGAGAATGTGGGAGGCACACTGTTTAGTACGAGAGACCGGAGATGGTAGGAATGCGGAAGAAGTGAAATAATCGAAGTTTTGAGGGTCGTACTGCGCAGAGGATGGGAATGCAGAGGTTGTCCTCTGGGAGGACTCTGGATATCCAACGGACTGTGACGAAGAGGGTGACAATTGTTGTTGGTGATCATTCACTTCATGCTCGTTGGTGGTACAAGAAGCCATGAAGTGTACGCTGAGGCCTTGGGGAGAAATGTCACCGTCACTAAGGTAGGAATATTGCCTAGAGGTGCGACTATGGGATGACTGGATCTCCGGTAACAGATGTTCTTCGGTGCCGTCGAACGGCATGACTAGGCTTGAAATCGGACCAAGAAGCTGGGGCACAAGCCCTTGGCCTCTCATAGAACTAAGTAGTTGATGGCATGAGTATCGAAGTAGAACAAGAACAAACGAGCGCACAAACTCTAAGACTATAGTCGACTGCCTTTTTGTACCGTGGGAGGGAAGCGCGAAAGATAAATGCAGAGAAATAAGCTCTTCTAACTCGGGGCGTCCAGGGAAGTGTTAGGAATCTATGTGAGGAAGAGTGCCGCTTTTTGTTTCGCCTGTAGTCAGATAAAAGCCGAAAAGCGTGTGCTCTGCGTGCGTGTCCATCAGTAAACATGAGGGCTCGCGCCTGGATCTTGCGGGGTGATATGAACGAATTGAGAGACGTGGCTTGCACCCTTTGGGTACTCAGAATTAGAAAAAGTCCACCCCCCCTTCGTTTTGAGAACTAGCCCTATTTGACGCTCCATGTCCTTTATTAGTTATGCATGGAATCTCAGTGATCCAACCCAAACAATAAATCTTGTCGAGATTCATGATATCCATCGTTCCGGAAACTGCCCTGGATACCAATTGCAATCAACTGAAGCAATCATTGACACCGTTTGGCCATATTTCAACGAGGCAATAACATTGCATAACATCTTCCAACGGCTACAAAAAAAATCAGCATCGTAAGGCTCCAGAAGCAGGGTTATTGGTGGGTAATTATACCCCCATTGTTCTGGAACCGGGGGGATGGTTACGCGGGCTTTCGCCCGATCCAAGTCTCAGCGACTCATTGTCGTTGATGTAGTGTTTTCGTGACTAGGAATTTACACTCCGCGACGCTTGCGTGGCAGAGGAACGACGTTCGCTGCGAGTTTTGACGATTGCAATTGCGAGTAAAATCGCGACCTGTGAAGATGCTGATCAGCTGATGATGGCACATAAAATCCGAAACACAATTGAGATTGTCAATCGCAAATAGCCCAACAAGCGGTATTCCGATTGCGCTCGTTAGAAGTTCATGAACGGAATCTCGTAATACTGACTTGGTACCGCCGACGGACGAAAAACGACCTTACAATCAATCAAGCAAGCTCCAATACCACGCATTGATTAGATTCCGCTTTAATTAACGGACTAATCTGAAAGTACTACGCTACAGACTGCCTGCATGCACGGCATGAACAAACACAAATAGATTAAATACTAGAAGAAATTAAACCAAAAGGCAAACTAGTACCTAACTGGATGCTCGTCAACCTCATGTATTTCTAGTCCGACATCTCGGACCTTCCTCATTCCGACTAACAATTATATACAGTGACGAACGTGAAGTAGATATCGGAAATAACGAGCTTGAATGTAGAATGCAGTGGATTCAACCTTAAGGCGCTTTGCACCTGTTGAATGAATGGCTTATTTAGTAAGTAAATTAATGAACCTTACGACAGTAGCACCTGAACACACCTAAACTGTTCAAGCCTACTTCCTACTATCGTCTCTTGCCGCTCTTCTTGGCCGAGACCAGACGACCTGCCGATCACAAATTGTGGACTATTACGAATCCCCGTACCTCCCACAGCCTTCAGGGTTCTTCCGGCCCTGGATACTACTTCGGTAGACAATGGAAACCTGACCTTGGGCGGTGCAGATCCTAACTGACTGCGGCAGCCAGGCTGCCGGCCATCTGGAGTGATCGTGGTCTCGCGCCTTCTAAGCACGGTATTCTTCTGTGGGCGATTAGACATGTTAGATACGATAACAATCGCCACGGAAATTTTGATACGAACCGAAGGGCGTAGATCCTTGTTTAGGGCCCACTTATTCCACCACCCATTGGCAACTATCTCCGTGCGTTTTGCGTGTGCACTAGCCTCAGTCACTGTATATTCTTTAGCTCGTCCATCTATGTCAAATTCGACATTCGCACCGTTGTCTTCCGGAGTAATAGGACCAGAGGTAGAAGATGACTGAGGCCGGAGTAATTATGTCATCATCGATCGCATCGATATCCCCGGGCGCTTCAATGTCGAGAACATCACGCAAGTCAGGTCCTTCGATTTCATCGGCAGCACTCGGCGGCGGCGTTTCCCGAACGAGGATACTAACTTTCTCTTTCTTGAGCGGTAAACATTGATGCAAGGCATGTCGCGTGACTGTTCTCACTGCCGTGGGACTGGGGATGACATCCGCGCCGAAGTCGTCTCCGTTGTCATGATCACGCCGTCCGGGGTTATATGGCCGTACAGGTGAAGAGAGATCAGGTGTGGCTGATCGGAAGTAGGATGGGGAAGGTGATAGGTACCCATCTTCTTGTGTGACGGGATCCAGGGGCTCATCAAGAATTTCGTCCAATTCTTCAACTACAATGACGTTATCGGCATGATCGGGGAGGTTTTCTTTTTCAGATAGGGGATATGAGATACGTGAATTGGGCATCAGATCGTCTGCGGCTCGTTCCACTCGCTGTTTTGACGTCAATGGAGAGGGAAAGAACCTTGAATGTGTGAGAAGAGAAAGGTTTGTGGAAGACGAAGCCTGATTTAGTTTTATGCGTTTTGCAGCGAGGTCTTCGTCAAGTATATCGACAAGTGTCCTCTTTCCGCTACCTTTACCAGACATTGCCGTTTTCTTTGTTGGCGCGGAGTTACTACGAGTAAGGGTAGCTTTTGGTTTTGGAGCTGTGGGAATACTGTCAAATGTGTGGGCATCATCGGCACTGAGGAAATACCGAAGAAGGTAAGCAATCCGCTACTCTCAGGCTCGGCTTTTGCTTTGCCCTTTCCTTTGACTGAGCTAGGCCGATTAACATTATTGGCCTGAAATGGGAGGGGCTTCACTGTGCGAGGTACGAAGCTCGGATTGATATCAATCATCGGTAGAAGTGTCACTGGATCAACGTCCCCTTGAGCCAGCTTTCTCGCCAAGGCAGGCTCTATGTCACTTTGAGAGAAATCAATAAGAACTAGAGTCTCCATCGAGCAATTGTTCAGAGACTGACCCTCCGATGTACGATTCCTCTTTATCATCCCACTCAACTCCTTGGGGGATGTCCGTCAAGTTGACCAACCTCTCATCCAGGGGACAATAGACACGCTGGTGCAAAAACACCTTCTCCGCCAGACTATATGCTTCTAGATACCCTTTTGGCACAGACTTCTTCCCTTCAAGTCCTTATAGCCCGCACGACCTGCTCTACGCTCCTATATTTTCGTAGCAATGACCACGCAGTCTTCAGCCCGACTCCTGGAATGCTCGGCAGATAATCACATCCACTAAGGATGGCCATAGCCCTGAACTGAGCGTCCGACCATCCAAGAAGTGATATGCCCCCTTCAGCAGCAGTTACGGATCCAAAGTCGTCCTTCGAGATTGAAACGATAGTACTTGAAATAGAGTCCAGCTTGAAGAGCACCTTTCGACATCCGAAGACAAGCAGATCTGAGTCTTCGGTGATGATGCCATCCACAAGACCGATGCGCTCCAAATACGCCATTTGAGCGTCGGCCTCATACGGTGCAACCACGTATGGCACATTTTCTGCGCGCAGGGCCTAAAGTAAAGAATATATCAGACGAATGTCTAGCTCAAAGATTAACAGCAGACTTTTATGAGTTGGTACGCCATCTGAGGGGTTACGTCGACACATTTAACAAAGTATTCCCGGGCTTCTTTGTGTCTTCCCTGGGATGCCAGCGTCTTTGCCTTTGCAAGGTTTTCTTCCCTCCGCTGCTTGCGCTCAGTCTCAGTGCCCATCTTGGCCGGGAGTGGTCCACCGTCGAACACAATATACGGGCGAATTTTGTGATGACGGAGTAAGCGAACACGCTGCATAGCATAATCAACATACCTAGGTGAGAAGGTGAGCATACCGACATCCGCGAACCGCGCCCGGACAAGCAGAGAAACACTAACTTTGTGGTGGGTTTTCCTGTGGCTATCTCAGTGGCACAGGCGTATACGCCTCGGTGAAGCCAGACATAAGCATCCACCGCAAGTGTTTGACCAGCGAAGTCTGAGAGGTGTCGGTGAAGCTGGATTGACTTCAGCAACGGCAAGAGACCAGATATCCCCATGATTGAATATTTGTGGCTCAGAAAGCCCTGCTACGGATGAGGTGCAGAGTATTGGGAATTTAAGTTGGCAGACAAGGTCTTTGTCTGACTAGCTAGTGGACCAGGATCATTATGAACAAACAAGGACAAAGAGACGCGTCGCGTCCGACGACGACGCGTCTCATGACCGCGACACTGTCGTCGTCAAGACAAGTCATCAATCATCATCTCATCTTCCTCAAGTGCTGGTAATCAGAATGTTTCAATTTGTATTCTTTGACAAATCCAGGGACATAGCCTACTTCGTTCAAGTCGCAAGTGCTAGTATCAGACGGTTCACATCCTCAACTCGATCTACCGCTGCTGTGCTATTTTGATGTGCACAATAAGTACTACTCTGGCATAGATCGTTGTCGGGTGTTTAAACGTTTATGGGCCATACTGAAAGGAGCTTATCGGCGACCCCTAAAAGATATTACAAACCCCTGCAGGTTTACTGCAGGTGATGTATTACATATAATTGTTTGCGTACTATCGGATTGGACCAAGCTAAAACTTATTGAACAAACCTACTACACACCTCTTCTTCAAGGGTTGTAAGGCCTTCGATACATGATTAGACCTATTGGACAAACCCACTGCAAACTTCTTCAAGGGTTGAGCCGATATAATCCTGACTTGATCCTGAACCACATGCATCCCCACGAGGCACTTCAAGCTTCAGGGACGATCATTAGCCGTAGACCTGGGACTGTGGCGGACCTTTCCCGGACTGCGCAGCGTGCTTCTCTGAACATGAATCGAGTCTGGCCCGTAACAAGCGCTCGAGAAGTACTTCTTTACGACTAAGTGATACACTGATATGAAAGAACCCTCTAGAAAAGTTTTAGCATACCCTCGTGTAGCAGGCCTAGCCCCTTTACTCCATTCCACCATTCCTTCGCAGCCAGAAGCGCACGATCTTGGGTCTTTAACTTTTTAACACTCAGCCACTCTCTGTCAGCACAATTTATGAGTACTGTGTGTGTACGTGGCGAATACACTGCCCAACCAGGCTCAACAGGACCCAAATCATCATGGTTCCTGGAGACACTGAGATGATGCAGCTGAAGAGTGCGTCCATCGAGCATTGTGGTCGTAATAGGACGTTGGTGTGAAATGGCGCGAGAAAGTCGGACTATATCCAATGCGGTTTGGGATGCAAAGTCAACCTGTGCATCGGAAGCGGATATCACAGAAGCATGAGGTGTGGTAGATAAGACTGGAAGTTGTGGGGTGCTACGAGCCTAGTCGAAGCGTAAAAATTTAGAATTAGCCAAGTTTCCGAGGACTCACGCTTCCTAGTAACATATCTCGAAGCACTGTGACAAGCAAATCTCCTCCGGTCTGGGCCAGCTCCACGGACATTGAAGGAAATGTCGCGCTTTCTGGAACAACCTGCAGTACAATGAGTCATGCATGATTGTTTGCTCGCCGTGTTACTCGCCATTCTCTCACAGCCCCACACACTTCCAGCATCAATCCCCTCCTTCTTCTCCATCATATCAATGACGCATACACCTGTTACATTTTCTCCTCGCATCAAAGCTCTCTGGATGGGCGCCGGACCTCGATATGCAGGTAGTAAGCTCGGATGAACGTTAAGTCGCTGATCTGGCGGAAAGAAACGTAGGAGCGAAGGGCGGAGAATACGTCCAAAGGAAGCAGTAACGAGAAGATGAGTTTCACTGGCAGGGACGGAGACGTGAGCTTCGTTGGTATTCGTAAATGGTGGAGGAGGCTGCATAGAATATGAGGCCGGTTTAGCAAGAAAGAATGTAATGCGCACCATCCAATCCTTGAAGTCAACCTTTCGTCGTGGTATAGTGTGAACTGGAACCTCGAGAGATTCTCCAAGTAGTTTGAGTGGAGCTGTTGAAGCAGGCGTAAGTATGTTACCACTGAAAGAATTGCATACGCACAAATTGATAAATGAGAACCCCGTCGACCAGTTTTCACGTCTGGGTTGGTAGCGATTGAGATGGACTGCCAAACATCTATATTACCGGTCAACATGAACCTTGGATTGCCTACGTTATGAGCTACACTTACCTCGGGCGGCGTGCAATTGCTTGAAGACCTTACAAGAGAATTCGTCGCGACCGAAGAAAAGGATGTCGAATGGCTTCTTTGCGGCATTGCTACCAGTGTAGAAATGTGCGTTCAAGCATTTTATTAACAGGCGCCTCCGCGTGGAATTGACCCGCACAGAGTTATATAAAACGCTTGGCTGTGCATATCCGATCGTCGATGGACACCTAAGTATCCACCACAGCTCGAGAAGCGATCTGCAAGGGCAACGTATTAATTGGGGGAAAGTGGGTCATGCCAATAGCGAGGCATCCGCCGAGCCTTCGGGTCGGCGAAGCTTTCGTCGATTTCGCCTTCTTTCTTTGGCACAATATGTCCGGAAGGTTGGCTACGAATTACATGCGACACATTATAGGTTTCTTTCTCTTCAATTGACCAGTACTTCTGCACATGTTCGCGCTCATCATGCGTTATATCCTGCCTTACTCAGTGTTGCTGCAACCTTGTTCACTTGTAGCCATACATGCTCTTTAGTACGCTCGCCAGCAAATCTTTCCGTTCAAAAAACTGAGGCTTTGAGGACCATCTTGGGCAAAACTTTTTCATTCTACCACGTGGCAGGGCACTGCCAGATGTCAACTTATGTCGGGCAGAATGGCAGGCCGAGGTTCCGTCAAGATTCTGCACAAAGACATTGGCAATGGTGCCAGCAGCGCACAAAAACGAGTCCAGTAATTACCTATGCGTCATTGACCAGAAACAATATTGCAACGCAGGACAACATAAAAAACACTTTTTTATCACCAAGTTTCAAAGAAGGATGGGCAAATGGCAAATCGGCTCTCATATCCATGCTCGGATGCGGGCGCGGGCGCCGTTCAGAGGAGAGGCATAGAGGCTCTTATTGCGGTATTCTGAGTCACCGGCTGCGTGCACATTAAATTTCTGCTTTGACAGTCAACAGAATCTAGGTACGTACGCTTGAAGATTCGTGACACAGAGACATGACCATGCTGCATTGCTGAAAGCCGTGGTCGAGGTAAAACTGGTGTAGTAGAAACCACAACGAGTGCTGGTGACGACGGCAAAGGCGCCGGTATCCAATTGACATCTGTGATTAATTGAAACAAGGCACCTTCTGTTGCTTAATCTGAAGGTCTAACAGGAGGGGGAACGCACCCTTAGGTTGGAATGCAGCGATTGTGGGTCTTTTCTGTTTCCTTCTCAGGATGCCAACCTCAGCGGCATCATCTTGACAGAAAGCCATATTGGTGGAGGGAGAATGGATACCATCCACATTTTCTATGATGTTGCGTCAACTCCGTGAATGAGAAGTAGATCAATTCCTACCTTTGCAATTTGTATATTGCTGAGATGGGGGTGGTGAATGCAGTACCTTGATGTCGGAAGGAGCGGTAGTCCCAATCCGTTCGATACAGGGTGATGAAGCCTTGAATACGTCAGAGTCCTTTTGGTCAAAAGACGAGCACTTGTCAACAATCATGAAAGAATGGTGACGTCGACACATTGAAGAAATCCACCTGGAAGTGCCCAACCGAAATTGATGAAGAACACGGGGACGGAACTACCGCACCATTTTCGTTATTCCGTGGGACGGTGTCTACATTAGCCAAGAACACGCCGCGGGTTGAGTCCAGATGACATAAGAGTATGTGAGCGTCGGAATGAAATTCATCAACGGGACTCACATACCTTGAAGCTGCATGACACGACGGCTCACCCCCGCCATCGCTTTTGCCCGACGAGCTTCTTTGGCAGCCTGGTCTGATAATTGAACACTATGATGTACCTTCACGGCGTCTAACGTAAGAGAAGATACTCTGGACTGAAACGCCCCAAACTTCCTTGTCATCTGTTCACGCAAGAGTGCCACTTCTTTCTCGGTCCGATTTTGGTCTTTGACCTGGTCAACGATCTGACTACGAAGGTGATCCAATGATATATTGGTCTTGGTATAGTTGATCGAGGCCAAGTCCGAGAGTTTTTGCAGGTCCTGACGCAAGGCAGCGTAGTCTTTCTTGCACTCAATGTGATCCTGAATCTGAGCAGTGGGTCGAGCGCGAAGACATTTCTGGGGAACGTCAAAATCTTTACAACTCCGCGCGCATTCAGCAAGTGGTTGGTGATCTGGACTAATGCATGCCTGCAGTGCACCAACCGTGTCACGCCGCACGCTCATTTGACCTTGCTGGGTGGTCATGATGTTGGACAGGTGATATGATTGTCGACCCGGTTCCTCACTATCGGACGACCGTTTTGTATGGGTATGGAATGGTTCGTCCTTGGACTGTGCCAAAATCGGTTCATGGGCATTGGTAAGCAAAGCGATTTGATCCTCAACTGCAGACAGCGATGACTCGAGCGAGGCAACAGAACGACGCAGAGACAAGATGTCTTGTGAGATAGAAGCCAATTGACCTGAGAAGATAAGGAGAAACTGGTAGAGCAGAGGAAAAGATGCAGTGGAAGATGTCGTGTCCGAAAAACCCAAAGGATAGCCAGAGTCAGGGGTGGAAGGATTCTGTATGAAGCTTTCACTAGCATGATCAAAGAAGCCCATATTGGAAGCGGAGGAGCGAGTGTTTGATGGTCCGCACAAAGAGCCGTCCGACAGTCTGTTGAACGGAAAATATATGATCGTGTTGGTCAGACCAGTGGCTAGAGATACTCCGCGAGCATCAAGGGCGGAGAGGAAGGCAATAAGGGAAAGGATCTGGAGAGGATCAACAGCCATGCTGATAGAGCTTAGGGATAGAATTTTCTGCAGAAATTTGCGAGGAAACGGACTCGAGAGATGTGAGGACTCAACAGACATGTTTAATCGAGACTGGTCTGCTTCATGATCGGTCAGTTCTGGAATCTGTGCCAGGCCCCTCAATCCAGGACTCATCATGTAGCTGACTGGTATCAAGTATGCTGAATATACCAATCATGGACTTTGATCCAGTGAAAAGCCGTCTGTTATATATGGCCAGGCCTGGTGAGACTCTACGATAAACTTCTGTTTGTGCCGCCGCCGTCGATATGATGAATTAGGGCAATCGATGAAAAAACAATTTTGATCGCATCGCATCCGCGCGTACGTTGCCGGTCTTGCATCGTGACTTCGCTTTAATTTGCGGCCGTTGTGCAATATTTTGCTGGTGCACCTTCCGATTACCTCGCTGCCTGCAGGCTGCTGGGCTCACACAGGCTTAGTCATCCTCCCCCAGGGGCCAGCACATGGTGCGCAATTGAGTCTCAAAACACCGTAAATATATACAAGGCAGGGGGTTCCGACCCATATAATTCTTATTATTGCGAAAGTGTAACCGTGTCGTCCATTAAAGTGATTGCTATGGATGATCATATGCATACAAACAGTATAATGTTTACTCTATCTTGCGGGCATTTCAAGATAACAAGGTCGGCGGCGGCGAATCAACGAATGAAAAAGCTGTGTGCAACGGCAAGCGCACATACGACAGAACATGCCACAAATCCAAGAGGATATCCTGACGGATCGTCTCTGATGCCAGTAGCCCAAAGCTACATGGTGTGTGAGGATGTCATTGTACCACCAGAGCGCAGAACTAGTACTCACGTATCCGCCAAGAACAGGTCCAAAACAACGTGCAAGACTGACTATACTTTGCGCGACACCGTTCGCAAAACCAACCGCATGTGGGGGTGTCACTATAGACACCGTCAATGGAAACTCTATTCTCGCATAAGCCAAACAAACGCACTATAATTAAGGAGGATGGATATGGCGGTGTAACCAAACGTATTTCCGCAATAACGTACAGCTCTGCATACGTGTCAGCAATGCTCAGGTGGACTGTCCAGACATCACTCACGTGCTCAGAGCCAGCGCTGACATAAAGAAGTCAGTCATGGAACAAGGGATAAAAAAAATCACATCATACCTGCCATAAGAACAAAACTTCCTTCGTCATTAGAACTTGCGAAACCCCGATACATAGTGACAGTAAGGTATGCCGGTATAAATAGCAGGGACCCGAGACGAAACATTGCGAGGTGGGAGAAACGCCCTCGAGGGGGTCTATGAGTAAGTGCTATCAGAGGGACGATCTGCAAAAGAGCCAGAAAAGACTTGCCCAATGTTTCTGAAAGCAATAAGTCAGCAGAGCGATGATCAAAAGATGAAGTGGCCATACGGATAGAGATAAAATTGGTATACAATCTGTGCGAGGCACATGAGTGCAACTGCGGGACACCATCAGCAAATAGCCTTCATGTCCAGTAGCTCAATCCATACTCAGCTGAGAGAAATGCCCAGGATTGAGGTTCAAGCCCCCCGACTCGTAGTCGCTGATTAGAGGTCAGTAAGATGCACGCAGTATTACCCAGACTACGCACGTAACAAGATATGATAAGAACACTTGATCGTGTGTCGTGCTGTGAAGCGCTAGCAAACCGTACTGGAAGATGATGACCAGAGGCAGCTGCGAGGTCAACGATGGAGGCTTCCCTGGGGGAACCTCCGACTCTGCGGCAGATTGCCCGTGTTCCATAATTGGTAGTAGTGAATTGTCACCAGCGGACTCTTGGACACGGGCCTGGGCATCGAGGACGATGGAGGGCGTGCGCACTCCAGGGTGCGAGAAGATCGAAGGGGAACGCAGTGCGAACGGTACCCCATCCAGTGCGGGAGAACCCATCGTTGCTGAGTGCATGCGTGAAGATTGCCCAAATGTTATCACAGATGAGCGCTGGCCGGGACTGCCGATCGCACTTGCGAGGTTACGGCCAATGGAACGCCCTCGATGCACAGGAGATGATGTGATGGAACTTGGAAGGCCTTCATGTTCAATGTACTCAGAATCGACGTTCATATCTAGGTCTTGCTCAGGTTCAAATGTTTCGTCGTTATCCACATTCATTGCCGCTGCCACCCAAAGATCAGCAATGTTTGTTACCGCGTTCTCATTTGCCATCAATAGTCTCTGAGCAAAGTTGAGGTCGCCGGGATCCGTGAGTGACGCCGGTCCTTCGAATGCACTTCCGTGCCTCCTTCTTATAGTGCTGGCAGTGCTCACACGCCTCGCACCAAGCGTTGTCGTGCTGACCGTGCTTGTCGCCCTGTTGCCTCCCCCATAACCATATGCAGATCCATTGGTGCGGGTGATCCTCGAGAAGTTGCGCGGGCTCTCCATTGGCAGCGATGTGGATGTCGTTAGTGGTACTGGCAATGACGGCGTTTCCTGTGCGGTGACTGAATCTCGAGATCCGAAATAACCAGATAGTTGACCAGACACTTTCCGCGTAATAGAGCGCACCAAGCCAGACTGTGGAGCATCGCCGAGGGTGCTGGGAGTGGTGATATCTTCCTCCTCTTGAATGGTCGGGTGTCGATCTTCAGGCTTTTCTAGCGGTAGCCGAATTGCGCCATCCCGCGGTCCGCCGTCACGGCCCAGAAACAGGGACAAGAACGACCCTGTGTAATAAGTGAGTGATTGCGTAGTATTACCTTTCAGAAAAGGCACCTGTCAATGTAATGCTGGCAGCCACTGCGCACGGGAGTAGGTACGGGTACTCCACCAGTAGTGGCACTTGGCCAAACACGCTCGGCCACTTATCTGCAGGCTTCTCAACTAATCGATCGTCAGTAAGACTAGCATGCCTTTGCAGAAGGCACTCACATGACCCTCCGATGATGGCGCCCGCCACACCACCGAGTCCCCAGCAAAATCTGGTCGTAATATCAGCACCAGGACCTCAATCAGGCAATTGGTACTCGCCCCATGATAGCGTATGCTCTCCCCTCGTTCGTCATGTCCGTCACTGTAGCAACGCATCCGCGTGCAACTCCGACAGCCCCAGCGAAAATTCCCTGCAACAATCTCACTGCAATCGCTTGCCGCAGGGATGTGCATGTCCCAAAAAGCAACACCGTCACTGCACTCCCAAACAAGGACAATGTCAGCACCAATCTACGACCATGTCTATCTGCTGCAGTTGCCTATTGCTCCGAATCAGAGTCAAGCGAATAACGTGAGTGCAGAAGAAGGTAACCGGACATACCCATAATAATGAGGTTAGGAACTGCGTCAAGAAGAACGCAGACACTGTGGTAGTCCGTTAAAGAAAGTCAGATACTAAAAATGGTTTAGCAAGAGTACCAAGTATTCCAGTCCAAAAGGCGATTTGGGCTTCGTCACTGATCTCGCCAAACCCTGAATCCGAGTTCGTTAGTCAGACAGCAACGATGCCGCATATGATCGCACACCTTTGACCATGAAAAGGAGAAATGGCATTGCGACATTGGCAGAAAGAAACTCTCCAAGCATGGTCTTGGCGCTTGATCAGTCATATCATGAAGGTGGGTGTAGATACTTACGATGGACAGCACAATCATAGATAATGCTGGTAACGGAGTTGAGTCGGACTCGCTGCTGCGAAGAGCGTTGGGTATTGGAAGTCTTTCAAGCATTGGAGACTTAATAGCGCTCTCCACATCTGTGCTCGTTCTCCAGCGCGAGACAAAACTCTGCCTTCGATGGTTCTGACCGCCCGACGCCCGTCTTGTGCTGCGTTCTAGCCCAGAAGGGTCGTCGTCTTCTTCAGTGTTATTCCGCATTCCAAAGAACCTTCTTGGGGGCGCGTTTAAAGATCGTAGGGTGCCGACGTTTGCAGGCGGTTGGAGGGGAATACGGGTGGTCATGATGAATATATATATGTCAGTGCCTTGGAGTGTCTTACAAGTTTCTGTCCAAGTGCCAATTTGCAGAACGTAATGACTTGACAAAAAAGGAAAGTGCTTTGCTGCGTGCGCCGCGCCGCGTCCGCTTGGAAGTTCCAGGGACCAGCCATTTTTACTTCCAGTCGTTTCCAAAAGTTGAAAAACGTTTAATCATCACGATAGCTAACGGCGAGTGCTATCGACTGGCAAAAACCACTCTTCACAGCGTTTGAAATTATTTTGAATCTGGCCTGCAACTATTGCTTCTGTTCCTTTGTCCTGATTCCCACTGGGCTAAAGGAAAGCAGGAATATCAGGAGCAGCATGGTATGTACTTTGTAAGACTCGTTGGGTTGACTTGTGTGTATCCATAATTGGGTGACAAGGTCCATTCTCCCAAGTTGTCCACACGGACCGTACGTATGCATGGTTTTTGCTCTTTCAATATAGATTTTAAAGAAGTGGCCTCCATAAAGTGCGATACATACTCAGTACAGCCTCACAAGTAGCTCAGGGCAACACCTCCTGTTTCACCGGTTGCGAATTGAGCATATGCCACGTCCCGTGTCGGATGTGGCTTTCCGTGTTTTTCGAGTGACTTGGTCTTGGTGAGTCGCTACATTTTCTCTCCGCCTTTATTGAAACGAGGAATGCAAATGATACACCAGATAGGACATGTCTCATCGTGAACTATACCACGTTCTTTCACCCTATTTCCTTCTCCTCAATCGGATCTACCCTCTTATAAAGAGTTTCCAACAGTTCACAGCTTGCATCATCTAACTGGAAGAGTAAAGGCTCCAACTTTTCCATACTCGAGCACTTCGAGCCCTCTAGGGCGCCCATATCTGTGCTGCGATTCACTTGACGTGAAGTTCTGCGAACGTTCTTGACTAGCAATTGCACTGCACGCTCAGCGTCACTTTCCTTCCCCCATGTCGCAGTGTAACTGCCTCAATTCATGATGTGCCGGATGCAACGCTATGACGCTCGTTGCATGCTAGGACAAGTATAGTGTTTTCAAACCGGTAGTCACAAGCCTTATTTGATTCAGTCCGCGGGTCTGGTTTTAAATATAACTGGGTTCATGCTCAGCATCAAAACTCGCAGCCTACCACGAACCTCAACTCACTCCCGTTCCTCCTGATCTTGTCCTCACAGGACGTTCTCGTCGCTCTTTTAGCTTTTGTTTTCCTTAGACACCTTTCCTTCACTTTCTCAAGATGTCGATCGTCGCCGCTCTCCCCACCAAGTTCATCCTCCCTGACCTCGTCTCCCACTGCGATTTCAAGCTACGCATGAACCGCCATCACAAACAGGCTACTGCTGAATCAAAGCGGTGGCTTTTCCGTGGAGACAACCTTAGCCAGAGGTCGCGCAAGGCAATTCACGGGCTCAAGGCTGGTCAGCTCACATCTATGTGCTACCCAGACGCAGGATTCCCTCAGCTTCGTGTCTGCTGCGACTTCATGAACTATCTCTTCCACCTCGACAACCTCTCAGACGACATGGACAAGGCTGGAACCAAAAGCATTGCAAATGTCGTGCTGAACTCGCTTCATCACCCGTACGACTACTACTCGCCCGCCCGATTGAACAGAATGACCAAGGAGTATGAATTCATTTCTTGACTACGACCAGGCTCATTGAGTGTACTACAGCTTCTACAAACGTATGCTTCCTACCGCCTCCCGTGGAGCGAGCAGACGCTTTATAGAGACAATGGACTTCTTCTTCCAAGCTGTGCACGTGCAAGCCATCGACCGGGCTAAGGGCGTTATTCCTGACCTCGAGTCCTATATCTCCCTGCGTCGCGATACCAGCGGATGCAAGCCCTGCTGGGCACTTATCGAGTACGCTAACAATCTCGACATACCCGACGAAGTCATGGAGCACCCGATCATCCAGAGTCTCGGCGAGGCCGCCAACGACCTAGTCACTTGGTCAAATGCGAGTATTTCAATCTATTGCTTTTCTCGTGCTAACTCCTAGTCTAGGATATCTTCTCCTATAACGTGGAACAGTCAAAAGGAGATACTCACAATATGATATCTGTTGTCATGCACCAGGAGTGCCTCGACATCCAGTGTGCCGTCGACTTCGTCGGCGAGCTCTGCAAGCAATCTATCGACCGCTTCAATGAAAATCGCGGGCTTATTCCTTCCTGGGGTCCCAAGATTGACAAGGACGTTGCAATCTACGTCGGCGGTCTTGCAGACTGGATTGTCGGAAGTTTGCATTGGTCATTTGACACTACGCGGTACTTTCAGAACTCTGGTCGTGAAGTTAAACGGACCCGGGTTGTCAGTCTCTTTCCTCGAAGCGAATGATTCTAAAGCAATATTTCAGCGCTGCTGGTGAGCGTCACATACAGTTTATTACTAATTTATCACTGAGCGTCCACTGTTGCAGCCGGTCAGCTCCCCATACTCTCTTGAAGGCGAAAACACTCGTAGATTTGGTACTCGAGACCTGTCTATTCACATTCCTTTAGATTCTTTTCCTGGACATCCATTGCAGCTGGTCAGCTCCCCACACTCTTTTCAGGATGGGAAACACTCATAGTAGTCTGGCACTCGAGTTTCTGGACTCACCTATCGTTTCACATTCCTTTAGATTCTTGGACATTGATGGACTCTTTTCTCAGCTACTACCAACTAGCCACACGCTCATTCCTCTGTCTCCTGATGTCGAACAAAAGTAAGATGGCATATTACCCGTACCCTAAAATTGCATGTTCTACGACGAATATCACCAAATTATATATGTACAGCAAATCAAGATATAATGGTTCTGGTATCATGCCAACGAAAGAAATATGCCAAGCAATACGAGAAAGTAGATTCAAGCACTTCGAGGCTCCAGATTATGATATGCATCATGGTCGACACACGTTATCGAGTATGCTGTGGTTCCCTGTAGGCATTTTGAGTGTAATGCGACGACCGAATATGTGATTTTGTACCTGAAGACACTAGATTGAACGGTCGTCCATCCTTGTCATCGAAACGTACACCCCTTAAATCCCAACGTTTCCACCACCTCTGAAGAAACAAGGGGTGTTCCGTAATATTCGCTAAAGTTCCAACGTTGCGAATCCGGACCTGAGTTAGTTTCGGAAGTTGGGACTCGTCGATCTGACACAAGAGATCTTCGAGCGGCTTCATGATATACGCACTGAATATCGCTTGAGGGACGCCGACAGGATCCTCACTGATGGGGAAAATGCCAATCCGCTTCAGCGAGGATGCGATAGCAGATCCAGAATGTGATGAGGAAAGATAGTGACGAAAGTGTCCAAGTTCGGACAAGTTGCGATGATTTCATGTAGTAATGGCGTGAATGCGACGGTGCGGACAATGCGCACTTTTGATCCGTGGGTCCGCAGGAAGTCTGGACTAAAGGGGGAAAACCCCTCCAGTCTTTGCAAAGATGGAAGTTGCTCTGGAGACTTGGAGAGCATCGTAAGGAAGGCATTCAGGGGAACGTTGCCCAGCGACGCGTGCGAGAACGAAGGACTATCTCCGAGAACAAGCGTTTTTAAGTTGGGTAGAGTAAGGTAACGCGATGGTTTCTCTGTGAGGTTGCCATATATATTCGCGAGCGTCAGGCTTGTTAGGCCAGTAGCCGTTCGAAGCACGCGCATCAGGTCACTCCAAGAGGGATATTCGTTAGACGTCCACTCCATTCGTCGTAGTGACCTTGAGCATGTTTCGATGAGAGCATCTATGATTTCCGTTCGCGTCTGAGCCTGAGGTGGTGTGATATGGAAAGTGAAAGTTGGATTCATCGCCATGTAGTAGTTGCTATTGATTAGAATTTCGATGTTTGGCGTACACCGCAGGATTCGTACAAGTGCATTTAAGCATCGATCGGACGGGTTCGACAGTTGCAAGTCAATCCGTCGAGTGCACGCTCCCAAAGGGTTCTTTATCGAATGCCTGCGGCTTTCTTCAAAGCGGTCGGCGATGACAACCACTTGCTCTGCGGATGTCAAGTGAAGGTGCTCATGGGTAAGCTCTGTGACAACGTTATGCCACACTTTGCAAACCAAGAGGAGTGCTGAGTGAGTCTTCACGTCGCGGTTCAAGAATATGACAATATCCCGAACTTCCGAGAATGGATCTTGTCGGTCGGACGAGAGAACCCCAGGCGATTGGACGAGCGATGCTAGTATCGGACGCCACAATTCTACGGGCAAATCACGCAGCGTACCCATCTCACCAAAGGATGCACTATGTCAAAGGTAAACATTCGGCTTCGGCGGCGAAAACGCGGCATACACACCACACACCCAATACGACGAAGCGAGTAACAATAGTCAACGTCCAACTGGTCACTGTTCTGCCGACTCGTTTGTGGATTACAGACTAGCTGCAGATATTTTTGAGATATGCACGAAACCTAATGACCGTCATACCTACCGTGTAACTCAGAAGTATTTCGAAAGCTTTTGTCAGACTCAAGTTGGTAAAAAGGAAAGGGACCCACAATGATAACTGATTAGGCTAACCGGCTGAAAGCGGTTGTTTGTTTCTAAAGCTTTTGCCAAACAACGTACGTCCTATGATAGTTTGCTAATATCCAATATTTTCAAGCAATTTTCGAGCGGAACATACGCCGCGTACGCGTGATACAGATGTCCGAAGACTCCAAATCAAAACCTGCTTTTGTGAAACGGAAGGCCAAGGCAGGCCCTTCAGCGTCCAGAAAACGACTCAAAATGCAACCCACGTCTTTGGACGGATTACCTTGGAAGGCCGTCCGCCGACCCAGTGAGACGGGCCTTGATGGTGACGATGGAATACTGGAACTAGAAGAAGTGGAGAATGTGGAAGTGGTGTACGAGGATACAGAAGGAGGGAGAGTCACGAAGTTCAATGTGAGCGGCAGGATGCAGAACATCAGATGGACGTTAATCCGCGCTACTCTAGGTCCTTGAACCATCGAACAAGAAAACAAAAGCCACTAAAGCCTCTGGGCCTGAGGTAGACGTGCCATCTTCCGCTAGCTCGGAACTACTAAATCCTTCAGTGTCGTTTGACTGTGCGTTATCTATTATGCAAGTGACCTTCCTGATTTCTGACCTTTCGATCCCCTTCAGCCAAATCTTTGCTGCCAAATTGGCATGCTTTTTGCATACATTCTCATCTTTTACAAGTTCTTAATTCGCGAGGGTTTGTTACACCCACCCCAATACAAGCGAAGTCACTGCCAATAGCCTTGAATGGGCGGGACATCGTTGGAATAGCAGAAACTGTTCGTTTAATTTTCATTACTGTCTTCACTACTCTTACGGTATGCTTTCCAGGGATCCGGAAAGACGCTTGCATATGGGCTTCCTATTCTCCACCATATCTTATCACATCCCCGCCTGCCAAGGACTAAGCGGAAACTCCAGGCGCTTATCTTAGCTCCTACCCGTGAACTCGCCCTACAGGTCTCTGATCACCTCAATGTGTTCGCACGAGTTATTGATACAAAGGCCGAACAAGATGTCGATCTCATAAACACCGAGGTCAAGGAAAAGCAGCACAAAAATATCACTCCGCCTCTCGTCAGCATTGCTGCCATAGTTGGCGGAATGTCGACGCAAAAACAGCGACGTATACTCGACAGGGGTGTTGACGTGTTAGTAGCGACGCCAGGTCGGCTGTGGGATATTCTAGAGGAGGTTTGTGACCTCCGTTCCAACTTACCTTGTCAGATTAAACATGTTTTCGTCCAGGATGAGGGACTAGCAAGACAAATCAGCCAGGTAAAGTTCTTAGTGCTGGATGAAGCCGATCGCATGGTCGAAGCGGGACATTTTGCTGAAATGGACAACATTCTGCGGCTCACGATTCGAAAATCCCAGTATGCGTTGTGATATTCTTGCAGTTATTGAGATGTTGACGCGTTCCACCCCAGAGAAGATGAAATTGAACCCCCTGAAGCCCCGGGGGATTCTTTCGATGCTCATAAAGGTGCAGAGAACACTGAGGCTACCCCTGTGGATGCACTGCAGACCTTCGTCTTCTCCGCTACTCTCAGCAAGGATCTCCAGAAGAACCTGAAACGAAGTTATCGTCAGAAGGGCTATAAAAAATTGTCCAAACCGGCTAGCACACTCGGTATGTTTGGTTCCGAACGCTATCAAATGCTGCTAAACAAAGCGACCAACAGACGACCTTCTTCTGCGCCTTGATTTTCGCGACCCGGATCCCGCTGTAATTGACATCAGCCCCGAGGGAGGCATTGTCTCTACACTCAAAGAGAGTAAAATCGAGTGTCTTTCCAGAGATAAGGTGCGTACGCAGCCATATGTGCGCGGATGGCGTTTCATACCCCACAGGATGCATACCTGTACTATTTCCTGTTGCGGTACCCTGGCCGTTCCCTCGTGTTCTTATCATCTATTGATGGCATCAGGCGTCTCAGCCCGCTGATGGAACTCCTGAACCTCAAGGCCTTTCCTCTCCACTCTCAAATGGAACAACGCCAGCGCCTCAAAAACCTTGATCGGTAGTTTTCATGTCCACCGTAGACATCGAGTACACGCGTGCTAACAAATGCCGCAGGTTCAAGGCAGCCACAAATGCTGTTCTTCTGGCTACGGACATTGCTGCCAGGGGTCTCGACATACCTGCCGTTGACCATGTCATTCACTATCAGATACCACGTTCTGCTGATGTGTTCGTTCACCGCAACGGGCGGACTGCTCGTGCGATGCAAAAAGGTTTTAGCTTGTTGATGTGTGCCCCCGACGAGCGTCGAGTGGTAAGGGCACTGTTAGCAAGTCTGGGTCGTAGTAAGTAACGACAATTTTTGCTCACCCGTTGTACATTCAACGCACGCGCTATTAGAAGACACAGATATCCCTGAGATATCAGTAGAGCTTACTCTTCTTGATAAGCTCAAGAACCGTATCTTGCTTGCTCGACAAATCGATTCTCAGCAACACAAAATAAAGAAACAGCATCATGAACGGAACTGGCTGAAGGAAACGGCGGAAGCGATGGAGATAGAGCTTGATTCTGATGTTTTGAGGTGAGCGATCATTTCGCCGTAACAAAAATGATGATGCTGACAAGTCGGTCAGCGAATCTGGCGATGAAAGTAACCTATCAAAACACCGGAAAAAGAATAATGATGCAAAGATGGTGGCTTTAAAAGCCAAATTAAGAGAACTCATGTCCCAGCCGCTCCTTAGCCGAGGAGTGTCGACGAGGTACATCACCTCTGGAAGCCGACCGATCGCTGACGACATTATATCGGGAGATGGTAAGTCTTTGGGATGGAAGTCTTTCCCCTTGTTCTTACTGCGCTGTATAGTTCATGAAACCATGTTGGGCCTCAAGAAATCGGAAGCCGGAGACGACTTAGTTGCCGCCGCCAAGCAAAAGCCAGTACACAAAAAAGTACACGAAGAACCAGAGGAATGGAACGGCTTCGGTTCATGATACATGCTTTGATGCACGAGGATTTACTACGCACAGTACGTATTTTCCTTATCATGGGCGGTACTTGTTAGTTTTCCAGCGCTCGCTGGCAGTGCGTGAGCAGCCACGACATCGCTTATCCATGAGAAGCTACGTCTTCTCATTTCCATGCATCGAGTGTCGAAGGACGTGTTGAATTTCATTTTGGCCTAAGCTCGATCACGGTAACTGTTCAGGAGAGATGCATCGGTGAACCATCAACCTACAAGGTTTAAATGATGATGGCACGACGCGTTCATTAGTTTTGAGACTGCTGGCCATGCGATTATGGGTCTCGGCCTGACATATTTTTGCCATGACACAAATGCCACGCTTGTCAGTCCCGAACACGAGGGATGATTGCCGCCCAAGCAAGATACCTGATTGAAATAAACTCCCCAATCATGAACTATTCTTTGATATACCGTAGTTGTTGTAAGGGCCTCGTAGCACTGGACGGCTGTGACTAGAATGACAGTTTCACATCTTTGTTCGGTTCAGGTGAAACACGATCTGCACTGCAGGGCTATCTGAAGTGTGAAAGAGCAAGGCACTTGCCTGAGGTTGCCTTGGAGTTACATATAAACTCCGACGCTAGCCGTATATACTTATAGCACACCTAAAACTTTGTGCGATATATATCGACTTGTTGATAATACCATTATACCCGACATGCTATCGTCTTCGCCATCCTCCATCAGAATCACAATGACTGTCACCAATGCGTTCGTAAAACTACGACGGAGCACATCAAAGGCTGAATCCATCGACTCTACTTCGGGTCAGCCACAGACTCACCCCTTACTGCGAGGAGAGGGTGCTACGTCAAAACGCAAAATACCGCTGGTGCAGAACGACCTCTTCTGTTGTAGGGATGCAGTGGATGTTCCAAAGCTGTTGAGGGGGTCGAGAGCAAGCTTGTTGGAGAGAGCAGAGAATATAGGTGCAAATGTATTAGTAGACGAAAGGTATGTGGAGCTTGTGGAGCTCTGCTGGGTTTCTGTTGCTCATGCTTTGAATCAGCTGGGAGTGCTCGATACGTGTCCCCAGGGACAGACGACATGGATCTTTTAAAGTTCAGGTTCGTCATGGGTTCTTTATCTGCTTCGAGTCTTGGATCCTAAATCCCATTTGTCTAGGTCCGCTATCACGCCTCGGCTTCGCGATCGTCCCTTCCAGATCCTCAAAAACCAGTGGCCTTGGACCGAGTTCAGAATGTGTCAGGACTCATGACAATCGTGGACCGCGAAGAATTGTCACTGTAAAAGCGCAACATCTGAATTCCTATGATAATCTCCGCACTCCTTTCTCCTGCAGGCATTTTTCGTTACTATAGCTGCATCACCATAATCACATACATTGTACTCTAGCAATCACAGTCTGGTATTGTATTCATCTCATTTATCTCTATTCCACGCTCTTTCATCATGTTTTCTCAAATGACACTGCGACTTTCACATACCCTTAACTTATCTCGAGAAATTTGCGGTGGCACATTCAATTGACTTATCTACAATATACAGTGATACAATGATTTGGCATGTTCGACGTTTCAGAGATGACACCAAATCCGTGTTACACGACACAAGAAATATACATCATTCAACATACATTCATTTGCTCGCCCCTTCGAGTGTTTCACCACCTATTATCCGAGTCATACGGATCATTTCGTGGGGGGTAGCCTGCAGGTGACGGGAAGGAAGCCTGTTGTTGGTCCCCACGCCGATCATCGTTATCGAACGCATGTTGTCCATAACGGCCACCATACACCGGCGCTTCGGGGAACTCGTGACCGTGGATGCCACGATGTTCGTCAGGGAATCCACTCGGGCCGAACCCACCTGGAGGTGGGCCGCTTGGTTGCGAGAAATCGCCTACGCGCGGATGGTGTGATATAGAGTAATCACCTGCAGGTGGAAAAGTGCTTGGCGGCGGATAGCCGCTTGTAGGTCTAGCGCTCGGATATCCGCCTGCAAATGGAACATTTGGTGACAGGGGTGGATATCCGCCGGAAGGTCTAGCGCTCGGGTACCCACCAGGAGCACCTTGCACGTTCTGCATGTATGCGCTGTTCGCACTGACAAACGACGACGTGGGAGGGGACGGCTGCACGTAGGATGGTGCGTACTGGCTCTGGGCAGGAGGCGGATGAAACGATGACCCGCTCTGTGAATGCTGCGCATGCGAACTAGGGGCATACGCCACTGACGGTGGCAGCGGGACCGAAGGAGGCGCGTAGCTCGTGCTGGTGGTTTGCACAGTCTCATACGAGGCGGTTGTCTCTGGCCTCGAGTAGTAGGAACCAGGCTGCCCGCTGGATTGGCCGCCCTCTCGTCTCGTCCCCGCAGATCCACCCACCATGTTCATCAGACCTTGCATCTGCGTAGCACCGGGAATTCCTTGCACGAGACCCTGCATGCCCTGCTGTGCCTGCACATGAGAAGCGGGAGCACTCCCATCGGCGGCTAGCCGAGTGTTATCCTGCGCTCGCACTGATTCCTTTGTAAGACGTGCAAGTATGGCATGCTGGTTACGCCCGAGACTCTGCGCCCACGATCTCATGTATTCCAACATATCACGCTGGATTACAGAAGAAGACTGGTGGAAGTCGGGATGGAAGCTGCGGATATGATCGGTCTATGCCAAGAATATGAAAGGAAAGTGACATACAGGCACTGCAAAGCCTCATCCGTGACCTGATTCACGTTCAGTGAACTGTCATCCCAGGCCTTCGTGACCAAATTGACGGTATGTTTCTATCCGCAGACAATACTGAATACGGCTGTTTCATGTTGGGAGAGTAACTCACAAGAATGATTTTTGCGAGATTACCGGCAGGTTCATTTAGGATCAAATTCTGGAAGCATTACATTTAGTGAATAAAGTAATATTGCGCAGCTCCTCGAGATGCGGAGGAACGGGGTTTACGTACGAAGTGATCTTTGCTAAGGAAAGAATGTGTGGGGTCGCTCTGTGGGGTAAAGGGGTCATAAGAGATTATTGTAGCATGTGTCAAGGTTGTTCGAGCTCACAGCGTATGGATCGTTAAATACCTGTCGGAGGAAGAGACGTCAGTTGATGTTGACATCAAAATCAAGAAGAAGGGAGAGATCGATAAGCGATATACAGAATGATGGTTAAGAGTAATGCGAGCATCGAGGCCAAAAACGAGGCCACTCAAGATCGAAACACGGAAGGACACGGAAGTATTCGCGAACCAAACACTCCAACTGTCTCCTTGGTGGGAAGTACTCACCTCATATTGATCATGCTTATCGATTACCTCTGATGAGGCCGATGATAGTCCGGCTGTCGCGGTTTCCATGATTGGTTTCAAAAAGGGCTACATTCCGAGTAATCAGCGACTGCAGCGGGGAGGACACATTTTCGGTAAATTCCTTACCTCCAAAGTAGTGAAAACGAACACTGTTGAGAGGCCATCAGTACAACTCAGCCATCAAGGAGTCGATGATGAACCGACCAGAAATTGAATCCTGAATTTTTTCGATAACCGAGTTGAGCCCAGGGATCTTCTCTGTAGCATCCATCAGTACCAGGGGTGATTATCATAAAAAACGAAATTCACCTAATGTCCCCGATATACTTTTCATAACTTTGAAAGAGTGAGACACCGCGTGAGGAGCGTCAAATCAAGGGCGCACCGGAATCTCTGAAGCTCAAGACTTGCCATAACACGCTATGCAGCTCTTGTGGGCTCATGTCCCCGGGGCGCCTATTACCACGTTCTATCCCAGCGCGCATCCGCTCGATGCCTTCCATGTCGCGACCCATCTTATCGCCGCTTCCACCAGGGAGTTTGAGGAAAGCATCGCGGAGCATGTCATTCGATGAATTAGACTTGGAGCGTGCACGATCAAACTCTTTATTAAGCTCCGTGACGGAAGCTTCACTCTAGAGAATGAAAGTGAGAAGTTTTGATGTGTTAATATACCAAAGTGACGGATCTTACAATGTGATCAGTAGCCTCTGCACGAACGTGAGTTCAATAATCGCTATTGCGACGAAAGAACATCTGTGCTTACCTCCCAGCAAGCTGTAAATAAAATCACTCGATCCGAAGGTCCCTAGATAGAAAGCACAGTGAGCGTGATTATTTCTCTACGATACGATAGACTCACCTGTAACGATTGGCGCGACCATTTTTCCATTGTGTGCACGCACTCGTACAGCATCACCAACATGCACGAATACATTGGTATGTCCCATGGAAACAAGAGCAAGCTCGCAGAAATTGGAGTGTGCAGAGAAGTCTTCAAGGGTATGAAGCTATTCGATGAGGTCAATCAGTGTTGCAATAAGACCAATGTGAATTGTTCATAGCAAAACCGTAGACACCAATGATGATGAATGACGGGCAGGACTATATGCCACAATATATATCGCACAGCCATCGCACATATCCAGTGCATGTATGCGTCACAAGTAGAGATTTTTAGATAGATGTTCAACTTACAGCTTGTCCAAGGAGCCTAAACGCCTCATACTGATCCGCGTTATCTCCAGAACTCTTGAATTTTCTGCCGAGGTAAATGCACTGCTGGAGTACTCTGCGCACGAGGGCCTTGGATGTATCCCAATGACCATTTTCTGTCACATATGTGAGTACTCGAAGTCAAAAGGAAATTGAGGTGAAGAGATGAACCATTTGCGATATAGTTTTTCATTCCTGTCTGCGGATCGATGGCGAGTTCATCAGGCTGGCAAGAATGATACAGGTGAGTAGGGCAAGTGATAGGTAAGAGATAATATGTACGTGGACAGGGCCGCGTAGTCTGGGGTCGTACTGCCGTGCGTCTTCTCCCTCTCCATAACCTTTCGGGTTATCAATATGTTCTGTCTGTGTGTAGTGCGCATTAATACGTCGTGTGGTAGATATGCCAGGGGGCACTTACTGGCAAATAGGCACCGAGTCTCTCTGGCGTGACTTCAAATTCGCCAGTAGCATATCCATTGGCCTGAAATAGAGTGAGAGCAAGTTTAGGGGCGACGATCGCACATACCATAAACCCGAGCACCATAACTAAATTGAGGATTGTCTGGAAAATCGCACAATGATGTGATAAAAATCGGGGGGCAATTGTCACGACATACTTGCAAGTTCACTTTCTTCAGTGTACTGATGTCAACAGCCTATCAAATGTCATGAACTTGCCGCGCTTTCGAACATTACAAGAGTTGAATCACCTGACTGTAATCTCTCAACCAATTGCTATATGCTGATGTGTTAGATCACGAAGAAGTACAAGTTGGCATCTGAAAATATGTACCCAAAGTATACGCGCTTGATGTCGAGGCCGCCAAACTTTGGACCTTTTCCGAGGAGACTGGAGAGCGCGAATCCACCGACCCCCTTCTTTACGAGGTCTGCAAGTGCATCCTCCTGAACAGTGCGGTAATCAGTACGCCAGAACTCGATCAGCTTAGAGATCACCTACAATATCTCCATGCCTAAATGCTTTGCCTTCGACAAATGCAAATCTGCCAAACCGTCAATGAAAGAAGAAAGAGAATGAACTTTGTTGCTTTACGAAGGAATGTTGCCTGCCCCGAAGGCGTGCACGCCATTATTTGACAAACAGAATGCGAATATAAAGAACAGCAGAAGAGGAAGCTTTGGAGAGATACTGGCTGGCATCGTTGCTGTGCTGAGTAGTTACCAACGCCAACTACTTATATATCGAAAAGAAGAAGACCCCTGGAGCGGTTGCTCCATGGGCCAAGTGAAACTCTGTCAGTCTAAGCTCTGCTTTATTTGTAACTTGTCGACATCGCAAGGTTCGACCCTCGTTCTTATCGCGTCCAATTCCAGTTTTACCGTTGATTAAGCTGGTGTATTGCTCGATCAACGCTAAATCTCGAGCCGTTGATGAGAAATGGAAGAATATCTAGAGCGTGGCGAGCTTGCCTGAGCTACTCTGAAACTGACAATGCGCGGGAACGGAACGCCACGTGATTTGTCAGCAATCGGCAAATACCGGTGTAAAATTGAACCTGTGGTTTTTCTGTCTACGCTGTCTCTCGCATCTTCCGCCAGTGATTTAACGTGGCTTGCGTCTGTTCGTTGTAATCTTTAGACTCCTCACCATCACGCACTTTTGATTCCCTTCAGGTCAGTATCAAAATAATTGATTTTCAGTCCTTTGATTTTTAAAAAAAAGTTTTAGCATCATTCCCTCATAATGACCAGCTCATCCGCTACTTCATCTCCTTCTCAGATTCATCAGAACGTCGTTCCTTCTGAAGTCGGATGGCAATTTGTTCCTCAGTATTACACTTTTGTTAACAAGCAGCCCAATCGTTTGCATTGCTTCTATACAAAAACCTCCACCTTCATTCATGGTACAGAGGGCGAGGATGTCAAGGCATGTTTTGGTCAGCAGGTATGCAGTAGTGTCTCTATTCATCCTTTATAAAATCTTACAAGTCCCGTAGGAAATCCACAACAAGATTACCTCTCTTGGCTTCGACGATTGCAAAGTCTACATCCACTCAGTCGACGCCCAGTCTAGTGCCAATGGTGGTATCATCATTCAGGTCATCGGTGAAATGTCAAATCATGGCGACCCTTGGCGCAAGTTTGTGCAGACCTTCTTCCTTGCAGAGCAGCCAAACGGTTATTTCGTCCTCAATGACATCTTCCGCTTCCTGAAGGAGGAGACTGTGGAAGATGATGCCAGCGAACCTGAGGCTTCCTCTACTACACCTTCTGAACCTGCACCTGAATCAGTTCGCGAGCCGACTCCCCCGCCCCCCGCTCCTGTTTCTGAACCCGAGGTCGAAGAGCCAACCACTATGGTCTCTGAGCCCATTTCCCCACCCCCTGAACCCGAACGTGCTCCAGTTGAGGTCAACGGTATCCATCACGAGCCTGAGATCAAACGGGAACCCACTCCTGAGCCATCCATTCCTGAAGCTGAGCCAGAGCCTGAACCTCCCGCTCTGATTGCGCCGCCACAAGCGCCTGCTCCTCCACCGCTTGTTGCGCCGCCACCAGCGCCTGCACCTCCCGCTCTGGTTACTCCACCACCAGCTCCTGAACAGGTACCCGCTCCTCAGCCCCCAGCTCCTGCACCAAAACCTGCAGCACCAAAAACGTGGGCCAGCCTCGCTGCCGCTGACTCTAAGCGCTGGGGCGCACAGGTAGCTACTGAATCAAAAGGGATGTCCGAGGTTCCTGCTTCTGCAGCAACTCCAGCACCTCCGGCTGGTAATACCCCTTCTCCTGCTCCACGGAGAGAGCACTCGCACTCACTTATCGCTTCTGCCAATGCACTTACAACCTCCCAGTGCTTCGTCAAGGTATGCCTCTCTCCTCTAACCATTCATGCATACCACTCATCAAGATATTTTGCCATTAGGGTGTCACTGAGGTCGTGTCGCAACAGCAACTGATAACTCTTTTGGCCCGCTTTGGTACTGTCAAGGATGTCGAGATCGTGCGCAGCAAAGCTTGTGCCTTCCTCGAGTTCAACAGCCTTGATGCTGCTAAGAAAGCAATCATCGCTTCGCTTCCTAACAACTCTGGTGGCGAGGGTGGGCTGCGCTTCGATAGTCCCGAGGGCAGCGTCCGGATTATCGTCGAGACCAGGAAAGAGCGTGGCGACCGGCCTATCAGTCGGCCACGGGGTGGCGCGCCTAACGGCGAGTCTAGGGGTTCGTTCCGGGGCCGTGGCGGACCTCGGGGTCGTGGCGGCCCTCCGCCCCCCAAACAGTAAGAACACATGTGCATGGTGGTTCGGAGGGGTGAGGGGTGCTCATCTGCGTGGTATACTTGTTGTCCTAAGCTTATTTCATTTGCTTTTGTCCATGTAGACGTGCGTGGTGGACGTAATATAATGCGAAAACCACCCTCGTACTCGTTTATTTTACTTGCTGTCGTGTTTTGGTAGTGATTTAGTTAATGAATTCAGAGGTTTTCATTGTGTTGATTGCTAATGTGAAGTCTTAGCCAGTGGGTCCTACATGCTGTGAAAGCAGTTTAACTGTATAGTACTTGATCGTGCCATGCACCTGTTCCTAGGCGACAGTCTAGTGATCATTTCAAAATTCTTGTTTGGTCAAGTTTGACGATCTCCGCCACGTCTTGAGCAAATCGTCAATGGCATCGACAGAGCCAACGCACGAAACAGTCATCAACGCCGAGCCCATCGACCAAGAACACCAAAAAGACCAAGATGCCTCAGATGCCCAAGCTCAAATAATCGCATCCCTCCGTTCCCAAGTCACCGATCTCTTCTCGCAAGTCACTCAGCTCAACAGCAAGCTCGTCAAGTCTTACGACCGCGTCTCTGACCTCGAAGATCAGCTACATGATTCCGAGAGCTCTCTGCGAAATGCGGCTGTCGCAGTCTCATCGCTCGAGCTCGAGCGCACCCACCATCTCGCTGCGCTCGATACAGGGCTGCTCGTCGAGAAAGAGCATGTCACTGCTGAGCTGAACAGACTTATGGAACGTGCGACGGAAGAAGCTGCGCAGCGTGGGCAGGCAGAGACAGCTAGGAGTGATATTGAGAAGGAACTCGATGATCTTAGTGCATCGCTGTTTCACCAGGCGAACACGATGGTCGCAGAAGCACGATTTGCGCGGGCCAACAGCGAGCGCAAGGTGCGCGAGGCGGAGGAGGCGCTAAAGGGAGCCGAGGAAGCTGTCAAAGTGATGCAGACCCAGATGCAGACTCTGCAGGCTGATAAAGAGGATGCTGAGCACCAGGCGGAGGAGGCGCGACTCAGTATGGGCAAGGGCAAGTGGGTCGAGCGGGATGCGGTTCATCAGTATCCGGGAGATGTACGGAAAATGCGTTTGGTGACCGTGCATGTCCCTTACGCAGAGTTCATTGCGTTTGTAACGCACCTTCGGGGACTAAGGGTCTCACAGGCTACTTCGCCTGTTATCTCCACACTTCTCGGTCTACCCTTCCTCGCACGGTTGCTTACGGAGGATTCGTAAGTGACTCACGTGTCTTGTTCCTTGATGCATCTGTTTATCATGGTTTAGAGAACCGACTGTCCGGCTAGATCTGGCCCCCTCATTAAACTGGCTCTCCCGGCGATCCGTTCTAGCAGCGATCCATGCAGGGATGCTCATTGTTGAGCCGGTGCCATTCTCATCGCTTGTACAGGAGCTGTATCCCCATTCCCCAACGAACACACCCGTTTCCATTTCATGTGCCCTTTGCGGGGCTGCAATCGTGCGTGCCCAATCGCACGAAATACCCCAAATCTACCCTCTCGCGTCCTTCACGCGCAGCCGCAACAATAGCCGCCTCACGAATGGCAACCTTTGGTTCAAGAATCCACTTTCCAACTCCTCGTCAGGTCATGCGGGACATGATGCAGATATCGAGCAGCCTGAACAAGTATACGTATTCCGTCTGGCACCCGCCACCCCTGCCCTAGTTATTGCGCCTGTTCCTTCACCACTGCACATTTCTTCGCCTTCCACCTCGACGCTTCCTGTATCCAGGCCACCAGCGAACCCCACGGGGGCAACCCGTACAAATTCTACTCAAACACAACAGCCCTATCCGTTATGCACATCCAATTACTGTCTCCTGCGCCTCCGAAGTACGTGTTCCCTGTGGGCTTTCGTCCGCACATGCGTCATCGAGCGTATATGGGAGGAGGAACCTGTTATACCCGATAAGAAGCCCGTGATTTCGGTTGCGAATGGGACAGAAAATACCCAAGAGTCTAGTAAAAAGAACTCTTCTCCGGCTGCGAGTGGATCTGCGATCCCTGCAGGTGAGAAGCCGCCTGTGCCTCCCCGGCGTAGGCGGCTTTGGGAGATGGCGAGTGCGTTGGGGGAGAGGGCTGTTAGCTGGACTGAAAATTCCAAGGACAAGGATAAAGAGAAAGAAAAAGATAAGGAAAAGGAAAAGGAAAAAGACAAGGAGAAGGAGAAGGACGAGGAAAGGGATAGGAAACCTGCGAGGAAACCTCCGCCACCACCACCGCCACCTGCCCAAGCACCCCCTCCCCTGCCCAGAAGGAGCGAAGGGCGTGGCCATTCAATCGACACTCCCGCTGCCTTTTCAAATGATACTGACAAAAAAGCCGGTTCTGAAGCTGGGACGTCCGGTTCTCAGGAATCATTCACCACTCCCGTTGACGAAATGTCCTTTACTCGCCCGTTTTCCTCAGATCTGTCTTCTCCACAAACAATAATACAGCCGCAGGTCCCGGTTTTACAACCAGAACGCCCTCCCTCCCCACACACCATCCCCCTGCCAGATACACCTACGTCACCTGCATTCCGTGCCGCATCGCCACCTTCGCGGCCACGTTCTCGTGTGGCCTCTCCAGCGCCCTTGCCTTCACGTGTCTCTTCGCCGATACCTCATCGCGCCAGTACACCTATTGCTCTGAGTCGATCGAGAGCCGGCTCACCAGCTCCCCCACGCACGGGCTCTCCGTTCTCGTCCTCTAGGGCCGCTTCACCTGTACCGAATAGTGCTCCACCCGTCCCCAGGCGAGCTCCCGCACGAAGGGCAGTTCCTGTACCGCCCGCTGCTTCACAGACCGAAACAAAGGAAGGAATTCCGATGCCTTCGGCTGAAGTCAGCAAAGATGAGGTCCCATCGAAAGTCGATGTGTCTGTTTCTGAGAAGGAAGAACACAAACCGTCTTCTCCCCGTGAACAGAAAGCCGTGGCTGGCGAGGACGCTGTAGAACTCTCCACGACCAAGCATGACATCACGGAAACCCCCAACCCCTTAAATGATGCAAATACGAACGGATATCCGTATCCTGAAAAGCGAGCGTCCGTGGATGTTTCTCCCCCCACCACGCAAGCCACTATTGTCAACCCATCCTCTGAAGCTAGCCAAACCAGACGTGCGTCTGAGGATTCCAGCACACACGGGAAATCTATCGACACAAGTAGTACGAAGCGTTCTTCTACTACCGACGAGGAAGGTTACGCTGGTGACGCGACATGGGAGGATCGTACGTGGAAAGAAATCGTACGTTTGAAGGAAGACATGTTCTGGGCGCGCGTTGGGGGCGTGCGGTAGAGCTCAAATCATTTATAAGTAGGATAGTGTACCCGCTCCCACTACTCATCTATTTTATGGTGGAATAGATTTTGTATATCCACATGTGCAACTATCTGGACTTGTTGTCGAATTTAGGATGGACTAGCTTGGACTACATCTCTCTACAGTTCTCACGGCTACAAATATCAAGGACTCCTCAATAATTTTACTGATGATAGACTGATTTGTACATGCACTTACATGCAACGGTGTTGGACTTCAAGCTTCAAGAGGGAAGGTAGCATGACCTGAGTCTCCTCCCGCCGGCACGCAGACAAACAGATAAACCACGATTCGCTCGTACAGAAGTTGCATTCCACAGGCTAATGCTTATACTCGATAGCACAGCTAAGCAAAGTTACCGGGCCCAACATTCATTCGTCTAAAACCGTCCACAGCTGCGCATCAGTGGGGTCCCCCACCTGGTACTTGAGGATGATCTGCAAATGCATAGTGTCAGAACAGTATGGTACGACAATCAATGAACTTTATCACCGAAAGATCAGCTTCCATGTGCAGGGTATAGAAACCCTCAGTGGACCCGGGCTTGTTGGGGACCCGGAATCTACATCACTCATCTACATCAGTAGATAGGTTTGATCAACGCTCTGATACCCACGCCATTTTGCCTTGTGTGGTGAACAGGTTCCACCAGTACTCCCTGTCGGACGTGCCGGCCATCATGTCATCCTGCAAATTTGTGAGATTCGCATCAGAACCGCTTCTCGCAAAGACTTACGTCCCATGCCAGGTAAGTGTCCGCAGCGGCATTGTTCTTGACCGCCATCAGATGCGTTTGTGTCGGTTCGTCCCATCTATATATCCCGGTCCACTGATGATATCACTCGTCAGAGCCAAGGCCGGAACTTCATCCCTAGTTACCTACTGACCTCATCACCGCCGTCGTCGACCGTCAAAGGCACGTCATAGTACTTCACGTTTGTCACACGACCACAGAACCCCGACATGGTCGGATTCGTTGTTGATAAGGAGTAGGAAAAGGCGAGAGTGAGTTGGGCTTCAGTCCTGACGTCGTAACATCATTTATGTATTCTCAGGCAGGCTTAGCATTATGCTGTCCCGAGCATCACACATGCCCCTGAATGGTGTTAAGTAATTCAATGCTGGCACTTCCATTGCGAAAGGAGCCGTTACTCGCGTTCGCTTGCAAGAAACGTTTGTCTTTGTCTATAGGACGAGATCGTTAGCAGTGACTATGCCTAAACGAGTTCGTGCATTGATCAAAGCTTTCTGACATGTGATGTGACTCCTTTTGCCATGGGTGTACTAGATCGATATGATAATAACCCAACTGCCGATCCGAGTCTCGAAAGGTCCTATTACGCCATTGTACGACTCTTTGTAGGCCAAGTCCCAGCTGGGGTCAGGGCGTAGTAGTCGGCCAAAAAAACAGACGAGGAATGATTGATAACTTCGTTTGTAACACTAGAGTAAATCAGTGACCAACTTACTTTCATTGCGCTAATCACAATGCACTTCAGCCCACAGTATTCATGAAATATGTTTCTACTGTCAATGGCAACCGAGCATGGATATGGTATGTAGCCACTGCCAAAAATTCAATAGAAACACGCTCTTAACCGAGGAATAGTACCTAACTGCTTTGGTAATGATAATGAAAGTGCCAGGATCAGGTAGATTCACTGACAAACATTCTTCAGGTTGGCAGGCGGAAACGAACATCAATGATCGACAGCTCCTTTTGCGATGAACGTTAGAGTGGTGATCACGAGGCAACGAGTTGCAATTACAGGGTTGCATAATTCAGGAGCGTATGTGGTGCCCGGGACAACAGAATGCCGAGCCCGTGACCACGAAGAATCCGCATATATATAGATGTTACGATCAGGTTAGACCAACTCACTTCTCGTGTTCCCCTCCTTGCCTGCCCAATAACGAATCTCAATTATCATTTCCATCAACGGTGTTCTTTGTTGACTCAAGGTGGCGCAAAGGTCGAAGGCGCATGCTTCAGCCAGACCGACAATCAGAGGGTCGGTAGGTAACTACTAGAGATGAGGTTCCAACCCTGGCGCTGACGAACGTAATCAATAGTGGATTGGATGAACTAGATGGAACAACGAGATCAATGCATGGCATCAGGAAAAGCCTCCTCTGGCCAGGCTAATTAGAGATAAGCCCGGACACCCCAATGCTCGAATCTGACTCGAAGGCTGATGGCAAAGTTGTTCAGAGACGAGAATCAATTGGTATGGCCAAGATGAGCACCACTGCATCTCGATAGAGCTCGATGGCCTCATTGATTCCAGGTCAGCTAGGACGCCACGCTGCTCGAATCTGACCTGAAGAGTGATGGCAAGGTTGTTCAGAGACGAGAATTCACCAAAACGGCCTGGGGACAGAGTACCGATGCAGCTCGATGGAACCGAATGGCCTCATCCGGGTCAGCTAAAAGACCCAGCTACTTGGCTCGAAGGTTAATGCCAAGGTCATTCAGGGACGAGGATCAATCAGGATGGTCAGGAGATAGAGCGCAAGGGCACCCTGATGGTGTTCGATGACCTCGTTCACATTAAATCCGATCGGATACTTCGCAAACGACTATGTGCCTTTGTTCCTGAGCAATTCGATGAGCTTTTGTCTACGCCGGAGCATCGGTGAACCAACCAACCTTTCAGCACGTCCCTTACGCGTCCACACGTGTTCAATCAAGAATCTAGCCTCTTCAGACGCTTGTTCGGAACTAGGAATGAATGGAGGCTACAGATTCTCATCATGAATGTTGGCTCAAAGGGGAGCGATAGAGCAGACATACCGAAGTATTGACAAATTCTCAACAGTGTAGAAATCTTGACAGTATCTAGATAAGCCGTGTTATTCAGTCCAAACCAACCAGTATTATTTTTGAATTAGGACACCAACCCGCTGGAGATCGTCGCGTTAACTTGCTGTATCAAATTAAGCTGGGGGTCGGGGTGCTTCATATCATGCAAGATTATACAGAAGAGGATTTGGCGAGTTGTTTCTCAACAATGAGATTTGCCAACAACATCTTCCCTACGCCCATAGCACCGGAGACAATGAAGTTCAGTGATAGTGGACAAGTGGACCTTGCGGAAGCCGGAGGGGATCTGTCGACACCAGTCAGACCACTGGATGCGCATGCCATGACGTATCCTTTTGAGAAAATTGTGCTGAAGGGATGAGAATCATCTGAAGAGAGATGGGAGTAAAACTGAAGCATGAATGAAGAGCCTAAGGAGTGGGCTTAATGGCTAAGTTCGAGTACGGAGGACCCTTCTACTACCGGCGAAGAAGGTTACGCTGATGATGTGACTTGTGAGGATAGTACGTGGAGTATACGTTTGAAGGAAGATATATTCTGGGCACGCATTGGGGGCGTGTGGTCACTACTAGAACTTAGATGGTTTGTAAGCAGGTGAGCTCCGGATGGCCAGCCCGCTGCCGCAGTGCTGCTGCTCAAGCGTTCACGGTAGGTTAGTACACTCATATGTCCACTGTGCAGATGCGCCGCCGGTGGTATGGCCATGGTTGGACATCGACTTCAAGTTGTCGGATTTAGGGTGGTCTAGCTTGGACTACATTTCATCATGAGCTGTCGACATGTCATATGCATGACGCTTGAATACATATTTATGCTATAATCGCACATCGCCGCCCCATGGGATCTTGTCCTTCAGAGATCTACCAGTTAATTAAAAGGATAATCTCGGCAGGGAACACATATAAGGACGGAGAACTAGACAGATTGGCAATATCCAAGCCTCGATCCTGTTAACACGTTATGTAAATGCTGCATACACTGGACAGCGAGTACTTACTGTCGATACTCTTAGGCTTGAGATCAATTAGCCCACGAGTGGCAGCCTCAATAGCTTAAACAACGCACTTGGGAAGATGTAGGACCTTAGAATAGTCACGAGCTTAGTCTATCTGCCTCGAAACCTAGGTGACCTTGAAACCGCATCAAGAGATATGGCGTGTCACCGTGTCCGCAGCGGCATCCATGGCATTGCGTGTCCTCGCACCCGCAGCACGCATCATAAACAATTGAACGTTAGGAGGTCGGAGAAGTCCTGATTCGTTTTGGCGAAAAGGGGCGTCGTAGCCTGTTTGAAGGAACAGACCCTGTTATCAGACTGAGGTTGTTGAGCACGAGGTTGCTGCTATCGCTATAGCGAATGTCGTAAGTAGTTGACAACAAACTTGGTTGTCTTGGTGGCAATCGGAACCCAGGAACTTATTGTATTCATTTTGCACGAATCATTGTTATTTCCTATTATTCATCGCTAAACTTGGACACACCTTCTACACACGCAAGATTATACTTTGTGCCTCGCTTATAGTACTTTCTCTTGTTCCCCACTCCTCTACATTCCCTCCTTCTCCCATTTACCTCTCTAGATGCCTGAAAACGCTCAGCAGGCTCCAGCTGTGGCTCCGGCACCCTCAAAATCAAAACACGGTGCTACATCCCAAGCTCCACCCGCACCGAGGAAAGTTAGATTTAACGTCGGTGTGTCTAGATCCTTGCTCTTCATTTATCTAATTTAACAAAATATGTCTCAATAGGTACTCAGTATCAGGTTCTCGATGTCGTAGGCGAGGGTGCATATGGTATCGTCTGTTCAGCTGTTCACCGGCCCAGTGGCCGCAAGGTTGCCATCAAGAAGATCGCACCCTTCGATCATTCCATGTTCTGCTTACGGACACTCCGAGAACTAAAACTCCTCAAATTCCTTAGTGAAGCTGGCGTAAGCGAGAATGTGAGCCCGTTTGCCATTCGTCATCTTTACGTGCTCAGTCAGAACTTTGAAGATCATTTCAATTTTGGACATCATCAAGCCTCCCTCTCTAGACGCTTTCAAAGAAGTGTATTGTGCGTACAAAATACGTCATTCAACCCACATATCACTCAAACTTTCACACAGTGATCCAGGAGCTGATGGAAACAGATATGCACCGCGTTATCCGAACGCAAGACCTCTCAGATGACCACGCTCAATATTTCATTTATCAGACCCTGCGAGCACTCAAGGCTCTACATTCTGCTGATGTCATCCACCGTGATCTTAAACCCTCAAACCTCCTTCTTAACGCAAACTGTGATCTCAAGGTCTGCGACTTTGGGCTGGCACGATCAGTAAAGACTGCCGAACCATCAGGGACGGAAACTGGGTTTATGACGGAATATGTTGCTACACGGTGGTACCGAGCTCCTGAGATCATGCTGACGTTCAAGCAATATACTAAAGCTATCGACGTCTGGTCTGTGGGGTGCATCTTGGCTGAGATGCTCTCCGGAAAGCCTCTGTTCCCCGGTAGAGATTACCACCACCAGCTCACTTTAATCTTGGATGTTCTCGGCACACCAACGCTGGACGAATTTTACGCCATTACCACACGCAGATCGCGAGATTATATTCGAGCTCTTCCTTTCCGCAAACGCCGGCCATTTGCGCAAATCTTCCCCAATGCCAATCCTTTGGCTGTAGACTTCCTGACGAAGACTCTCGTAAGTCACAATCTTCTCATCTATTCGAGTGGTAGCTCAAACCTCTCTTAGACATTTGATCCCAAGAAACGCATAACAGTTGAAGAGGCTTTGGCTCACCCATATCTTGAAGCATATGTATGTGTACTTCTTATTTCTTGAGCGCACAAGCTTATATGTGATTCAGCACGATCCCGATGACGAACCAGTTGCACCACCGCTCGACCCGGAATTCTTCGAGTTTGACCGTAGGTACTCGGGCTCAAGAAGCGTGCACATATACTTACCCTATTCGGCAGTACACAAGGACGATATCAGCCGTGAACAGCTCAAAGAGCTCCTCTACGAAGAGATCATGTCCTTCTGTCCCGCTCCAATCACCTAAACACCACACGATCGCCAACACTCGCTGTCCATAAACCAGAGGATCCACATGTATTATTGTGCTGAGCGTCAAATTGAATTAGGGGATAGAAAATGTACGAAATATGTTCTTTGGTGCCTTCTAACTGGTAGTCGTACCGCTTTGCTGTGGACAGTACTCATTCGATGTTTTTGTGTATCTCTTCACAATCAGCAGTTCATCACATGGATTTTGTAGTTATTACACGTTTGTCGCCGTGTCACCCAATATTTGATCTATACAATCTTTTTTGGGGCTATAGGCGCCTATAGACATAGTCACTGTGTGATAGCAACAACTCAGTGCGTGTGTATGAGTATGAACGGATCTATAGTATACTGCATTCATGTCATATGGAAAGGGCATACCAGGGCGCTTAGTTGAGAAGTACGGGTCAGATTCCAGAATTCTGGACTGAAAGGATGAATGGAAGATCAACTCGTCACCGAACAGTTAACAGAAAAAGATCCCGCGAACATTCGGATACACACATTGTCATCGAGCAACGAATGACTTTGCCAAAGACTCCAGGACAGATAACATTACTACGAAAGATGGCTAGAGCACGGGAGTGCAATACAGAGGTAGACCAGTAATTCCTACAACTTTAAGTACAGCATAGACGAAAGAGAATAACCTGAAGAACTGTACGATATCAAAGCAATGCGGCAGAGAACTACACACCAATATGTATGAAAACCATCCTCTGATCGAGCGGCACTTTCGTCATCACGGCGTGTGTAGCATGATTGAGTGCCCAGGCTGCCTTCGTACAGTCCATCATACCACCATCCTCCAAATCTTCGAACATCTTCTCGTAGAAAGCTTCCACAATGTATTTTACGATAGCGTCAGTAACCCCCCACAGCGTGCCAATAACGCTTTTGAACCCCGAAAATTGTAAACCAGCTGCGAGGTGAATGATCTCGTCGGGTGTCTCCTCGTCACCGACAGCGGTATGACATGCTGATAAGAAAGCGAATTCAGCCTGTGGAGAATTGTTCTCTATGATTTCAAGCAGCGTGAGGGGCTTGTCTCTCATGGCGAAACATGAATTATAAGGTTGCTCCCGGTCTTGCGTGCCATGGCAAGCGAGGTGCACCCAGGTGTTACGTCGCAAAGCTTCAAGTGCACCTGGCTGTGTAGCTTCATCGCCAGAGACATTGGTGAACTTGACACTGGGGGGAACAAGTTTATGGACAAGCTTCAGCTCTCCATTGACAGCGGGGAGCACTCCGCCTTGCCCTGCGCCGGGTTGACTTTGTCCGATCGCCGCGAAGGAGGGAGTCGCATGCATCTTCATCATCTGCCGAGCTCTAATGAGAGCTGAAAGTGTGGGCGTGTAAGAGCAGATGTAGAGATCCTCCAGGCATGGCTCTCCCCCAGAGCGATCTGTTGTCATTCGAAAGGGGTTAGCTGCATGGAGAGGGATGGATGTGAAGGCTGCCGTCGGACACAGCCATATTCGAGACTGAGGCTGCAATTCTAGGTCATTTTGGAGGACGTTAACTATGGGTAGCATGATCTCGTCCCATATTATCCGCAAGAGTGCTCGCAACTTCTTCCTCGGCACTTCTGGGCGCATACGAGCCGCGTGCCGTATTGCCGTAGTGAAATCGTCCTTGAGCGTCTCCAAATGTGTGAGAGTGATACGCGAGAATCGAACGTGGTGCGGCTCTCCTGACGTCGGGACAACGATGGCGCTGCACGAGTATTGACTCGCAATGAGAATAATGACTGGGCCATGGCGTGCTGCTGCTTGCAGGTCTTCATACAAAGGCGGGAGTAGGAGCCGCGAGAAACCTTTAAGATTACGTATCTCAGCTACCACTGCTCCCCATTGCTCCTGAAGTCCCCTGTAATGTATTGTTGCTCGATTAGCAACAGCTCGGTCCGCGCTGCCGACAGAACCCTGAGTATCAGACAGGCGCTTGTTGAGCTCAGAGAGCCTGTGAGCTAAATCTGGACTTGCAAGCTTCAGGTCCTCCAGCGAAGTCCTGAGTCGAGAGGCCAGCGACAACTGTTGGCCACGACCCTGCTCCACAAGTTCAACTGCTCGTTGCAGAGAATTATGACGGATGGCATGCGAAGCTGCATCTACCGGCAGTGACTGGGCGCTGCGGAAAGCGATTGCAGCCTCACGCCGTGAGATAACCGACGACCGCGTCATGACATGATTGTCGAAAAGCTCCAAGCATGTTTGGTATGCTTCGAGGGCAGACTCGTGCTGATAATTTTCAGCCGTGTGAACCCAGTGCAAAGCTGTTTCAACTCGATACGGAAAGCCTTGAGTAGAGTGTCTCGATGCCAGTCTGGAGTTCTCTACAGCGAGCGACAAATCAGCGAGGTTGTGTTGCACTCGGTAACGAGACACATAGGCATTCTTCAGCCACACGTAGCCGAAATATCTATCCGGGTGTAGTGAGGGCAAAGCCTCCAACGACTCTTGGCAGAGTCGAATGGCCTCCTCGATATCTTCATTCTTCCGAGCTTGCATGAAACGAGAACAGAGCGCTGAGCTCAGATTGAAAAGACCTGTATGGCGACGTGGATGGCCATGCGGCCTTAACTGAAGTGAATCCCGGTAGAGGTTGATGGCCTCGTCGAGATCCTCGCTGGCATCCAATTTGACATATCTGGTTTTGAGCGCGAGGGCAAGGTTGTTAAGCGTGCTAACACGATATGGATTCCCAGGCGGGCGCAACGTCAGTGCCTCGCGCCGGAGGCTGATGGATCTGATGACGTCGTTAACATCACCATGTTGGTTGAAACGGGTGTAGAGGGCAGATCCTAGGTTGTTTAATGAGAAATCACGAGATTTGTGTCCAACAGGGCGCAGGCGCAGCGCTTCCTCATACAAAGATACGGCCTCATTGAGGTCATCTGAGATGCCTTGGTGTTTGAAAAGATGATGGAGTGAGTGGGCCAAGTTAATCAGGTAGATGTGGCGTTCAGAATGTCCCTCGGGGCACAGGGAAACGGCTTCGCGACCATGTTGTGTGCTCTCTGCCAGATCATCAATGGTACCGCGTTGTTCAAAATGTGTGCTGAGAGTCCATGAAAGCTTGTAGAGTGCATTTGGACGGTGTGCGCTGCCCAGAGGACAAAGCTCGAGTATGACTCGTCGAAGGTGGATGCCTTCATCGGATACATCTATTGGAAGATCGTTGCATTCGCGGATCACATAATCGGCGCCATTTCCCCCTGCCGCGATGCTACACAGGTAGGTGCCCCCTGGACAGAGCGGCAATAGCTTGCAGGACAGTTGCGCGCATTCCCGGATATAGGAGGCGGCGGGCTCCTTGCTGTAGTGCCAGATCAACGCTTTAAGGAGGTGATAGATGGATGATGGATGATCAGGATGGCCCTGCGGACGCAACGCAAGGGCTTCGCGGAAGAGAGAAATGATAAAGTCGATGTCTTGAAAGTCCTTTCGAATGTAGCCTTGAAGGCAAGCCCACGCGAGGTTGGTGAGAGCCGCTGCCCGATGAGGATGCCCGACCGGACATTGGTCCAGGACAAACTGAAAATGCTTTACAGCATCGTTCAGGTGAGAGACCGTCTTGCTTGTCACGTATGTGGCAAATCGTTCATGGCCTGCATCCGTGTCTCGAGCAATGTCACATTCAATAATGGACTACAGCAGGTGTTCCGTCAACATAAGCCAACAACAGAGGTTGATATCACTCACGTCAAACAGGGCGTTGTCCTGATTGTCGCAATTATGTAGAACCGTAGCCTTTAGTGTGAGGGAAGGATGAACACCACGAACGGACGGGAAGGAGATGTCTACGAGATGTGAGCATATGCGCATGAGTGAGAAGGAGGTTACTCACCGAAAGGCTCATTTCCATGATCGAGCAGTGCATCCCATGACATTTCAAGTTTTCCAACAACTTCCCCATTGCCCAGCATCTGATCGAGCTCGAAGGAGGCCCTGATCTCCACCGATAATGTAGACGACGCGTCTAACGATCTAGAAACAAAAAGTCAGCCCTCGAGTTGTATCTGAAAGTTTCAATGAACATGTACAAGGTCACAGTATCGCGCCACGCTATAGATTCGTCGGATGATAAAATACCGATGGCTGATTTCCAGCATCTGCTGGAGCCGAGATTGACGGACACATAGATACCTGCGGGAATGTGGAAGGAGGGAACTTTAAGATTTGTTCCGCTGATAACTGTAGATATAATGTGAGGATGACCAAACGGATGCGAAGGTGATATGGAATGACTCACCTTCAAGTCTGATGTATCGGCCTTCTAAGCCACCGGGCATGATAGTGCGATGGAGCAAACCAGAAGGATTGAGGATGGGCTGGATGTGGACAGAATGGGTGGTAGAATAAGACGGGGGTGGGGATATGGGGGCTGTGGATGAAGTGAGAGTGAGAGGGTGAGGGTGAGGAAGGTAATGCTACACGTGTATTTCCATGTTGTTGAGGGTAGTCTAGGGCGCTTGTGTGGTTGCACTAAGCGCTGAGGCGGCTAAACTAGCACCAGCGGAAGAACAATGTCAAGGTCAGTCACAAGTGAAAGCGACACGCTGATATCAGTTGGGGGACATGTTGCGAGTCTCAAACTGAACATGTCACTCTCATCATAGATTGTTCGAGACGTACTACTCATTCCAGTAGCACAAGACCAAGACAAAATATAGAATCCAATGTATTTCATAGTGCGCTAAAAATGATGTGCACATAAAGGCCGAACCATGTTATACGAGTCTGATGCGATGGGAAGGATGATCGTAATGGAAAGCAACAGTCTCATGCGAGACTAGGGGTAGAATGCAACAAGAGGGAAACACTCGGTGTCGTGCTGAGCAGGTCGAGATACACCAGCCTAGTGAATGAAAAAGGCAAAAGGTGAAGGCGATACCAGGGCTCGAACCTGGGTTTCGGGAAATCAGCAATTGTCAGAATCCCGAGTGATAACCACTACACTATATCGCCTTGGATGAGTGTCGTAACTCCACGTGATAAGTACCTATTGGCATCAATCGCATATACCACTCAAAATTTGAAATTTGAAATTTCAACGACTCGATTGATGACTTCAACTGGGTGATGTCTATGTCCGCAGGAGCCGTGCCTCGTCAGGAACCCGAAGCCAAAGGGGCAGTGGAGCATCTCAGTTAGCTATTGCCCGTGCGCCCATGCCTCACCGACAAAGATTGCCCTGCGGGGATGGTCTCCAGGAATAGTTCTTTGATCCGGGGGCCAGCGGGGCAAGTTATGACTTTATTCGAATTTCGCGTGAGATTTCTTCGCACTCATCAGCTGCCATGCATTATCCAGCGCTAGCTCGCTCTATCGAATTACCCACAGGCACCGCGGCTGCTGGTGTGACAGTCCACATGACTTGCACGATTTCATTATAAACGTTTGGAGTCTTCGAGTCCCATACTACTTCTTGTTCTCTTGCTCCTGCAAGCGCTCGCGCACCATCTTTAATATCGTGAAGTATCGCGAAGTAGCTCGCTACTTACTCCGCTCACGTGCGTGAGTCACCTCCGTCTACCTCGGCCCACTATGTTGGACGAAGAAAAACGCCCATCTTCCGATGAGAGGGAAACTAAATCTACAAGCGACGCTGGCGGCAATAAACCCATCGCTACATCTGATGAAGAGAAGAGGCTCGTGCGTAAGCTTGACCGTAGGATTCTACCCATAACATGCTTGCTTTATCTTTTTGCTTGTGCGTGAAATTTTATCACGATAGCCAGCTGACATGTTTTACTGATTGTGAATCAGATCTTGATCGCACGAATCTTGGAAATGCACGCCTTCAGGGACTCGCAGAGGAGAACCTTGGTGGCGACCCTACTGGTATACTGTTCGATTGGGTCAACTCGGCATTTTTCTTTTCATATGTCAGTAATGCAACTATAGTTCATCGCCCCAGTTTTGATTTGTTGGCTCCCAGATTATCTGCCAAGTTCCTGCAACGATAATCTCAAAGTTGTTTCCACCATCCTATTGGATAGCGGGCGCGGCTATTGGGTGGGGTATATGTTCCACGTTAATGGTGAGTCATACTGCCGCTCCTCTTTATATGTACATTTCGTTTTCCCTTCAAGTTATTCTTTGGTTACTTGGAATGTCTTGTTCATGAACAATTCCTCTTGTGACGTGTTTATCAACCCTAGTAAGTTACCAGTGCGTCAGAGCAGCCAGTTTCTGCCGTGAAATCCAGGTCAAGCCTTGACGTGTGTTTGACCTGTCTTATCTACTGATCAAATAGATCTTGCGGACTATACTGCTTGAATACCTGCGCCCCGTTGACCTTCAACCATTTTACAGCCTCTTTGTCTTTATTAGCCATATTCGAACTCGAACCGTTGCTCATGATGCATACTATTTTTCTGCAGGCAACGACATTCAACTTTGGAAGTCTCATGGCCGCCCGCGTTGGGCTTGGCGTATTTGAAGCTGGCTTTGGCCCTGCAATTCCACTTTATTTTTGTAAGTCATGCATCATGCAATAGACCCGTGGAGAAACAGGACTGTTAACACGACTATCCAAGCCTTCTTCTACACTCGCTCTGAAATGGGCTTGCGCATGGCATACTGGTTTGGTTTTGCGGCGGTCGCAGGTGCGTTCGGCGGGCTCATCGCGTTCGGCGTGCAGCAAGTCGGGTACGGACCGCATCTCGCTGGTGTAGGGGGAGAGTGGGACTGGAAAGTCCTGTTTCTTATTGAGGTTAGTGCCGGTGTTCTATGTTTGTTCAAGGAACAAGTGGTATTCAAGATGTTGATCCGCTCGCATTTATCCGGTCGAGTGCTGCGGTTCCTGGATCTTGTTGTATCCCATTTCTGGCCGATGTTTCGAGTCTCCCTGGCCTTTGAGAGGTGCAGAGGGATCGATATTCTAAACCCATTTACACTGCGCAATGTTCGCTGTGCTAGCCTTTCTTGCATTACACCTAAGAGGCAGGCATGGGAGTGGTATTATCTAGTGCTTTCCCGGAATACTATAAAACACCTATCAGGATTAATTTTCAGCCTCAGGCGCGATTTAGACGTGCTCCGTCCCTTGTAAACTTATTGGCTAACAATTCGGTTGTTCTCAGGGAATTCCGGCTCTTCTTCTCGGTGTTCTGACTTTCTTCGCTCTCCCCGACAGACCGGAGAGCACGAGATACTTGAATGCGAGAGAAAGAGAAATTGAACTGGAACGCATGAACAGGGGCACGAGTGCGGATGTTGGCGCTGTGATTAACAAAGGCGAGCTATTTCCCTATCCTCGTGCTACGCAGCGAGGCCTCATCGACTCGTCCTACTCTAGAACACATCATGATAGCTCTCCTTGATTGGCGCATATACACTGGAGGAATGATTTACTTTGGTGTGAATTGCGCTCTGGCAAGCATTTCGGCATTTTTGCCAACGATCATCGAGACTTTTGGGTACAGTGTGTACTACCTTGGCTGAATGAAAGTTTTCCTTGTTGATATTTTCGTTCCAGCCAACGCGCTCGCTCAGTTACTCACAGTACCACCATATGCAGTGGCTGCCATCGTCCTTTGTTTGACGTCTTACACGTCCGACCGCATACAAAACCGTGGCTTGGCGGTTGCAGGTTCCTGTGCTGTCGGTGCTATTGGTACGTGGCACCTAGTTTGGTTTATGTTCAGAGTATCCCTCATGTGTCATTTCAGGCTACCTTCTTTTGCTCACAGTCCCCAACAATGTTCACGTGCGATACTTCGCCGTATTCTGCATCACGAGCGGGACATACACCGCTATTGGCTTAATCATCGCATGGTGTACGTTCTTTATCACTCACGACGCGTCTTCCCACGACAGCTCACGTTTTCAACAGTTGCACACAATCTCGGCTCTGAGACCAAGAAGGCGACGGGTATCCCGATGTTCATGGCGATTGGGCAATGCGGGAGTATTCTCGGCTCGCACATATACCCTTCGACGGATGGCCCGAGGTACATGTGCGTCTTACCCTTCTCCCCTCCCCCTGTGTCCGCATGTGTTGATTGATTGCTGTCGGTGCAGCCTCGGCTTCGCTGTATCATGCGGCCTCGAGGCGTTTGCCACTGTTTGCGCGCTAGTGCTGTGGGTGTCATACAAGTACGATAATGCGAGACGCGATCGTGAGTATGGGCGTCCGGACCCAGGTGCCAACGTGGATACAAGCGAATTGGCGGATAAGGTGAATACTGTTTGCCTCAGAATGAAGCTACCCTGATACCTTCCATAGGCGCCTATGTTCAGGTACATGGCTTAGCGAGGAGGGACGTAGGAATTTGAAAAAGATTGAGATGATAGCAAATGTGTATTTATACAATGTGTTAATTATTCTTCCCTATGACAACATAGTTGAATCATGCATGCTAGGTCGCCCCTCGGAGTTGGCTGCGAGATTACATTAGCGCAAGCCTATGAAAAACATTAGGCAGACTACTACTTGACTGTAGCTTGGCTTGTACTGAAAATGAAATAAAGTATAGGCTTTTGGCACGAGCGTAACACCATAGGTGTGCGTACGTGCATGTTAGCATCCGCGGAAAAGCATGCAAGCCTTGACGGTGCGAGAGGTAAACACTTTGAAAAACCACTGATTCAGATTCTAATTTTTGGCTTTATGTGCCATTAAACGCTTGGTATATTTCGTCTGTGGAATCTTGTCGGTTTGTGGGTGAGAATGGGTGATTGCTGAATTACTGTAGCAGTCGAATTGCGTTACTACAAACTTGTGCTCAAGGAATGGGAAGAGGTCTCGGGTTAGGGTTAAGGGCGTGCGGACGAGGTCGCCATCCGTCCATGCATTCTTGTCTCAAGAGTTGGCGAGATTTACGAAGTAGTGATTCTCCATTACTTACTGCCTTAGCCAATTCAGGCATATTCAGTATGCGCTACCTGAATTTCAGTATGAATGACTCGGGGTCAACGAACAGCTCGAGATACATTTGCACGATTGAGATGAGTGATAAGTCGACATTTGATGAGAGAATTAGATGAGAGTGGGGGTGTTCTTACGTAGCGAAGAACGACTTTAGCATCTGGTAGATCTGGAATATAGATAGAATATATGGGCGGGAATAGAAACAGTGCTTACGCACGTAGTATAGTTTCACTGATAGGAACTGAACAATTCGATAGAAAGAGTTCCAGACGGCACGCAACCACCTGTCTTCAAAAAGCGTTTTTAAGAAGAGCATACAATGATGCGTCCTCAATACCAACGATACTGTAAAAAGAACTTCATGCGGAGGCCATGATGCTGAGGGTACAAAGGGAAAAAGGAGTACAAAATATACATGTCGGATGAATCGACTCAATGGGAACATGACCTGGGCCAGCCAGAAATTTTGTCACTATGCATTTAAAAGGGCCCGGACGGGCGGTCCAAGCTCTCGACAAATACCCTCCATGCGTTCTCGTTCCCTGTCAGTAACATTGTCACCGAATGCAGCATCCGTTTCTTCCAAGGTCTGTACACCATCGTCAGCCACGTTCGACAGGACATGCGTACGCAAAAAACATACCCGACCCTTGGTCTCTGGGAAGAAGAATACTATAAAGCGAGTTAAGCGTACTATTTGACGTGATTTTGGGATTTGACGTACGAACTGAGAGTAACGCAGCGAGAGAAAATCCGGCAAAGATAAAGTACGCCATCCCCCCCACATTCAACATTATTGGTGTAACGAGCCCAACCACACTAAAGCATATCAATACCAAAAAGACGAAGGGGAGTGATAAAACCGCGCACAAGTTTGATAACCACGTGGTCGATGTAGTAATGGAGATACCAGTGGACCGGAGGTGCAATGGGAAGATCTCACTGGGAATTACTGGCAAATATATTAAATCCTTGAAGAAGGTGAAACGAACCACTCACCCCATCCAATCGGAGCCCACGAGTAAGAGAAATTAACATCGTAGATAAACACGAAGACTGTAAGATAGTTTAACGTGTTCTGCAGGTAATTACAGTGCACCTACCAATAGCGATGCGAGCCGCTACCGCATGTGCTTGCCAGTCCGTGCCGTAAACGGTGACAAGAGAACCCACGATTGCCAGACAAGTGAAACATCCGGCGGCACCAGAGATTAACAGAGGTCGCCTGCCTAAACTATCGAGAAGAACGATAGCAGGTAAAGTTGCGAGCATCTTGAAAAAAACAATAATTTAGGAGGCTTATACGTAATGTTGTGAACTCACGTTAACAATTCCATAAACACCAGTGGCAAATAGGGAGGTAGTATTTGGATCAAGGCCCAGTTGGCCGAAAACTGTGGATGAGGAGTCAACTCTGAACTCAACAATTAAGATGATTCGTAAAACTTACTCGTAGGCGCGTAATAAATGAGAGCCTTCAACGATGTAAGCGATGTTGGTTCCAGAAAGATGGACCACGACTTACGTTTATCCCCTGGCAAATCATAAATCACCAAATGATAAGAAAGACTGATTTGAAAACCCACCATAAATTGCTGGAACATCATAGTAAGGCAACCAACAATTATACGCTTGGACTTTGGCCAACTAGAAACCAATGCCAAGTATTTATTGGTTATCTGCCTGATTGGCCCTGCATTGGGATATGCCGCCTTCATAACCTCTCTCGCAAAACGAACTTCAGCCATGATCTCCAGAAATTCAATGCGAACTAAATGATCGTGAGCGGGCTTCCGGCGAAGACGCGACAGCTCCTCTAGAGCCTCCTCCTCGCGGCCTCGCTCAACGAGCCAACGGGGCGAGTATGGCATGAAGAGCATGCCAATGCCAAGACACTGCACTTCCACGGGTATGAGTAGGAAGCAGAAGATATGACCAACACACCAAAGCAGGGAATATTTGGAACGCAAGCGGAACTCTCCATGACGCTTGAGTTTGACCAGTGCAGCCACCTGGAGGGACATCGGTGTAAGGATCGAACGTAGGTTTGCCGTTCAAAAGTGCTCCGGTGTGTGGTATTGCAGGGGCACATCGGGTTCCCCCGATATGTGACGTGCCATATGCAATCCAGTCTTCGAGTAATGAGCATATACGAATATGTGAAAGCAGACTGCCACGCACAACTAACAAGAATCTACATTTTGTGGTGTTGAATGCATAACCTCAGTAATAGATGTTTCGCTCACCCCAAATGTGATAGCGAGTTGCTGCAGAGAAACTAAAGATCCACGAATTTTGGCACTGGATATCTCAGCGAGATACATCGGGACAACGTGCGTCAGAGAACCAATTGCTAAACCGGCAACAGCGCGACCGGCAAACAGATAAACTAACAAAAGAATCTTCAGCAAAGCTGATAAATGTGAACGGGATAGAAAACGGGATAGAACTTACCAGGAGACGTGGCACCTGCTTGGAGTGAACTACCGAGAAGAAAGATCACCACATTGCATATTATGTCTACCTTTCTCCCGATCTGAGTCGTAGTCTATCACAACTTATCCTGTCTCGCCAAATGATAAACCTCACTTTGTCACAGACGGGGCCGTTCACATTAGCTCCGAAGCAGGCAGCTGCGGATATGGATTGACGGACGGACGCTCGCAGCATGTCACGTTGACGTACCGAGCAAAAGTGTGGAGACAAACCATCCCTAAAAGTAGTGTAACTCAGATAGGCACAATGTCTATTGGAATGTTACCCTTACCTTCAGCGTTGCATTCGTGTATATCGCCGGAAACTTGGCTCCAAAAGATTCAATGGCGAGCACGTTGCTCACGACTCCCTGATATGCAGTCAGACGTGTACCTACTATAGCTGCCATAAGAACACATTGCCCAACTCACCTGGTCGTAGCCAAAGAGCTGTTGATAAGGCACGGTGTTACTAGTGGTCATTTATCTTGTAACAAATAACTCACGAATCCTCCAAGAGTCGAGAACAATGATATACCAAGTCTGCGCCGCAAATGTATCCCATCGTTCATATCCACATCACATCTCCAAATCGCTCACATGAATTTGTTTTCAAAAAGGCCTCTGAATCCAACGCGACCTTCCGAGCCAGCAAGGACCAAGTCAGAGACATTATTGTCGTTCTCACCCTCTTGCTCGATCGAATTTAAACGCGGTGATCGAGGCATGTTCTTCCACTTGGAGCATGTATTGCAAGGAGGAGGAAATTGGTATTCAGGATTAAAACATGCTGCGCCTTATAGCGGGATAATTAACCCTCTGAGTCGTTTTCAACCTTTCGATCTAATCAGAAAGGTACGATGGCCAACAAGAAAACTCCACCCACACCACCAGATCCCCCACACTCGCACATTCATCTTACTTCGGTCCGTAATGAGTGGGGGAGAAAGAAACTGCGAGAAGCTGCTCTGCGCGAGCCCACGGGGATTCAGAACCCACCGTTCGACGTGCCAGAATCCCTGGATGTACCATCCCTCTCGGACGTGGACAAGTCATCCAATGGTCTTGAGCAGCCGTGCCAATACTTGGTCGGCATAAATGGAGAGCGTGGACGTGTGGCAGATTGACTCGGAGACCTAGGAGTGATGAACGTTGGTATCGGCGATAGCCTTATCACGACAGCTGAATGGAGTCGCGTCGCCACGTAATGATGGGCCATTGGTTCAGCGCTCATCACGCACGCTTCTTTTTCAATTGAAAAATTCTATTTATAAGTCAATTGTACTGGATCTAGCTAATATCTGGATTTCCGTTCAACACGTCCGCTTTGTGGGTGTAGGCTAGATGAAGTTTTGACTATAGCTTCTGCAGCCCAAGAAATGCAAAAATCGCCCATGTGGTACCATGGGGATGATAGCATATGTGAATCTGAACTCATGCTATCATCAAGTCCGCGGAAAAGCATGCCAGCCTTGAGAGCTTTGAAGCTTGGCGCGTGATAGGTGAACGAAAAGCCAACGCAGCTCATAATGCACAGCAGCAGTTTCCAGCAGGGATATTAGACTATGATATAATAGAAAACAAGGAAAATGATATCATAAAGCAGAAAGGAATGCGTAGAGTATGTAGAGATAGAGATAGAGGACACTAACTTAGAGAAAGAAGTATAGAGAAGAAACAGCTACAACATAGGGAAAATGAGAGAGACAGAAAGAAAGAGAGAAAGAGAACAAGCAAATAGAACAATACAAGACGAAATGGTATATGATAGAATATAAAAATAGGATGCAACTCAGGAATGGAGGGAAATGAGAAGGGTATACAACTAGCCATGGATGGGGATGTATTGGTGTGGGGGAATACAGTGCTCAAGTACCAAGAGACGCCAAACAAGCACGTAGGCTTCAAGGCTTACTCTGTACAAGGGCTATGGAACGTTCGAATCAGAGACACATCCCAAGGAAAAGTGCAACAACACGTACACTTGAAAGGAGGGACTATAAAAGCATCGTCGTCAAGGAAGGTCATCGAGTCTAACGAGGGCATCGTCCCGCACAAGTTGTCCAGCGATGAAAGTCGCACAGCAGCATCCAAAGCTTTCATGGAAGATGACGGGCGAAGACGTTCTCGGTGACAATAATTGATGTTTTGTGCCTTATCCCGGCCAAGACCTGCGGAGGAGACATTAGAATCAGAGCACCTCTATAAAATAGCAAGAGTACATACTCTTGAGGGGAGGGACAGGAAGAGCGTCGGCGTCAAGGAAGGACATCGAGTCCAGCGAGGGCATCGTCCCGCACAATTTGTCCAGCGATGAAAGCCGCACAGCGGCATCCAAAGCTTCCGTGGAAGGTGACGGACGAAGAGGTTGACCTGAAACTTTGTGGCACTCATCAAGCCACGACATCGAGTCTAAGTAAAGCAACGGGTCACGTAGATCGCCCAGCGAGTGACGCTGCACGGCAGCATCCAGAGCTTCCAAGGATGATGATGACGACAGGGGTTGACTGGTGATACTATCCAATGCGACGTCGAGCCAGGACATCGAATCTAGAGAAGGCAATGGATCACACAGATCGCTCAACGAGTGGAGTTGCACAGCAACATCCAGGGCTTCCAAGGATGGTGACGACAACAGGAGTTGACTAGCAATGCCATGCCATGCGTTGTCGGGCCGGGACGTCGAGTCCGGGGCACGTAATGTGGTGGCGGGAATGAGTGGAGACGAGGACGGAGGCAACACCTGGTTGTTATCTCAGGTATGGGCGGGTTAGGACGAAAGAAGCAGGGTAAGAAGAAGAGCACTGACTAGGTTCCCGCGTCTTGCCCTTAGCGGCATTGCTACTCTTCTTGAGAGGTTTAAGTACCTTCGCATTGTCCTTGACGGCACTGCCGCTCTTCTTGAGAGAAGGAAATCTAGGTTCCTGCACCTTGTCCTTGATAGCACTACCATTCTTCTTGACAGTCGCAGATCCCCCGGGAGCACGGTTATCACAAGATGAGACTATGTATGTCTCGTCTTTAGAATTGCAAATTATAACAGCGAGAACTCCTTACCTTTGGATGAGGGATTATTCAAGAGGACTCCCTTAGGCGCGGATGACACTCTCGTGCCAGGAGTCGGAATCTTCGAGCTCGGCAGGACCTTAGAAATCGAAGACTTGACAGTAACCGAACGTCTGACGGAATCAACTGTCGGAGGCGTCTTTGGAGAGGTGGACTTTATGTGGATTCCAGCTGTCTTTGGTTCGACTGATGTGGATGGCTCTGAAAGAATATATGTCAGTTAATAAGACGTCACAACTGATCAACGAGAAGACACACGAATGTAGATTGATTCACGATCAATGAACCGAAGCGATCTAGCAGAGATTGAGATACCTGACCTTTGCTTCTTCGGTGCAGCGCTCGTTGGTGTAGGAAGATGTTGAAAGCCAGGAAGAAATCGTGTCGGAAGGGGGCTAGCATCCACATCCGTAGCACTTCGTACGGGTTTGGAGTCACAAACAACGTCTTGAAGTGGTTTGGCTTGAGATGATGCAAATTCCAGGGCTGAAATCCTCGTGCGGTATAGAGAAAGTGTCTTCAGGATGTCCTTGCGAAGGTCGGCAACGTCGTTCTCCGTTTGGATTTGATCCTCGACTTGAGAGATGAGTTGGCCATGCAGGCGTTCGTGAAAGGCATCGAGTTCCTTGCGAAGGTCAATGACATCACGTTCCGTTTGAATTTGATCCTGGATTTGACAGGCGAGTTGATCATGCAGGCGTTCGCGGAAAACATCAAGCTCAGTGTTATCCTGCGAGACATGAGAAGTAAGCTTGTCGAGAATTTTCTTGGTATCTCTCGAAAGTTCGCGTTCGTCGTAGAGTTGTTTTCCGAGGTCGTCAATTTGGCGTTGCTGATTGGCAATGAGGGTAGCGAATTCTCTAGCCTCGAGGGTCATCATCTGTACGTGGCAACGAGTCTGATCTTTGACAAAATCGATTTCTTGCTTGACAAGCTCCATTGTGGCACAGAGGTTCGCGATTTCGAGGTCGGTGGTCTGTTCGAGAGTCACAAACGAGGAGGAGAGAGCATCAACAACTTCAGAAATTCGTAGAAATTGATGTGCGAGGAAACCGATTTGACCAATAAGTATGATGAAAAGCTCGACAACACGACACGAGAATGAAGGTGAGAAGGTGTGTGACGCAGTATCATCTTGATTTGTCTTTGATGTTGCATCGTCTGAGCTGAATGAATCGTCGAGAAAGGCGTGGGGGGTATCGGAACCAGGAGAAGATTGTGCGGAAGCCGAAAGAGTGCATGTTGCTGGATCGGTCATACCAGAAGGAGCGTATCGTGCGTCTTGGATAGGTGCTAGAACGAAGACGAAAGGGATTGCCTTGGTATAGTCAATCATAGCACAACGTGAAGCGGCTTGAGGTGAGAGTGCGAGACGATTGCACAGCGTCGAAGAAACGAGAGCGAGGATGGAACGCAACACAGAATAGGATTTGAAAGTGCTCGCCTGCGCCTCCTTTATACCCGGGCCTGCTGATGAGTGACTTGTCTCATATCACAAAGACATACCAGTCCAACGACAGGATGTCAGATACCTTCGAAAGCGGACCGAACATCCAAAACCCCGAGATGGCTTACTATTGGATGCTCAGTAGTTCGATACCGAACACTTGTTTCATATTGCAGTCCGAGAGCAGCTTATCATGATGAGTTTGCGATATTGCAAGACAGTGACGGATTGGGAATCTAGAATTTTAGACCGTTGGTCTGTTTTCGAATTGCGTTATTGATGTCTGGTTTTCTAGCATCACTAGAATTCAACTGCAGAGGATCGGGACTCTACCAAATCGCTAGGACGTACTACTAGGTCATGCAAAATGCAAATCAGCCTAGCAATGCAAATTCTCAAACAACAGATCCGACCTCTTATTTGGCTACTGCATAAAAACCGAGTGCCATTCTTATATATTCGAGAGTAATTGCCACAAGAGTGATCATCTCAAGCAAGGTTGACTATTTACAAGCAGTACTTGATGGTGAACGTTTCAACTTGAGTCGGAGGTTGCTTCTAGATAGCTGACTCAAACTTGGGTACGTGGGAGGTTCTTTCCAAACTCGTACAAACATTCAATATTCACTCCTCGACGCTCCCAAGTTAATTATCAACCAAGCTCTGGTCAAGTCATGGCCGACGCAGGTAAGTTTCCTTTCACTGAGTGCTTCCACCAAGATCCTGCTCACCGCCTTGAATCACAGGATTCTTCAAAGGCACTTCTGCAGACCAGGACCGTCGCTTCTCTGACAAAGAGTTGAAGTTGTTGAAGTCTATGAAATTTCCACCAGAGTTTGATAAAAAGGTGGGCCACCCAAGTCTGGTGCTCTAAATTTAATTCATGTATCTCGTTCCTCAGGTGGACCTCAAAAAAGTAAATCTCAATGTCATACGCCCATGGATCGCCAAAAAAGTCACAGAACTCGTTGGTTTTGAAGATGAAGTGGTCGTCGAGTATGCCATGGGTCTCCTCGACGACCCAAATCACACCGTAAGCTTTTTAGTACATGTCCAAGACTTTTCCGTGTCAATTGTATTCTCCTCTAGACTCCAGACCCAAAGAAAATGCAAATAAACCTGACAGGTTTCCTCACGGCATCGACGCCCTCGTTCATGACTGCTCTCTGGTCTCTACTGCTCGAGGCTCAAGAGCATCCCGCAGGCGTTCCACAGACGTTTGTGGAGGAGAAGAAAGAGGAAATGCGCAAAGCCCGCGAGGGTGACGTGCGTGCCATAGGTGAGAGAGACAGGAGGGTCCGTCTCGATGAGATAAGAGACCAGGAAAGAGGTGAACGTGCAGGCCGCGGACGCGGAAGAGGCAGGGGCAGAGGGAGAGGTGGATTTGAAGGCGGTGGCCGAGGTAGAGATAACGGTTGGGGTGGACGTGGTAGCGGTGTAAGTCCACTCCATGCTTCTTTTGGATCCTCTAAGGCTTATAAGGTATAGCGTCCTGGCCGCAGAATTTCTCGCAGTCCACCACCCCATCGCAGACGCTCCCCGTCTCCAAGCTCTCCATTTGACGCAAGGAGTTCCCGATCCCCGCCTCCTTCCCTCAGGCGTTCGCGTTCTCCGAGGCGTTCCAGATCCCGCAGTCCTGTGTACCGCCGAAGCTCCCCTCCGCCCCGTAGATCCCGGACGCGCTCGCCTACCCTTCGTCGTCGTCGCTCCTTGACTCCTTCTCCTCGCCGCCGCAGACGTTCGCCATCGGTTGACTCTCGATCTCTGTCGCCTCCACCACCAAGGAGACGGAGACGGTCTCCCAGTTACTCGCGCTCACCTCCACGGAGATTCGGGCGAGAGAGAAATAGCAGAAGTCCTCCGCCTCAGCGTCGTAAGCTATCGCGTTCGCCCTCTCCCGTTTCGAGCCAGTCACGGTCTGCGCTGAGATACGCCCGTCGCAGGAGTCCGAGTCCTCGTAGGCGGGGTAGCGTCTCTCGCTCGCCTGTCAGACGACGGATTACCCACGATGAAGCCGGTGATGGCGGAAAGGGAAAGCGTCCTGCGAGGCGTAGTCCTTCACCCTCGCGTATGGATGTTGATAGAATGAGAATCGGTGACGAGCCCCTTCCGCAAAATGCCAGGGGCGAGCTGAAAATTAAGGGTCAAGCCAGGCGAAATAAGTGGGATAATGCAGACAGGGATGGTGTATGCTTACCTTCTTGATTACTCGTGCTCAGCCAACGTTGATGATAACTTTTAGGATGGAGGATTAGAGCAGCATGATCTAGAAAAGCGAGAGAAAGAACTGAAGGAGCGAGCATTGAGAAATAAGGTTGTCAGGACTCGTAAAGGGAGCAGCGGTGCTGGCGGTTCAGGCTAGAAGAACCCATTCGCTGTCCTGGCCCAACGTCGCATTGCAGGCAAGTACCATATCGTATCGTTTTATATCTGTTGTGTTCGACTTTCAATGCACTCAATTCGTTATGCATCTAGTGTTCTGTGTTCATTGTGCGCCCCATCTTATTCGTATTCTCCGTTAAATATATTTTGCTCCCAGTGTGAAGTCCGCCCTCTTTCTCTAAGCTTTGCTGTGTATCCCTTCTAACTTTTTCTTTTTGAGCGCAGAGCGTGTTGGATGTCTCCCGCAGTTTGACTGAGTTGGTTGTACTTGCGTATCTCGATGGCTGTCCCGAACTTGTCTCTGCGCACCCTCGGTCCGTGATCTTGAGCGCTAGTACGGGAAAGAATCCAAAACATTCTATCGGGTAATCGCCGTTTCAAAGACAAATTTTCCAGACGGTATTGTTTTGCTGTCCGTCTAGCATACCATCAAAAGAAATGTTGATATTTCAGTCTCTTTCAGTGGCTGCCTCGATTGACCTACCCATGAAGGGCATGCGTGCAGATTCATGTCCTTCACGATCATGGACCATGATGAGCCACGACACCCTTTGCTAAGGCCCTGGGTTTTCAATTGATGTCTCTTCGCATTCATTTCACTTTGAGGAGCGAACGACATTCACGACGCTCCCACTTGCTGGTGTGCTGTAAATGTTGATAACGCCATCTCTAAATGCCAACGCCACAATGATGTCATTGGAGCCACAATTTGGGGATGCGTTACTGGAAACAACAAATCCACTGAAACCAGTTTTACAGCTGTTTGCAAAAAGGTTGACAGTAGCGACATTTGAGAAAGAACAAAACAAATAAATAATAGCCACATACATAGGGTCAAATAACACACGCATATACTTGCAAACGCTTGACGCAATGTATGCCTCCCGTTTCGCGCCAGAGCTTGAGGATCCGCCAGAACGTGCATTCCGAATCTCCAACGCAAGCAAGAGTGTCTTCGAGTGCAAGGTGTTGATGCTTGTGAAGATTAATTGCGGCTAGTCGTGACTGATTTTCCGATACATGATGGTCAATTTGTGATGTATGTATGTGGCTATTAATCTATTATTTATTTGTTTTGTTCTTTTCTCAAAATGTCGCTCCTGTCAACCTTTTTGCAAACAGCTGTAACTAATCCTTCTTTGACTTCTCGTTGCGAGGCGTGCCCTACGCGAGTCTTTGACTGGTCAGTAGTTCAATCAGGGGGGCAGCAATGGTTCGATTACATCGAGCACGTCGAGATACGAATATGTACACTAATCAAAACGGTAACAATATTAACAATACAGTGTAGGGACAAACAGATAAGGGGGCTATGCTACAGACAAGATGCAAGATGTCAGATAAACGTGGGGAGCAAGCAATATACTAAAATCTACCAGTGACCGACTTCCACTTCGGCTTTATCAAAACCAATTTCAAGCCAGCGCTCAGGAGTCTCTTTACAAAGATCCTGGAAGCCCACTCTGTTGTACAACTTCTGAGCGCTGTTTTTTTTGGCACCAACATATAGCACAACTTGCTCGTGCGTCTTCAACAACCTGGTTGAGTAGAAGTTAGCATCATAGTACAATCTCGTAGTCGATAGTTCGTACTCTCTGCAGACACGGCGAACCAACCTTTCGGCACGTCCTTTACGCTGCCACTTCTCTGGTGTGTAGACCTTCGTGATGGCAGCAACAGTGTCTGACTGCCGCGTGGCAGCGACGATGCTCGCGATATCAGTTTCTCCACCTCCATCTTTGATCTCGTATACCCAGACTTGCCCGTTTTCAATCAAGAGCCCAGCCTCTTCAGAAGCCTGTTTGGAGGAGAGAGTGAATGGAAACTACAGATTTTCATCGATGAATGCCCGCTTAAAAGGGAGTGATACAGTAGACATACCGAAGTCTTGGCAAATTCTTCGCACAAAGTAGAGATCTTGCCGGCATCCTGTGGCACGGCAAGGCGCAGCTCGATGTCCTCATCCGCTGCTTGAGAGCCGTCGCGGACCAACGTCTCGGGAGTACACATCAAAAAAAATGCATCATAGTATGGTTCATCCATGCACTTGATCTCTGCGATTTTCTCCCATGCGCTAGCGAAAGCTTTGGCGACTGGTTCAACAGAAAAGACAGAAAAGACCCTCTGCCTCCTAAAGTCAACGTCGTTCAGGAGCGCCTCGCAGAACGCCTCCATGGGACCTTGGAGGAGTTCGGGGGTCAATTTAACGGGGGCTACGGGAACAATGAAAAGAGGGTATTTGCCCAATGGTCCCTCTGTGCAGGATAGTATAAATCTGATGTTAGAAATTGTAGGCTCCGAGTAGACCAGCCAAAACTGCTCGGAATCGGGCAGGAATTCTTGGCAACTGGAAACTTTTTCAGCGTGCGGAAGGATCACATTTGCGCGAGCGGCATTGTTCCTGTCCCGTAGAGCGTGCCAGACATCCTCTGGGATGTTGGTGCGATTAAAGCGCCGGACAGATGAAGTTAAGCTAGGCATATCTTGTGTAAGAATTCTGAGGCTGAAGATAACTGGGTATGAAGGAGTGGATTCTCGAGCTTTATATCCATCACTGCCCCTGCCAGACTACGTTGTGAGTTTATCCTAACGTTGCGATATGCAGAAACAGCGCAGGGTAGCAAGAGGGTCAGCAAACGTGAAAACGTATTGCCGTGTAGGAGATGTAAATGGGGATATAAAATATAATAGAAACTTTGTGCAGAGAACGGAATCTCACCCATGATCATCCTGTGGTAGAAGAAAGTCCAAAGGCACTTGCCCAGTGGCCGAAGATGGCTAGACGTGTTAGCATTCAGTAGATGATAATTACCGTGGCTCCGGTTGTAAAACACGAGACAAAGCGTATTTGATGGATTGTATCCTAGAATTCCTGCCAGGGGCAGTTATGAAATACTTTGGCACGTGCCAACGCTCTCCACGTATTCCAACGTACTTACATTCATGCAAGGCAGAAATGGCGCTATGTCGAGATCAAGGGACAAACGCTAGATCGCCTAGCCTTCGTGAAAAGATCGAAGTACAATAAACCTACAGTCCGTATTATATTCGAGTACCCGTAGTCGTACCCAAAGAAAGATCGCAAGAAAGATGGGGGGAACGTCAATTGCCGTGAGCACACTTGTAGATCTCGCTACAGATAAATGCGTCTTCATCTCTTACAAGACATTGTCACGGAACGGTTTTGACATTTAGCATAGCCTGCAATGGTGCAACCTCTGATTATTGGGCCCCGCGAATCCCCAGTAGTACTGATGTGGTTGTGTAGTTAGGCTCCATTAATCATGCATGAAGTGTTCAGCATCATTCTTGAAGAGGTAAGGAGATGACAGATGCTAACTTTGAAGCTGGGCAAGATACCACCCAGAAAGTCCAGTATGTTCCAATGCGAATTATGTTGCATGGCGGTGCTAACGTGGCCGAAACAGGATAGAGGATAGCGTCCACAGGAAAGCACCAACAGTACGTTGTGAACAAGTCGCATTCCAGCGCGCCAACGCTTTTGAGCAGAACGTTTCCCGTTCTAAACTGAATCCGAATAGCCTTGAAGTTCACATGTGCATGTGGATCTCGGTCCTGTGCACCCTATGTATGGTTATTTCCAAGGCATCCCAGACTCTCCGCCTGTCTCGAATTTGATTATTTCGTGGTACGTCATCACTGATCAGTTTCACCTATGTGAAAATTAAAACCATGAAATTTCAAGGTATACGAGAATCATGGAGGCACTTACAACAGACCCCATTCATTCTGATACGTCTGAATATTTTTTCACGCAATCACGTCGTGTCCAGCATGTAGTAAGGGGCGTCTCTGTTCAACTTGAAGCCTAGCTCTGGTTCTGCCATGAGAGCGGATGATCAGTCTGCAGCAGTATATTATCATGATGTTAGTTGAACTTGGCACGAGCAAGTTGTTTGGCAATTGCCCTGTGATTCATACAGGACCAAACTTTAGCCAAACAATCATTGTACAGTCGCGTATTGCTCCACTAGCTGGGTTGATCCCTTTGGAGTGCTACCGATGTCGAATAAAGCAGCTCGGAGCCACACCCATACATCAAATCGTGCAAAGGCACGGGCAACCATAGAACGAAAAGACGTTTTTAAAAGTGTCCTTGAAAATCCATTCCGAATACAATGGTTGTTTTGATCTCCTCCAACTTACAACACGTCTAACATCTCAAGCTAGGCCCTCAATCCCATCAAACACGCAAAACTTGTTCCTCGCGACACTCGTAACCACTGTGGAAAGCGCGGTGAGGAGTGGAAGTCGAAAATCTTCCAAGGCATACGCTAGGAAAGCTCTACCTCGATCAGAAATCGCAGATTCGGTGGAGGGGACAAATTCGAGCCCGGACTCGATGGTATGTTCAAAAACCTCTGCATGTGCCGTAGATTGCACTCCTTCGCGATCTCCGGCCGTTAGTAAACTTGCTCCGTCGTCGGGTCACATGACTATCGGTATCAATCAAGTGATAAGGAGACTTGAATTGCAGTTGAAGTCTGTCCGACATTCGGTTACACTTACTACTACGTCTCATGCCAATCCAATATTCCCCGACATTTCTCCCATTGCCGCCGTCTTTGTATGCCGTGCCGATGTCAATCCCCCGATCCTATTGGATCACATTCCTCACCTTGTGGCAGGATGCAACTCCACACGCCCTGGATCTAACCCTCTAGGAGCTCAACAGCCCCTGAAATTGATCATCCTACCAAAGGGCTCAGAGACCGCACTTGCGCAGGCGCTTGGTCTGAGACGAGCGGCCGTAATAGCTGTTCATGTAAGTGTTTCAGATGCCAGGATCCTTACTTCTAATGCCCTCGATAGGAAGATGCTCCGTATTTACCAAATTTTCGCGATATGCTTCAATCTATACCTGTAATCAGCGCACCTTGGCTTGTGCCTCCAGTCCAGCCCAATTCTCCGAAATGCTTGATTCCCACTCATATCAAACAACTCCGCACCACTGCACCCAAAGACATGAAATCTGCGAAAGAACAAAGGGTAAAAGCAAGAGTTGCGGCTAAGAAGAATGGTGTTAAACCCAGGCTCAAGAAATGTCTCCTCACGACAGCAAGACCAGACGCATAAACCCGCGATACGTAACGTCACGCTTCATATGTCGGTGAGTATTTGCCTGCAAGTACCGATTTATCGCTCGTCTTATCGTGACGTAGTTCGTTGGTCATGTACACCGTCCTCTTACTGTAGCCTTGTATCAATTCTAGGTAACAGTTCTGTTGCCTTCATTGCCCACTGGCAGAAGTCAAGCAGCACATGGGTCTATGCGCTCCATTCAGTACTCGTATGGTGAATCAATCTATCCAATTACACGAAAAGGATGTCCTACTAACTCCCTCGCTAACAATGATTGCGGTGCACGCCAACGATATTGATGTTCAACTGATTTGTCCCATCTGCTTCTGGTACAGACCGAGAATGTTAATGACATGTTCGGACAGCTCTTGTTATACAACATTCAGCCCGTTGAGGGACCACCATATATTTGCCCATGAGATCTTGGTATGCGCCGTCACCGCTTCCAGGGGCAAATGACAGAACATAAGGGCCAACGGATATCCCTCGTATATCAGATCGACGCTAGAAGGAATACAGATTGTGATCCTGCTAATCCCAACAAAGTACGGAGTCATAATATCCTGCTCTGTCCCGACGGTATGAAAGGTGGCCCCGGTCACCCCGACTACATAGAACAGTGTAATAAGGATCTGGGACAATGACAGGAAAAGCGATGACCCAATGTCGCGCAATCAGGTGAAATGCTGCCTATTTGTTGGATCCGGTGTTGAGTTGGACAACGAAGGGTAAATGGACTGAACGATACAACTGCCAGTGTGTGAAGACGACACTCGGACCATTCGAGACAGGATCCACCTATGTGGGTAAAGCCGTTGACTAGCACAACGCAAACTGGTGAAAGGACGGCGATTCAGACGAATCCACCAAAATCCAAATGCCAAGCTCTCACTCACCATTCTCAAAGGACACTTGAATGAAGTATCCTGTAAGCTATGTGACTCAGAACTCGAGAGCTCTATGTAGCACTGCTAACAAGTCAGTGATGCGTTGTGTGAACTGAGCCTAACATACCGTGTTTGAAGGTTCCGGTTCTGATGCGCAAGCGCTATGGCACGCATGCTTTCGATCTCGCGAAGCTGAGCATATTGCACCGCGGGCTTGATAGAGAGGAGTGGCTGATTTGAGTTTGCCGGCTGTTAGGGATGGTGTTGAAGTACTGAAAAAGCGTGCGGACTACATGGTAAACGTTGAGCATTTATGACAGGTCGAGAAAAGAGGAACACTCACTGAGCTTGGCGGTTGAAGACATGAATGATCTCGAGAGCGTAATAACTTGCTCTAAGTTACTGGCCCATCTCTGGGTCGTCTGGACTCTGGAGTAAGTGCCTTGACTTCAGCGAAATCGCACCACGTGACCGTTCAGTTTTCCTTATACACCGATCTACCAGAGTACGACTTCCTCTTGGTCCCTGCGAGGTACGTAACCACACTTGCGAGTCCGTTAAATGGCAAGGATTTAATCTTAAGTTCTAAATATAACGCTGCAGTAACAATACTGTTCTTGTGGAACAATTACGGTTTCATTTTGCCAAAGCCACATTGTCTTTACTTACCTCATCGAATTATGATGCTCACCACCACCATCACAGAATTCCCAAATGTTACCGCCAGATACAGTTCCCGTCCCACGTCGTACCTCTCAAGCTGATTATCGCACGGGGGATCTGGAACTGGGCCGCATAGCTGTTCTCGCTGATTTGAGAAGGTATCTGCAGGTTCCATTCGATTGCCTCGTGAAATGCATTGGTGCCATACCCTCTCAGCAGGATCTGCAGCGGATACGCCACAACTTGACAGAGAGCAAGATTCTCGCCGACGACGAGAGTGGCTTGCAATGGACGGACTTTACCCCACCTGCCACATCGAAAGTGTCCCAAGAGAATGCGTTTAAGCCCCTCGGTCGCATCATCGCTGAAATTTTGGCGGAAGTCCCGAATAATGGAGTCTCGTTCCTAGCGAACCCAAATGGAACACCCCTCTCGCAGCGCAATAATACTTCCAGGCCTGATGGATACCTTGTACTTAGCAACAAAAAAAACGAGCCCAAGATCCATTGGTTCGATATTGCTGTGCCATTCGAGTTCAAGAAGGGACGGGATATTGAGTCTCTCCGAGATGTAAGTTGTTTTAGATCTTGTCGGCGTTCGCTCACAAAGCCTGCTCTAGGACGAACAGAAGATAATCTGGAGCCTTCACAATATCATGCGCGAGGATCTTCTTCGTCGGTTTGCGTTCGGTATCACAATCGAGGACACACAAATGAGATTGTGGCTCAGCAATCGTGCGTTCCTTGCGGTTACAGAACCTATCAACATCTTCGAGGTACGCAAACATATCGCGCTGGGTGTCAGGGTGCTAACAGGCATTGTACATCTAGAATATCGATAGTGTTATCTCGCTCTTTTACGCTCTTGGATCTGCGTCTGCGTCTTCTAATATGAAAGAGCTCGGATGGGACCCCACTGTCGAGCGGATCCGTGATGGGGAGGTTTTCCAATACAAGTTCACTATCGGGGACGAAGTGTTCACCACGACACGTGAACTTGCAACCTATGGCGCAGACTCTATGGTTGGGCGTGGAACTCGCGTGTACGAAGCTACAGACGCCGAGGGAAAGAAAGTTGCCGTCAAAGATTCGTGGAGAGAAGCTGGACGTCAATCAGAGGGCGAGATCCTAAAAAATATCTTGGCTTCCTGTGAGGAGAAGCTGCAACCGGATGAGTTGGCGAATGCCAAGAGGCACTTCGTTGGAGTCCGGCTCTGGCAGGATGTCGCAATCGACGATACCCGAGATGAGACGCTGGACGTGATGGCTGCAGAAGAGCATAATCATACCTGGGTGTCCATCGATCTCAATCCTATCCTCTCCAAGACACTACATTTATCTAGCAAAGGCGACGTACCCGACTCTGGTCAGCTGTCTGCCTCTTTTCCCACACAACTGGGCATTATTGCGCACAAAGAAACTGGCATCCCACGCAGAGTCCATACTCGCACTGTCTTCCATGATGTCGGAGTCGCTCTCAAGGATGTCACCTCTTTGGCCGATCATCTGACTTGCTTGTCCGGTGCACTTATGGGTGAGCAAAGCACTGTCGCTCTCCTTTCCTCAGTCGCTCATTCAATCTTAGCCTTGTATTACTTGCACAAAGCAGGCTGGGTTCATCGCGATTTCAGCGTCGGGAACGCAATTTGGGTCGGGGTGTGGGGAAGTTGGGTGACTTCGAGTACGCGAAAGAGATAGATTCAAAAACTTCTAATGATGTTCGAACGGTAAGATTTTTTGAACATGATCTGTTTCGCTGTTAACTCGTCGATAGGGAACGATGCATTTCATGGCTGTGGAAGTAGAATGCCAGGATTATCTTTTCCTCCCAATTTCCGACCCCCTCTCACCTGGTACAGACGCCCCGATCAACCCTCCGTTTCGCATGAATTTCCTGCACGACATTGAATCTGTATGGTGGGCTTTTACCTGGATCTTCTTTTATCACACGGACACAACAACGGAGAACGCCGGCCATTCCTTTGATGATCAGTGGAACCAATTCCAGTTGGCCTTCCCTGGTACGGTCGGCCACATATCACGCCGGGACTGCTTCACCAACATTAGGGGACTCCAAAGCAACTGCAAAGCTGTCCTTTCAAAGACGTGCCATAATGTTTGCTATCATATTCCTCATTTCGCAAAAGCTCTCCAAGATGGCTATCGAAAGGCGGAGGCGAATCATCCCTTGCTAGCGCTTGACAACATCCTTCTGGAAGATATGCATGGAAAAGCTGCAGAATTTCTCTATGGTGCGCAAGAACGTGCTGGGGTTATAGAACTTCATCCGCTCCCAAACGTTCTGAAGCAGAAGAGACCCAGACCGGGAGATGAGACATCCCCTCCGCCAAAATATAAAGGGAAGAAGCCTCGACGCGATTGATTTTTGTTGTTTGTACGAGAAAGAACCAGGAGATGGTAGCTTGGCGTCTCGTATACGTAGCTGTGACTTCGTGGTTACAAATAATAGGAATGTTCATAGTACTCAATTATATTTGGAGTTTCCAAGAAGGATATTCTGGAAGATGGCACAATCGTGATGATCAAAGTTTCTATTCGTAGTCCGACACCAATGCACCTCCACCGTACGACACAGTTTCCATGTCCTCAATCTCAGCAGATTCTGTCCAATGCAGACCACCACCTGTATTTTCCAAGGAACAGACCAAGCGGCCCGCGGGTGAGTTTAATTTATTTTCTATCGAGGGTATAGTCTGTTTAGCCTTTTTGCCAGCTTCTGAAAGCGTTCGTTGGTACTGGAGTCCTATTTCTGGGCAAAGCGTATGTATTCCACGAGTCTTCCCCTTTCATTCGCTGAGAATGATTCTTCAGCTCTGCCAATGGGGGTCCCTTTTTCTTGCTTATCATGATTTCTGTAGTTGCACTCGTTTCCTTATACTCGTTCCTACTCCGTGTCAAGTTCAAGTTTGTCGTCTCTGGGTCCTTCGAAGGTCAGTTCACTTTCGATTCACTTTACTGTATAGATACGCACTTAGGTTCGTCACAGCGTCACACGCCTGGCGAATCGAACCTAATTTGTGTGACGGTCACACAAATATTGAGACTGTCAAACCTAAATTGTGACATGCAGTAAAAACATAAAAAAAATAACTAGTGCAGCCAAAAGTCCTTGTACTGAGTGTTTGCAATATGTCTGCACTTACCATGGCCCTCAGCCTCAACCTCCTCAGACCCATTCACCATGGATTGTAGTGCTGCCACAGTCTGATCCAGGACCTAGGTTCAAACCTGAACCTTTGTGGACCAGACCCATGGTTTGGTCACAGGTCTGGAATTTCTCTTGGACTGAACCCCTTGGTAGGTTTGGGGTTTGGTGTGTTGTCGATAAATCCAGACTGGTTCCGAACACACCTGGACTGGTTTGAACCCATCATGTCCCTGGCCTTGACTTACGATTTTTGAAGTCGGAGCCTCATGTTTTTGGTGAGGCTTTCTATTTAAGTATCATCCTTGCCCTTTCGTTCACTGTCTTCTTTTACTTCTCCTGCATTCTAGTAGGCAAGGTGATCTCTCTCGATGACTTCAGTAATGCAGCAACTCATTCAGGCACCAGTGAGTTTGCAACAAGTCTACTATCTATCCCAATTAACTTATAATGCAATTTATTTCAGAACATACCTACAGTTGTGATTCACCATACTCACTATCTGCCATGGGTTCTCATTTTGGTGGTCCATGGTGCACAACAGTTTTAAAACTAGTTTTAAATATATTCACTTGGTACCTAGGTTTGACATTTATGCCTCCTGCTGCTATGTCCGAGTCCTCTGCACATCATGCTGATGGTTCATTGAAAGATGCCAGCGAGATAGAGTGGTACAATGATGCTGAAGATGACTCTCCAATGGTTCCTCCCCCTGCTCCCACAAACAACAGCACTCTCAATTCATTTGTCTGTCATTCTGGTTGTGCTGTCAAACACACAGAGAAGATACATGAGACTCTGGTTGCCAGCAGTACCTCAGCCAAATGGTCAGCTCCAGGACCTCCCCAAGGTGTCCCTGCACCCAAATGAGTGTTCATTGGTACCAGTAGCCAAGAGAACAATGACAATGACAATGAAGATGCACCTGCACTTGAAGATGTTACAGATGATGAGGAAGAGGATGCTGAGAATGCTGAGAAAGAGGAGGCTTACCAATGGACAAAGAAGCTTGGTGACCATGATCACAAAGACTGCAAATCTCTCAAGAAGGACAAATGCAGTGCTGACTTAACAACAGTCTTCACTTTCGAGAAAGGCCATCTTAATCCCCACACCTGGGAGCATGAAAACAGGTGGTGGTGTGAGGTGTGCAAGGCCAACAATGTTGCTCTACACCAGTGCTTCTTTAAAGGTGGTATCTCAACTCAATGCATGCACATTGCATGCAATCCCAAGTGCCACTTCCCAGTTTATCAGGACCACTGCAAACAATGTGGTCTTGTGATGCACAATCATGCAATACCTCACAACTGCAAGATGACTGATATGGCATATGTTATTTTTCTTGTTGTTTTTTTCTCCTTTCATTGACCTTTACAACCAGTCAGGCAACCTTGGATGCCTCTCTCCCTCCCAAGATTCCAGTATTTATGAAGTCTGGACTTATGGACTACATTGTTGAACTCATTGTTGCTGAGGACGAGGTGAGCGACTTTCATTCTTAATGTCATTTTAAGACACTTATACATGCAGGCCTTTCAACTTGTAGACAAGGGTCTGTTTCGTTGCCTTCTTCAGTATCTCCAGCCATCACTTTCAGACCAAGATATCCCTCACCACACAGAAACTCAGGACGAGATACTCAAACATGCAACTCTGGTGGTTGAGTGCATGAAAGAGAAGCTCAAGCATGTTAATAGCAAAATCTCAATGACATTTGACTCATGGATGTCTTTGCCTGGCCACCCTTTCCTGTCCCTTTCTGCACATTATATAGATTCCCTGGCTGACAAGCCTTGAGAATGGGAACTCAAGATTGAGCAGCTTGCATTCATGCCCATTCTTGGCAATCACAGCAGTGCAAACATTGGCAAGATTTTAATTGAGAATATCAACAAATATGGCATCCACATGAAGCTCGGGTGGTTTATGGCTGACAATGCCATTAACAATGATACTGCCATTGAGACTGTCACTAACTTTATCGACCCATCTGGTGAGAAGTGGAATCCAATTGAGCATCGTGTACAGTAAGTCTGTCTATTCAATACTTTCATTGAGATTACTGACAAGTATTTCAGTTGCATGGAGCATGCACTCCATTTAGCAGCAAAACACTTCATTGAGGAGGTGGCTCCTACACCAGCAAGTGTCTTGCACAAGAAGGTGGCTCAAGCAGAGGCAGAAGATGATGAGGATGAGGAAAGTATTGAATTTGAAGTCAGTGACACTGTTGGCAAAGCACTTGCATTCGTTGTGCAGGTAAGTTCTTAATTAATCTATCTACTATTATATACTGACTGTGCTTAGGTATGGAAGTCTCCTCAAGCTCACATCTTCCTTCAAAAGTGTTGTGCAGAGGTGAATGAGCCTCCATTGGAGCTTTTGAGATGGGTCCACAGACGTTGGGCATCTCTGTTCAATATGTTGGAGCGCATCTTTCAGTTACGCAAAGTAAGTTGTCTGCTACTGACTACATGAATATGTCACTGATTCAGACTTGATTTCAGGGAGTGAACCGGTTCATTCAGCTCGCTGATGACAGTGACGAGGTCCTGAAGTTGAAGGGGAAATCATATGCCAATTTCAGGCTTTTGGTGCAAGAATGGACAGAGTTGGACTTGATGCGTGAAGTCCTTCAGGTTCATCATTTTCCTCTATCTTTTACATCTAATTATGCTTATACACTGCACACCAAGGAACCTGCAGATCCTCAGCAGAGTTTCTTGGCAACTTGTGAGCCAACTGTATGACAAACTATTCTGGTGCTTGAATATCTTCAAGAGACATTGCAAAACATGGCTGACTTGTCAAAATTCAGCTGCTTCTTGACAGCCATTGAAGCTGGTGTCAGTAATCTCAGCAAGTGGTATGGTAAGACTGACGACATGGATGTGTATTTTATTTGCCTTGGTATGTCTTATATTTATTTTAATGCCTTCAAATGATATTGACCATTTTGGTGTAGCGCTTGACCCCAACTACAAGGTCGCATATGCCAAAGACAAATGGGCCCATTGTTTTTTTGAAATGGGGATGCAATCCCTCAAGAGAGTCATGAGTCACTCATCATCACTCACTGTCAATTGTATACTAATGTTACATAGTTTGACAGATATCATCATCACAGTACTTCCTCACAGGCTCCTGCAGAGCTGTCTGTCACTGAGCCACCTTTGCTTGCTCGCCAAGGCTCATATGGCCATAGTTGGATGCACAGCTCTGTCAAATCACATGTCGTCAATGATGCAGCCACACAAAGGCCTTGTCAAGAGCTTGAGGACTACCTAGATGCACTGCTCGAGGACGTTGACAATGTAGTGGGCTGGTGGGGAGTATGTATCATTGTTTGATTGTTGTTACTTGCATACTAATATTTTCCAGCACCATTCTATCCAGTACCCAACCATCTCTCGCATCACCAAGGATTACCTTGCTATTCAAGGTTCAGCTGTTGCATCCAAGTGTGCATTTTCAAGTGGTGGCATTACTGGCACGGCACGTTGTAGCTGTTTGCAACCAGCAACGTTTGAAGCTCTTCAGTTACTCAAAAGTGCGTACCATCAAGGCCATATCTCTGCAACTGTCCAGGCTGAATTTTCGGCTCCTTATGATAACCATGTCATTGCACACAATGAGTAAATTTGGTAGCTATTTGTACAGTACAATGTTGTTGTCATCTTCTGGTAATTGAAACAATGGTTTGGGGGTTTAAACCCATTCTGAACCTGGACTGAACTCTTGTGAATGCATTTGAAGGTGTCTGGTTTGAGGTTTGGCCATCTTGCCTGAACCTGACCACTGGTTGAGTTCAGGGTTTGCAAATATGAGGTGACGAACCCGACCGAACCAGACTTTGGCAGAACTAGTGGATTGAAGCTCCATGCCATCCACCACTTGCTCATAGCTCTCCAACTACTTGTATATAGAGAAGATATTGTGTTGCCAGGCAGAAATAAAATTAGAGACAATGTTTGTAGAGCAAGCACTTCCAGGTTGAGCATGAGGATCAGCATGTAGCACTGCACATGTATATGAAGGATATTGTCTGCCTAATGTTGGTTGTTTACCAAACAAACCTAATCACAGCATGTCACACATCACACCCCCCCTGTGAACCTTCAAACCTAATGCTCATTTGGTCACACCTAAATAGGGCTGAACCTAAGTGCATGTCTATACAGTACTATGTCTCACTCTGTGATGGAGATATCAGCAGTCACATGCTGCATTCTAATTTAAACCTTGTGCATTGTGATTGGCTAGTACTTGACCCGGAACTGCTTACCCCAAACTGGTTGCCTATCTTGATCCTTCTCCACTATCATCTCCGCACACTCCTAACAATTATCACAATGTTGCAAGTCATTGTTGTTGGAGGTGGCCTTTGCAGCAAGTATAACACTCAGTGATGTGGTAAGTCACTGAGGTCTACTGAGTGCTAAGCAATAGGTAAAGTTGTAAGTGAACCAAACATATGTAAACTACGGTAATGTCTGACATTTGTCCATTATCCAACACTCCCCCTCAAATGGTGCACAGTCCAAGTGCAGAAGCAAAGTGCTTTGCCTTGACACTAGGTAGAGCCTTAGTGAGAGTATTGGCAACCATGTTGTCTATCTTGCAATAAAGTAAATGAAGGGTGCCATTGTCAATGATGAAATGAATGTAGTGATAGTGTATATCAATGTGTTTCATCCATGCATGGTAACTTCCATCCTTGGTAAGAGTGATGGCAGATTGGTTGTCACAGTGAAGTCAAAGAGGTTGAGTGAGTGGTCAGAATACTTCGCCTATGAGCCAGCACAACCAGACACCTTCCTTTGCTGCATGGGTGGCAGCCACATACTCCACTTCTGTTGTTGACAGTGTAACAAGCTCTTGCTTCTTTGATGACCAACTGACAGCTCCACCGTCAAGCAGGTAAGCATATCCTGAGATAGCATGGCAATGTTCCTGTGAAGCTCTGTCTGCATCAGCATACCCTTCTATCCCCCTCTTTCCATCTCCAAAGGTGAGTGACAGGTTCTTTGTCCCTAGAAGGTACTTGAATACTTTCTTTACCACCTCCCAATGCATTGTGCCTGGGTTGTCATTGAACTGTGTGAGTGTCAAAACTGCAAATGCAATATCTGGGCGAGTTCCAACTGCAGCATGCATCAGTGATCCAACTGCTTCCCAGTAAGGTATCCTTCGCATGTGGGCTGATTCTTCAATTGTCTTGGGGCACTGCAAGTGTGACAACTGAGCATTGGGATCCATTGGGATAGATGATGGTTTCATATCGATGAAGTTGAATTTGGATAGGATGGCTTCGATGTATGACTGCTGAGATAGTGAAATGGTTCAAGCTTCTCAATTGTGAATGACCTTCATGCCTAGTAACCAGCTGATTGGTCCAAGGTCTGTCAGCTTGTAACGTGTTCCAACTTCTACCTTGAAGGCTTTAATGAGAGTTGGTGAGCTACTGGTCACAGTGCAGTCATTAACATAGGCTGCAAGGATCAGGATTTCCTTGCCAACCTGTGCATAGAACACTCCCAAATCAGCCTCAGCATGTAACAGGCCTAGGTCACCTAAGGCAGCATGTAGCTCCTTGTACCATTTGGCAGCACCTTGCTTGGAACCATACAGTGCAACATGCAGTTGTGTCACTGGGTCCTTGATGCTGGGGTCAGCAGTGTAGCCAGGTGGGAGATCCATGTAGATGACCTCATCATCATCCAGTTTTCCATTAAGAAAAGCACTGTGGAAATTGAAGATGTCAATATCCCAGTCATTGCGAGCTGCTATAGCGAGAATGGTGTGTAGAGATGAGAGCTGTGCAACAGGTACATAGGTGTCAAAATAATCCACCCTGTAGACCTGCGTGAATCCCTTGGCCACTAATCAAGCCTTGTACTTGTCAATTATGCCATCTGCTGTATGCTTGATCTTGAAGACCCATTTGCATCCTACAACATTGGCTCCCTCTGGCTTCTGTACCACTATCCAGGTTCCCGCTTGCTCTAGACTCATCAACTCCGCTTTGATGGCTCCATCCCACTGCTCTCTATCACCTCTCTGGCATGCCTCTTCTATGGTGTGAGGCTCTAGTCCCTCTACATCTGATACAGCCATTGCCATAGCAGTGATGTCTTTAGTATCATCCAGCTCTGCCAACTCTGTGAGCATTACGAAGATCTCTGACTCCCCCTCATTACTGACCTCACCCACTACACCAGTGGTGTTAGCAGTACCTTCCTGGATGCCTGGTGGTGGTGCACTACTCTTCCCATCTGTAGTTCCCTCACCCTTGCATAACATCTGCAAGTATGGTGACTCTTTCCTAGCATGGCTGCTATGGCATGGTGCTGGAGGATCATTTGGCTGGAAGTTTGCACCCAGGTGGTCAACTTGTGATTTGACTGGAGGTGTTGCATGCTGCTCACCACTGGACTCCTTCTCCCCCTCAAGTGGCATGCTCTGTGGAAGTGCCATTGGGATGGTAGGTGTGGTCAGCTTCTCAAAAGACACATTATGCTCAACAGCAATTCATCTCTGGTCTGGCATGTAGACCCAGTGCCTGTTGCTCTCTAGGTCAAATCCTACCCAGTGCCCATCTTTTGCCCTTGGTTCAAGTTTGCTACCACTAGGGTCATGTACCCAGACTTGGCAGCCCCAAAGTGACAGTTTGGCTAGGTTAGGCTTCTTCTTGTTGAGCATCTTGTAGGGCATCTTGCCATTCAAGGCACGGGTACTTGTCTGGTTCTTCATGTAGATGGCATGGCATACTGCTTCTCCCCATAGTGTTTTTGGTAGGCCACTGGCATGCACAACTGCCTGAACTCTCTTGACCAACATCTTGTTGAGTTGTTCAGCAACTCCATTATGCTGCAGTGTGTCATGAGTTGTCAGTTTGTGCTCAGTGCCTTGCTGTCGCAGATACTTAGTGAACTGATCACTTAAGTACTTCCCTTCTCAGTCAGAACATAGACACTTGATGCCAATACCATGTTGCCTCTTCATCCAAGCTTCATAAGCTTGGTAAGAGTTGAATGTCTCCGCCTTTGAAGACTGTAGGTAGAGTTTGGTGTATCAGGTATGGTCATCAGTGAAGCTGGCATAGTACAGACAATTGCCTAGCATCGGTGTTGGTGATGGTCCCCATAAGTCAGTATGGATCTCATCACCAAACTTGTCTCTTCAAGGTGGGTCGTGAACCTTTCCAATTGGCTTTCAGGCAGCCTTCATATACTCACATGATTCACACTGACCCATGGTTGTGTGCTGAGGGTCCAGTTTGACTCCTTCAATCATGTCATTCTTGAGCATGTCACAAATAGCAGCTGGGGTGATGTGGAATAGATGTTGGTGAAGTTCCTCCATGGTAAGCATCTCATTCTCCTTGACTAATCCAGCAAAGGGCTTGGCAAATTTGCCTTTGACACAGTGTGGGAAACACAACAAGAAGAGAACTGGAAAGTAGACTTCTAATGTTAGGCTAAATGTGCTATGCCTAGCTGCTATTCAACCCTAAAGGGTTCCTGGACTAAGCTCAGTGCTCAGAGAGGATAGGAAATCATGCTAATAACTCTCAGTCTCAGACTAGTACTGGTAGGTGGTGAAAACTATGATGATTACATAAGCACCAAAAGTGCGAACATAACACTAAGTAATATCTGCCTATACAAGCCCACAGAATATGAAATCCCTACATCTCATGGGGGCTTTAGATCATGACTGTCCCCAGTCATCTACACATGCAAACCAAAACTAAACTAAACTAAGAAAAAGTAACCTGATGGTCCTCAACACATGTTTCACTGACCACTTGTTCAGTGAACCGCTGTAGGGATTTCATATTCTGTGGGCTTGTATAGGCAGATATTACTTAGTGTTATGTTCGCACTTTTGGTGCTTATATAATCATCATAGTTTTCACCACCTACCAGTACCTAGTCTGAGAGATGAGAGTTATTAGCATGATTTCCTATCCTCTCTGAGCACTGAGCTTAGTCCAGAAACCCTTTAGGGTTGAATAGCAGCTAGACATAGCACATTTAGCCCAACATTAGGAGTCTACTTTCCAGTTCTCTTCTTGTTGTGTTTCCCACAGCACTGAAATCCAAATTAGGAATTTGCGACATATTGTCATATCCACATATCCAGATCTTGGATCCGATCCTTATCTCATCTCAGATCTGATCCACATCTTATCTCTGATCCTATCCACATCTTATCCCCCTCCAACATCTTGTCATCCAATCTGTCCATTCATCCAGTCTGGTCCACAATTCATCCGAGTCCACAACCAGTGCTCATGTCCTTTTGGTAATCCCCTAACTCCAGTATTTCAGTTATCTGTATATCTGTCCTGCTCCCTGATCCATTACCTATGCTTCATTTCCATTTCATTATTTGTGATCCATTTCTACTTACCAATAGACTATCCATATGCTTCATACATATCCTCGGACCCTGCTGATTGATCATTCTGTTAGATACCTATAGTATATAACCTCCTGTAAATCTCTGTAACACCTCAGTTCGAATATCAACTTAGTTCTGCTCATTCCTGTCCTCTGGACCTGAGTATCTCTACTCTCATCACCCTCCAAGACTTAGGATTGACTCCTATAGCCTATCCATATCTGCCTCTGTCTACAACAGTCCACTACTGTTAGTTTCTAGTCTGGACTCATCTGGATTAGCCCTATGATACTTATCCTGCATCCAGAAGTCATCCAGATCTGCTATGCTACTCGTCTGACCCTCCAGACGTGTTAGTCTTGCCCTCCTGAAATAAGGGGCAATACTTGGGTAAGGGGCACAGCGCACGAGCTGAGGCTGAAGCCCTTCAGATCCATTTAGCCTTGAGTACAACCTTAACACATGTGCTACCAATACCAGAGTGCTCTCCACTTTGCAAGAACAATTCCTTTGTATCTACAACAAATTCACCAAGACTCAAAGAAAATTCCCTTGAGTCTGAGCCCAAGCATCCAAGTAGAATAGATATTGAGAATTGAAACTGCAGGCACAGTGCAAGGACTTCAAGTGTGTGAAGGGAGCAACAAATTGCTGTTGTCATTGGGTGCTGTACAATCAGTCAGATTTTGTCGCCATCGAGTTGAATCTTGAGAGGACATGCAAAGCAAGAGGGTTTTCAGTGTTATTCCTTCCAAAGTTTCACTGTGAACTTTTGCACAATCTTGATGTATGATAGTGACTTGATAGTGGCTGTCAATAGTAAAATGTAACATAATGTCACAGTCAGTCACCATCAAAGTCACACCACATGATTGAGTTATGTATGACTGCAGTCTATCTTAGGTTCACGACATCATCGCAGAGTGTAAAAGTGATTTCAAAGAACAGCTTTCTCAACTTTTTCTAGACATCAATCTACAGTAGTCACTGGGTCAGTTTGGCTGTCTGTCCTTCCATCCTCTTATGTTGTGTTTAGGGTACACCATGTAACAAAATCAATGTATGTCCCCTTGAAACCCAAGCTTTTTGCTCTCCATTATAAGTGACTTGTGACCATGCTTTAGTATGCACCTAAACACAACAGTTTGTAATAAATGCATGTCTGGAGACTTTCCTGCCGCTGCAGAGTAGTAACACGAGACGTTGATGCTGGTGCCACCAACTGCCATTCACATGCCAATTGTTTTTCCATCAGGGCGCAAAAACATGACTGGGATAACATGCTTGATGGGCATTGGGCCATGATGCAGACAAGGCCCAGGTGAGATACACTGACAGCATCACATACTTAGTTCATAGTCATTCAGCATTCATTCACAGGCTACATCTCCAAAGGCATTGTCAGCCCTTTACGGAAGAGGTTGGGTCTGAGATGCAATCAAAGCATTTGACATTGTGCCCATGTTTACAAAGGGAGATTTAAACCCAAATTATTGTGTGAAGGTGTTACAACCATGTACGCCCCTATTCATTTTCTCTCTTACTGTGTATTACATCACAAGCCACATGATGCTGCCACTAGACTTATCTTTGACTCATACCTTGTATTACATCACAATTGCTGTTGCCATTGCTAGATGACCTATTCTTGCTATCACTTACATATCCTTTATCTCTGACTCATATCTGTTCTCACATCTGCCCTAAAGCACTTGTAGCTCACTATAAATAGTCCTCTTGTACACTTTAGTTTGGTACTTTAATCTTACTAGGTTTTACCTGAAACATCCTTCACTTAAGACCTCCAATCTCTTGTCATCTTAATCATACTTTAAGTTAGAAGCACTCCTTCTGACTTAGCTTACACTGAATGCCTGACTTATTGTCCTGCATAGAATCTCAGCAGAGGTCCTGACTCTTATCGAGTCATCTGTTGTTAGAACTATCCTAGTTCGTGTTACGGCGAACCGTAGGTCGACTAGGATAGGCGCGACAACAGGTACTCGATAAGAGTAACGCCTGAAGCCGGATCGTGTCCTCACAAATGTAAGGTTCTTAAGACAAGTTAGAGAGAGTGTCTCCGACTTGAATATCGATATCAGACACTTAGGATTGGAGGTCCTAAGCGAAGGATGTTCTGGGTAAGACCTAGTAGATTAAAGTGAAGTCTATCTAAGTACAGGACCTGTTTTATATAGGTATGGCCTACTTTAGGGCCGGTACGTATACGTCATCAAGACGAGTCAGAGATAAGAAGTGACGTCATCAAGACGAGTCAGAGATAAGAGGTGATGTCATCAAGACGAGTCAGAGATAAGAGAAGTGAGTCACCTAGCGATGGCAGCGGCGATCGTGGTGTAATACAGATATAGAAAGCGCAGTCTACTGATGGCGCAACGTGGCGCGGTCATGACGTAATACACAGATAAGAAGAGAAAAGAGATAGGGGGCATACGTTATCGTAACATTACCCCTCATTTAGCATAGAAGTCACCGACTTCACATATCTTGATTGGCCCAGTAGATAGGGTCGGCATCATAGTTGGAATCAAGAAGGTCGTCCTGCTCTTCCGTGACAGTGCTTTGCTTCATATGCTCAGCGTGAGCGATGGCGTCTTGCTCGATCTCCCATTGAGCGAGTGCTTCATAGAAGCCGGCATCAGTCCATACTAGCAGGATAACCGCTTCTCCTTTTAATTCCTTGCAGAAGACCGATAAATGGCCCGGCGCATATTCTTTGCAAACTCTGCAGTAGTATGCAGGGCAATTCTTGTGGCGATGGCCGGCGATGTGGCAGTTACGGCATACGACGTTATCGATTGGTGATGTCTTTACGACTGTGACGGATGAGGATTGGTTTGGGGGGGATGGTGACCGTGATCGTTTGAGTGATGTTTTGGTGGGAGAGACAGAGGCGGCTCGTTTGGCAGCGAGACGAGAGGATCTTCATTTGAGTGGGAGTCGTCATGGAGGTGCGTACAATTGGGTCAGGAGAAGGAGAAGCCAGTACATCAAGTACAGCAATAGGAGGGATATTATCATCCTGATGCTCCATGGTAGTCGCGGCAGCTGGCGGTGGTACAGGGATAGCGACGTGGGGAGAAGGCGGTCGCACGATGGGGTTAAGAGCGATTCGCTCAGTGATGATGTGAATGGCTTCTCTGATGGTGTCTCTAGTGTCTTCTGGTAAGAGACAGATTGCAGTGTTGCGAATGCGGATATGAAGGTGACGAAAAATAGTTTGGTGACGCTCATCATCAAGGAGAGCGGCGGTACGTTCAATAAGGCTGGCATCCCTAATGATTCTGATTATGAGGCCGCTGGAGATCACTCCTCTTTCTCCAAGAAGGCGGTCTATCTCAATAGCGTACTGTTGGGAGGTGATAGCGGATTCAAATAGGGCACTG